CGTTCCTGCATGTCGAAGACGTAGTCGTCGAGCTCAGGCTGCCAGGCGGATCGATTTTCGTCGTTGGACAGGTCGCTCTCCCAACCGTCTGGGTCGCGGTTCTTCTTGGCGGGAGGGGGCGGCGCCACGAAGCTCGAGGTGCTCTTGGACGGCGGGAGCGGATTGTTGCGCAGCTTGAGCCCGGCCTTCGCAGATCCGTTTTTGATGGCAGAATGCGGGACTTCTGACTTTTCAGCTCCGTGCACTAGAGTGTCCGGCGCCCCAGCAGATTGCGCCTTGGGGCCGGAAAGATCGTCGGCCATTCGGGCGGATGCATAGGGCTCTTCCTTGACGCGGACAGGCGCCTCAGTGTTGCTCTCGTTAAGGTCTGGGCGATATTTGGAGGCGGTTCCGTTGTGAGGGTGGAGGCTTTGCTCCTCGTCCTCGGGTTCGGGCGTAAAGTCGAGCCTGCGATGACGTTCGTCGCGTCGGGACGGATGAGAAGCAGCGCCGCGAGCCGAGCTGCCGGATGACTCCCTGGCCGGGTCGAATGCCCCGAGCGAGGCTTGGGAAGCATGCGGCTGTGCTGCACGCTGACTGTCGTACTCGGCCGCCACAACCGACTTGGCAGGGCTCGAATGAGAGGAGTGTGAATCGCCGTTGGCCGCGCGGTCGTTGAGCATGTTGAAGATGGACATCGAGGGTCTCGGGGGGCTATCGGGAGCGTCGCGCAGCTCGGCGTCCCTGCTCGGAGCCGCATCGTAGTCGCGGGTAGCGAGGTCGTTCCTGTGCGCATGTTCGCTGGGAGCGGGCTGCGATGGCAGCACCGGAGACCTGTGCGCGCCACGTCGATACGAAGGCTGAATCTCGCGGGCATGGGCATCGTACTCGGGTCGGCGATAGGACATTTCGTCGGCGTGTGGATGAGCGACTGCTCGCCGGGGAGGCTCGTCTCTGACGCTGTAGCGATCGTACGCAGGATGCTCGTGCCTGGACTTGTCGAGGTCGTGGAGCGGAGCTGACGGATAGTCGTCGCGGCGGACGGCGCGCGAGCGCGATGCGTACGGGTCGGATCTCGACACTTCGTATGATCTGTCGTCGTATTCCCTGTAATCGGCTCGGTAGGGGTCGGATAGACGCGGCCCAGTGGCGCGATCCATAGGCTGCTGGACCAAGGGACGGTCGGAGTAGTCGTGTGCGTACCTGTATGCTGGTTGGGCTGAGCGGCGGTAGTCGGGATGCGCGGCAGGTGAGCGCGAAGGATCCGCGGCGTACGATGGGGCGGTTTCATAGGTGGCTTGAACCCGATCGTAGCGGCGACGATCATACTCGCTGGGATGCACTCTGTCGTAGGGGTAGGGCGCCGCTTCGGGGTTGCTGCCGGGGTCGTATCTGCCGTAGGCGTCTGCCATCGGGGCAGCAGACCGCCCAGAGTAGCGGTAGGAAGCCCCTCTGTCCTCGCCGCTCATCTCGGAATTGGGCCGAGTGTGTGGTGATGGCCCGGAGCGAGGGCGGCGGTGAGGCCAGACAACTTTGGCCGAGGGAGGATGGAGTAGGCCCAAGTCAAACGACGCCGACGAAGGCTTCTGGCGCGCGCTGAGAGCAGCCTCCGGTGGAAAGCGTTGCCAGGCCGTGCGTTTGAGGCGACGCCAGCCCTCCGTCCGAAAGTGACGATTTGCCGGGAGATGGAGTGGAAGAGCTCCAGTCGATCGCTAGACCCTGTGAGACTGGGTTGCAGGAGCGACGTCGGCACCAACAGCAAAAACGTGGACCGCAGAGGTGTCGACGAATGCTTCGTGGGGGTTGGAGGGGTAAGTGGTGGTGGATGAAAGGATGCAGCGACGCGCGGCGAGGGGGAAGGGGGTGTGGCTGCGAGACGATCGTGCTGAGTCGAGCGTGGTGCAAGTGGAAAAGGGCCGTTGCTCATGCCGTGCGCATCGAGCGCCCCAAATTGGTGCTGCCGCCAGGTTGAGTTGAGCCCAACTCTGAGCTAGCGGCGGCGGCGCGGCTGGCTGGTTGGCTCGATATTCACGGGTTTGCAGTCACTCTCGGCGCATCGCTTGCTCCCTCAGTCAGCGGCTGTTTGGCTCGCGTTTTTCCCGCTTCTGCCGACGCAGCAGTTCCAAGCAGACCCGTGCGAGCGACAGCCTCGCGCGCCGCAGCCGGGTCGAGGACTGGGATGGCGAACTGGAATCCGCACACACGCGCGCTCGGTCAGTCCTTGCAGCAGTAGCACCAACAGCAGCTCAATCAGCCGCTGACGGTGGGACTCGTTGAGCCAAGCCTGTGCTTGCTCCATCGGCTGCAAACCTGGCGCTGGGCAGGCGCGTCGGTGCAGATCCAGGCGATATTGAGATCTCTCTGGGCCTGGCTGAACTGGCTGAACTGGCTGTCCCGACTGAGCTTGGCTTGGCTGGGCTGATTGATGCGGAGCGTCGCCCCTCTCCTGCTCAATCGACGCCCCGTGCGGATGCGCTCTTCTTCTCATTTGGCCCAACCACCGTCGCGCCGTTTGGTATTTTCGCTCGTATTTTTCTTCCTGCCCGCCCACCATGCGTTGCCAGAGCGCAGGTGCACTGGGGGGAAAAAATTTACGCCATGCACACGAGCCGATCTCGAATTGGGTCGTGGAGCGTGGGCGTGTGTGCAAAGTAGGCATGCAGCACAATGAGCGCGCCCGGCCCTGGCTAATCGGAGCGTGTGACTGCGAGCTCGCGCGCGCCACTCGGGGCGATGCCGCATCGTCGTCGTCGTCTTGCCTCATGGCTGGCAATCAGAGGTCCGTCGAGCGTTGTTCGGCAGCCGGTTGCTTGGCAGACTCGCCCTTGTCCCGGTGTCGTTCGGCAGGGCGGCTGACAGCTCGGTGATCTGCGCAGCGTGCCAGCCTGTAGGCGTGGCCGGGTGCAGGCGCCGGGTAAGCCGTGTGGAGGCGGCAGCAGCGGCTGTCCGCATTCCCTCCCTTCGATCACATTCGCGGTCGAGCCTACTTGCCCTCACCCTTGCGATGAGCGCCGCGTTTCGGAGATGCTGCCAAGATATGAAAGGCTCCGCCGTCAATCACACTCGGTCGGCGGGTGGGGGTTACCGATAGAGGCAGCTCCCGTGGGGTCAGGCCGAGACTACCGCATGCCCGATGCATCGGGTCTCCACTGTTTTTGAGCCACAAGTCAGGGTCAAGCTCGGACCAAATCGACTTTCGGTGCCAGAAAAAAAAGGAAAAGTGCCCAGCAAAAAGGAGGCAGCAAAAAGGAGGCAGCGAAAGTACCAACATCCGTCTCACCCCATCGGGGTCGGCTCGTGCAACAGCCACGATCGGGGATCGTCTGTTCCTGACGCTTCGCTCACGACACTGCAGACGAACTGACCCGAGGCAACTGAGCATGCTACATACGACAAGGACAGGCCCAGGGTGGAGACCAGGTCCCGACACAGGAAGCTGACGCCGTGTCGTCCGAGAAGAACGCAAGGTATGGCCGACGCTCCATGCCATCGCTGCACTCACTGGCGAAGCGGCACCTTGACACCGGCGAGGGCCATCCGAGCCGGCGCAAGCTAGAGCAGCAGCGCAGGCACACGCCGGCGATCCACCGTGCCTTACAACACCTTGGCCGACGTCGAAGCGCTTCCAAGCCGGGCGTAAACCGGGACTGGCATCGCAAGGAAGCGAGAAGAAGGATGCGTGATCCAACCTGACCGGCGGGGCCGCCAGCTGCTACCGGCAGCGGGTGCGCTATGCACGCAGCCCAAAGAGGAAAGATGCGATGCGTCTGGTGTACATCGCTCGCCGAGGTCGAGACCGCGTCGCTTTGGGTCGCCGGCGCAGGCCAGCACAGCCGCTTCTTCCAAAGATTTTGCAGCCAAAGCCGAAGCGTGCACAGCCCTGATGCAGCCTGGACGCAAGTGTGCACGCCGCCTCCGTCATTGCAGACGTCGACAGAACGCACGCGGGAAGCTGCCAGCCGAGAGGCGAGAGCGAGAGAAGCGCAGGCGGCGTGGTGAATTTGACAAGTCACATTTCGCCTCGGCCCAAGTCGATTCCACGTTGGCAGCTGCACCAACTCGCCCGCCCGCACAAGCGAGGTGGGCAGAGGCAACAACGCACGGTTCACCGCTGCGGGGCGGCGGCCCTAAGTTATTCCCAGCTTTCAAACCGACTCTCTTCCGCAGCAGGAGAATTTAGAGCGACCGGAGTTGAAATGCCTGCCGCCCCGCTGTCTCTGTGTTGCTCTCTCCAACGCGCAACGCACGGTGCCAATTGCTGTCGTCATGGCGTGCATCCACTCGCCCTTCTCGGCCTCCGCCACCCGACAGCCCCTGATTTGTCCAGCACAGCCCAAAGCGCCCTTCACACCTGTCTAGACCCAGCCAAAGCACGTGTATTGCGGAGGACGTCTTTGCCAAAAGGAGCGAAAAGGCTGCTGGCTTCTGTGTCGGGAGAGGAGCCGCGACCGGACCCGCACTGCGAGGCAAGCTTGCGTGCTCGCAAAGCAGATGGGAATGCACAGGTGGCAACTCGGCAGCGAGTTGGCCAGGCCGAGGCCCGTGCCGTGAATGGCACGGCCGTCACGTCAACCCCCGTGCGTCGAGCGTTCGTGCATGATGCAATGGCTCTGGTTTAGTCCGCCTGCCCTTGACCCGTGGCCCTGGGCAGTGTCACAGACAGGTCAGCTGGGCACAGAGCCGAGCACGCTACAGTGCTTCGGCCATTCCGTCCGCGAGCGCACGGGGCACCTCCAGGCACTTTTGAGCAGTCCTTCCCCCCTCTCTCTGCCGCTGCCGCTCGAGATGCCGCCTGACATGCCGCCGTGATTTGGCATGCTGAAGCCCAGTCAAAGCTCTGGAGCAGTCAAGCTCAACCGCGCCAGAATGCGATGCACGAAGGTGCGAGTCCTGGGCGTGCACGACTGCTCGACCACAGCTATATAAACGTCGACCTAATCTGTCCATCTCGTCGCCCTCCAGCATACACATCACACATTCACACACCTCTACACACTTAGACCACTCTACACACATTCACAATGGAGGGCTTCATCAACAAGGCTAAGGAGTTCGCCGGCTCTGAGCAAGGCAAGGACCTGATCAACCAGTTCTCGGGCAACAAGAACAACAACAACAACAGCAACTCGTCCTCTGGCTTCGGCGGTAACAACAACGACGACTCGTACGGCTCGTCGAACAACAACAACAGCTACGGCTCGTCGAACAACAACAGCAGCTACGGCAGCAACGACGACGACAACAACAACTCGTCGTCTTACGGCTCGTCGAACAACAACAGCAGCAGCTACGGTAGCAACGACAATGATAACAACTCGTACGGCAGCGGCAACAACAACTCCTCGTCGTACGGCTCGTCCGGCCGCAACAACGACAACGACAACTCGTACGGCAGTGGAAACAACTCGTCCTCCTACGGCTCGTCCGGTCGCAACAACGACGACAACGACAACTCGTACGGCAGCGGCAACAACAACTCGTCCTCCTACGGTAGCGGCAACAACAACTCGTCGTCGTACGGCAGCAACAACGACAACGACTCGTACGGCTCGACCGGCCGTGGCGGCAACAACTCGTCGTCGTACGGCAGCAACAACGACAACGACTCGTACGGCTCGACCGGCCGTGGCGGCAACAACTCGTCGTCGTACGGCAGCAACAACGACAACGACTCTTACGGCTCGTCCGGCCGCAACAACGACAACGACTCCTACGGCTCGTCTGGCCGTGGCGGCAACTCGGGCGGCTTCGGCAGCAGCAACGACAACGACTCGTACGGCTCCTCGGGCCGCGGCGGCAACAGCGGCGGCTACGGCCGTAGCAACGACAACGACTCCTACGGTTCGAGCGGCCGGGGCGGCTCGGGCTACGGCAACGACAACAGCGACTCGTACGGCTCGAGCAACAACAACAACAACGACTACTAAGCGGCCACGCCGGGTTGCTCGTTGGTTTTGCGCTCCTGCACCACCGTGTTCACTGATACCAAGTTCCGGAATGTGCTTGCACAGCTAAAGATGAAATGATATGCTCCGTGGAATCAGGCCCTATTCAATCGATGTGTCGATCGTGATGAGGTTTCGATATGAGCGTTTGATTCGGAGGCGGTCCGATGAGGAAGGTGGCTGTCAAAAAATGCGCCTGATCCGTGCGCCCTTTTTTCGGGCTGAGTTCCTGTTCGGGACTGCCTTCCCGGCCTTTTCTCCTGACCTCCTCGACGCATATGAGCTCGAACCACCAAATGCCTGCGTCCTGTTGAGAGACCGAGTGAAGTTGGTTGAGGGGGAGATGCGACGATCAGCGTCACCTTCGAAATCGCAGGGTGTGCGGCTGCCGCCCCGCTCGCGGGGTGACAAGTCTACAGCAGTCCTCAAGGCTGCTTTCCGCCCGCTTAGCGGTCTGCCTCAACGACCATCGCAGCCGAATCCATCTTCCACATCCTCCCCGATCAAGCCGGTGTTGGCACCACTTGCGCCTCGCAGCATTGAGGAGCTCCAAACCGAGATCACCGAAGCCGAACTTGTTCTTTCGTAAGTTTCCCCACCCTGATTACGAGTCATCTCGAGCCCCAAAACTGACAGACTTCCGCACAAAAGTGCGAGATTGGAGACGCACAATGCGGCAAGAGCAGCCAAGGGTTTGCCACCACATGAGGCCGAGCAGATAGTCGAGCAGTACATCAAGCTGCTCACCCAATACAACCACGTCAAAGACGCCACCCAGCTCGTGTTTGACAAGGTACGCCCCGTCCACACGCTCAGCTCTAACGCGAAGCAATATATGCTGACCCACATCCTTCGCCCTGGGGCGGCCTTGCATCACAGATCGCCGAGCTCCAACAGCTGCCTTCGGGCGACATCCATGCACGCTACGGCGCCTGCGACGAGCTCACAACCTCCAACCCCGCATAGCGCCATCCCACACACAGAGTAATTCCGACTCACCTCATAACACGCTTGAGACTATGCCGGTCCGTTGAATCAACTGCCCTCGATTTGCATCATACGACAGTGGAAGAAGTGCGCGCGTCCATAGATGAAGCTGCAGCGGCGGGAAGTGGAGGCGGCCGCGCACCGTACGACGGAAAGTTCCTTCGGCTGAGCAAGAGCCCCTTGAGGCTGCGAATCTCTGCCTTGACCTGGCCCAAATCTCCTGACCTGGGGCTTTCCGCACCACTCGACCCGGGACCCAAACGGAAGGTTCCACCAGAGTAGCTGCTCGACGAGGTGGCCGCAAACGCGTGTGTCGAGATATCCGCATTGAGACTGGCCAGAGTCGACTTGAGGCCCGCCAGACTCGCCGAGCCTGGGCCGGAGCTTGCCGTTGCGGATGTCTGCGTATGCTTGTGCTTCTTCTGGTACGCGCCGTACGGGTCGAATTCGAGCCCGTCGTCGTCATCCGATCCATCCGCCTCCGTGTCCTCGTCTTCCCACTCGTCCGATCCAGATCCTGCATCGGCCACACTCGCTACCCTGGCACCACGCGATGGGGACGACGACACACTCGGTGCTGCGCCCGTGGATGCTGCCGAAGGGTTGCCGGCCAAGTCACCTCGCAGTGCAGCCGCGAGACTTGCCATGCTCTCCCGGATCGATGCCATCACATCGATTGGCTCGAGCTTGGCTGGCTCCACTTCACCTTCTTCGGAAGCCAATGCGTCTGCGTCGTCATCAGCCTCGTTGGCGCCCTCTGCAAGCAGCGGCGTCTTGGCATCGACGACCACATCAGTACCGGGCATGACGATCTTCTCGCTGCCAGCCTTGGCATCCTTGGCGCGCTGCGTCAACTTGACTCCTTCCTTCTCGCCCTCTTTGGCAGAAGTGTCGACATCGTCATGGAAGTGAACCTTCTTCAGCACGCCCTTGAGCGGCGAAGAAGCCACGTTCGTGGAAGCTTCGTCGGCGCCGATCCTCGCGCGCTGGACGGGGACATATGTGGCGAGGCTGGCGACATTGCTCCTCAGCTTGTCGAACAGCATGATGTGGTGCTTCAGCACGATGCTCCTTGCGTCGAACATGGCGGTGATCTTTGGCAAGATGTAGGCGCGGTACGCCGAGACCACGATCGCCGTGAGGCCGCCTCCGAGCATCATCATGTAGCTGAGCGTGCGGAAGAACTGGAGCAGCACCTGGTAGCGTGTGAGAGGCGAGGCAGCGTTGCCGCCCTGCTTGTGCGGATCGGAATGGGCGATGGTGCTGCCTTGGGATGCGGGAGAGTCGTAGTAGAGAGCGAGAGGAGAGTTCGGGTACGACTTTGGCGGCGGTGCAATAGCGTCTGCGTTGATCGGATCATCAAATTGGCGGGCGGCAATCTCAAAGGCGTCCAGATCACCAGCGTTGGAAGGCTGTACGCCGCTTTGACGAGCGGCGAGACCTTCGACGGGAGACTTGGCATCCTGGAAGGCACGCGAGATCTCGTCCTCGGTCAGGCCCTTGGAACGCAGGAACTCGCGTTTGTCTTCGTCGGATGCAGACTCTGAGACGTTGGCTGAGGTCAAGAATCGATTCGCCTGGGCGAGGATCTGACTCCTGTCGCTCGCCTGAGTTGCTGCGAGCGATGGGGACGAGGATCCCTCGCCAACGCCCTTGGTGTCGTCGGCCATGCTAACTGCGAGTTTCGACGATGAATCGAGGTCCCGTTGAGCCGTCGAGCGTGATTTTGTGGTGGTCGATGTGGAAGAGGATGAAGGAGAGCGCTAACGGCGGCATGTCGACCAGGACCCCACATTCTGCCTGCGTTCCACGTCTCCGCTTATGTCGTCGGCTAAGTCGAGGCGGTTGAAAGACCGAAGACCGGCCTCAGAGAGAGGGCGCGTGCAACCGACTTTCCATCCGCATCCAATTTCTCGCCCGAAACAATTCTCGCACCAACCTCCACGCGCAGAACCGCCCCACCTCGGCCACACATCCTCTCCAAACAACCTCTGCTCAGACTGATGCAGGCCGCACGCATCGACAGCACCGTCGTGACACGGGTCTTGTAGCGGCTGCGGTTTCAATAAACATGTAAAGATGAGACTACGGCCGACTGTTGCAAAGCGAGTAGGAAGGGAGAAAGGCAAGCGGGACAGGGAGAGGTATCGATTACAGCAGAACCTAAGCCTGCACCTGGGCGCCCTCGGAGTCGTCGCGCTTCTTGAGCACGAGCTTCTGTCCGTTGGTCATCCGCCTCCACACGTCGTGGACGTCCTCGACGACGGTCTCAAAGTGCGAAGTGGCGTCGTAGGAGCGCGTGATGAAGATGTTGTCCTCCTTACCGCCCTCGATGGGCTCCTCGAGCGGGCTGATGGAGACAAACTTGTCGAGGATGGGGCCAAGAAGCTCGAGACCGGGACGCAGCTCGAGCTCGGGCTTGTCGGTCTCGACGATGGTGGAGACCTGGGCGACGTAGAAGTCGCGGGCGGCGATGTTCTGGGCGCTCGAGACGCCCGAGATGTAGATGTCGTGCTTGCGGCCGACCTGGTTCTGCGGAATGATGAGCTGGACCGAGTCCGAGTTGTCGGTGTTGGGGATGGGGTGCTTGAGGATGCAGATGGCGCGCACCACCTTGCCCGTCTCGCGCACCTTGTCCTTGCCGTTGACGCCGGATCGGAAGTAGCTCGGGTCGCCGATGACCATGTCGGCCTTGACCGTCTCGTCGCCGCTGCGCACGCCGACAAACTTGCCCGTGTCCGAGTCGACGACGATCTCGTCGACAGGCTTGTCGAGCATGTAGGTGCCGCCGTAGATGGCCGAGAGACGCGCAAAGGCCTGGGGCAGCTCGCCGAGGCCGTAGAGCGGGTAGATGTAGGGCGACTTGCCGTAGCGGGCCATGGACGAGGTGTAGAGGATGATGCGGTCGTAGGTCTCGCGAGCCGGACGCTGGAGGTACGAGTCGTCGAGGTGGAGGGCCATCGAGTGTCCGATAAAGTCCTTGGTGCCGGGTTCGAGACCAAAGTAGTCAAACACCTTGACCATGGGGTCGGCGTCGAGGTCGAGGGTCTGGTGGGTGGCGGGGTCGGCGTCGCGCCAGTTCTGGATGAACTCGAAGAACTTCTTGGCGCGGCGCTTCTCAAAGAGGCCCATGAGCGAGGAGCGCACGGCCTCCATCTCGGTGGCGGGCACCTTTGCGATCTTGCCGTCGCGGTAGACGTACGAGGCGGCGATCTGCTTGAACTCGAGGTAGCGGGTGACGTCGGTGTGGACGAGCATCTGGGTGAGCTCACCGTTGGCCATGATGAGCTTGGGGATCAGGTCGACGGCCCAATCGCGGTCGCGGCCCCAGTCCTTGGGCGGCTCGGCACCAGGACGGAACTTCTCGTAGAGCTGGGTGAGGTTGAGCGAGGCCATCTCGCCGCCGTACACCTGGCCTCGGTCGATGTGGAGGACCTTCTTGCCATCGACGGAGAGCAGCGCCGAGAGGACGCATTCGGTCACACCAGTGCCGAGAATGACGGCGTCTGCAGCAGGATCGAAGATTGGAGGCTCAGTAAGATGCGAGAACAAGCATGATGCGATACGGGCGCCTGTGCGCTGTACTCACCGTACTTCTCATCCATGATGCCTTGGGGGTCGACGGGATTGCGTGTGAAGGGGGGAAAGGGTGGTGGAGGTGTCCAGTGAGGGTTGGTAAGATCACACTCGCGAAAGGGGTCACGGCGAGTGCTGCTATGCGCTTTGTGTGGGAGAGCGTGCGTGAGCGAGAGCGTGGCGCTGGTGCTGGTCTGACCGTCGGTCGGCCAATCGCTAATCGAGCGGGGCTGCGTGTCTGGCTAGCTGGCTGTGCAAGTGCCTCGATTTTGCGCCGAGGTGGATTGTGCATGCATAAGTTGGCTCGCGCTGTGTGCACTTGTGTTGCTCTTTTGCTCCACTCAAGGCTGCAGCGATCGCAGGCTGTTCCACATCCCACGCATTGAAAATTGATTTTGAGTGTGTGAGATCTTCGTTCGCAGTACGCTTGCGCACCAAAAAAAAGGGGGCCCTGCCTTGAGTGGAGGAACGATGCTATTTCAAGCGACCGCCGCTCTCCACGAAATCACTCGACCTTCCGGGATCCTTTGGCGGATGTGCCGATGGACCTGATCGAGAATGCTGATGAAGACGAAAGCAGCTCACGAGCGCGCTTCGATCAGCCGTCAGAACTTCAGAACGTCGTAGGAAGACAGCCAGAAGAAACGAGGGTGGGCGGGTAGCTTTGGTGGGCTTCCCCGGCCTGCAGCGCGCTGCAATAATGCATTCGCTGGGTGGGATTCGAGCCGAGCAGGCTGGGAGGCTGCCTGGCCGTGTCGGTGTTGGTCTTGGCTGGCCGCGCACAGACGCCTCAGCTCCAGCTCAGCCTCCACGCTGCGCTCTACAGTCACACAATTCGCACGGCTCCCCTCCGACGCAGCAACGCTTGGCCTGACGTGGCTCTTCCTTCAAGACGCAAAAGGCAGCTCCTCAGCTGTCACCACGTCCTCGTCACCAACACATCGCAACCGCCACAACCCCTTCGTCTCCTTCGCCGACACATCGTCGGGTGAGCCGATCGACGGCATCAAACGTAGTTTTCTTCTCTTCCTGACCCTGGCAACGTAGTCATGGCGCGTCGGTAGACACCGCAGTCGTCGTCGTGACTTGGCGCCCCACCCGGCTCTCGACGTTACCCAGCGCGCGTCCTCACCATGCTGCGAGAGGCTTTCTACTACCTCCTGGGAGGGGTCACCTTCCTGCCCATCTGCGCGCTTGCCCTGCTCATCCACTTCTACTGGAACGCGCCCTCCGCACGCCGCGATGCTCCGCTAGCCATCGACGCCGACGTCGATCTCAGCCATGAGAAGAAGCTCGCAGCGCTCGACCTCGCCGCTCAAAACGCAGCCATCCACGCAGAGATCGAGAAATCCAAGGGCAAGGACCACCCCCAAGGCGATGCTACCGCTCCTCCCACTGCGAAGCGCATCGGTCCCGGTCCAGCCAATGCCTCCACTGCTCCTCAGCCCCACTTGGCCGGCTGGCTCGTCATTCGCTCCACGTTTGAATCTGACAAAGACAATGCCCCCGCGAACTCGGCCTCGAGCGCTCCCGCCACCATCCCGGCTAAACTCGTAGACGCCGAGTCCGACGCCAGCCGCGTTCAGTCCGATGACGAGCATGCGCCCATCGAAGGCACCGACACAGCGGATGCAGTCAAGTCCAATGCCACTGCGGCGGGGTCGGGCTACATGTCCCAAATGTACAGAGGCATCCTCGATTACCGCATCGGCAGGACTGCCAACAAGAAGCCCGCGGCAGAGGCCAACGCTGCCCGCTCCGCCAATGCCTCCCCCGCTCCTGGCTCCACACCCACCGGCACCGCTGGACGTGAAAATTTCTACTGCATCCTCAAGTCTCCCATCCTCTACCTCTACTCCTCTGACGACGTTGCAAATCCCAACACAGAATGTCACGCCGCCATCGATCTTCGCGCAAAGCGCGTCAGCATCTTTGTAGCCGGTCTCGGTGACACCCTCGCGGACTTTGACGTCGAGCAATTGACCGGCTTGCATGCAGATGAACAACAGCTCGACGGCGATGATTCCTCCGCTCCGGCTGCCTTTGATGCAAAGCAAGCGTGGCGCAAGGCGAAACGAGCCGGCGTTCGCGATGGCGAGCTCTTCATGAAGAGGAATGCCATCCGCGTCGTCGGCTCCGCTCACGGGCGCAGCGCTTCGCCTGGCGATCGCAAAGCAGCTCGCGCCTCGCATCTGGGTCGACGAAGGCCGCAATGGTATATCTTCTGCAAGAACAACTATTTCATGGAGGACTGGTACCATGCTCTGCTCCAAGCCTCGCTCCAGCCAGACTCCAGCATGTCTGCCAAACTCCCCGACGACGCAAGCAGCGACGTCATTCCGAACGTCTTCAGCAAGGTCGATGGCCCCATCGGCTCCACTTTCTCTCAGCACGACATGGCCTCCCTTCTCGTCTCGCTCGACAGCCTGCCGGATCCCCTTCCGCTGCGATGGCTCAATGCCCTCGTCGGCCGCATCTTCTTCTCGGTCTACCGAACAGCCTGGCTCGAGAATTACATCATTTCCAAGATGATGAAGAAGATCAATCGCGTCAAGACGCCTGGCTTTCTCGGCGACATCAAGGTGGTTGAGGTCGACGTCGGAAGGCGTGCTCCTGGCTTTAGCCGTCCTATGCTCAAGGCCCTCACCTCGGAGGGCGAAGCCAGCATGGAGATTGCAGTACACTACGTCGGTGAAGTGCGCATTACCATTTCCACCACTCTCACACTCTCCTTGGGATCTCGCTTCAAGCCTTACACCATCCCCATCGTCCTGGCCGTCGTGCTCAGATCACTCGAGGGCAACCTGTTGCTTCATGTCAAGCGTCCACCAAGCAACCGTCTCTGGTTCGGCTTCACAACCATGCCCAAGATGGAGATCGACATCGAGCCGGTCGTCAGCGAAAGAAAGGTCCAGTGGGGCATGGTCACTCGTCTCATCGAGGGCAGGCTCAAGGAGCTTCTCAACGAGTCGATCGTCGTGCCCAACATGGACGACATCTCCTTTTTCGACACCCGCTCTTTGCCTTTCCGAGGCGGCATTTTCGCAGACGCCGCAAAGAAGGCGGATGCGCTCGGCGGCGATGTCGCTGTTTCGGATCCGTCCTCTGCCGCTGCCAACGCCGCAAAGACAGCTTCGCAAGCGGAACGCGACTCCAAGAGTGTACCGACCAGCACCAAGTCCTCCGATCTGCCTGCAGCCAATAAAGTGGGCACAGTCAGCGCTCCCGTCTCTGGCACAGCTACACCTGACACGCCCGATCGCCAAAGCGCGATCCCGTCTCGGAACGGCTTCGACGAAGACGCAGAGGCAAGTTCTATCAGTGCTGGCGTATCAACGAGTGCCGACCTTCGCAACCGCAAGGCTGTCGGCGAAGCGACTGCGCTGGCACGCAAAGAGGCTCTGCTTCAAACCGCTCGCACATCTTCTCCAGCCGCTGCAGGGCTGAGTGACCTCCTTTCGCGCGACCTAGCCGCTGGAGGTGGCAGCTCGAATACCATCGCTGGTTCTCCGCCAAGACAGGATTCACAAAGCAGCAAGCGTAGGACGTGGTTCGGCAGTGGGTCAAAATCGTCCATGTCCAGCGTTTCGTCGTCCTCTGGGCTTTCCACGCTTGGTCTGAGTGCTGCCGCTCTCGGTGGCAGGTCGGGTCGAGAGCAGAGCAGCCTAGCGCTCGGAAACGCCAGCATAGAGCGTCCGTCGCAACGGTCCAATTCGGCCAACGTGTCCGGTAGGAAAGACTCGACCCTGTCAGCGATGTCAGCACCTGACGCAGGCTCTGTGCGAGCTGCTTCGGACTCGGTGCGCCCCAACTCTGCCGAAAAAAGTGCGAGCGATGTGCGAGGCTTCACCAATCCTCCGGCGCTGACATCGGACTCAGAGGATGCACCAGGCTCATTCACTGTGGCCCGCACAGCTTCGCGCGAACTTGAGGAGGCGCAAAAGCCTGCTGAACCGGATCGTCGTTCCGGCGCACCGTCTCTCATCATTTCGAGCGCATCCGAGCCAAAGCTAGCGACATCTGACGCAGCTGCTAGCGAGCCGTCCCCAGCGACGATGGCGACTCTCCACACGCCGTCCACACGCGATGCGGACGAAGATCAAGATGTGGTGGAGAGCCCTTCCAGCCTAAGCCATAGCACGCGGTCGTCGCTGCGAAGCTTCAGATCCGATGCCGTCAGCTCGCAGCCATCGAGGGACGTGAACAACGACCTTTCTGGGCCTGACGGCAAGGCCCGCGCTTCCGACGCATCCGATGTCGTGCACGCAATCGAGGCGGCCAAGGCTCCCCCTCCACCGCCACGTCGACCAACAAGCAGCGCCAAGGATGAGCTTGCTACACCTCGTCAAGACGCCGCATCGCTGCTCTCGAGCGTGCAGCGCGGTCGGTATGGCTTGAATGACACCGACCGCAGTGCGGGTGAAGAGTCGGGCGCCCTCGCGGGCTCCACATCAGCCATGCTCCTGACCTCGTGGAACCGCGCCAAGGCGAGCATGGCCGACAAGGAATCGAGGCAGGCGGCTGCGCGCGATGCAAAGGATGCGATCAAAAGGGGATGGGCAAACTGGAACTCGAAGCGCGCTGATGCGAAACGAATGTCTGTGGCAGGCGAAGAACTGCGCGACCAGTCCGAATACGACGGCATGTCTCGCTCTCAGTCGAGCCGCTTGTCGCTGGTGCCCGGAAAGTCGGCCTGGCTCGCAAGTAGTCCGCCGGATCCGACCAGCTTCGGTCTTGGCTTCGACAAGGCTAGCCCAGAGAATGTCCGCAGCCGAGGCAGCTCGACAGCGGCCTCCTTTGCCTCCAGGCCACGTTCCAGCGCCACGGACACGGATGATGACAACGCGAGCATGCATTCCAATTCGAGTTCGCGGCAGCCGTACCGCGAATTGAGGGCAGCCAAAAAGGTGCACGGCTTTGACAGCGCCTCGGGTGAGGCCAGAGCGTCTTCGGCGTCGTCGTCGAACCTCGCTTCGACCCAGTCCTCATCGCGCTCGACTTCGCGGACAAACACCTCGACTGGTGATGACTCTGCTTGGACAGCCCAATGGGATGCAGAAGTACCCACGTTGACGCCCCCGATTCCCGCCGCTTTCCGTAACGATCGGGCCGAGGAAGGAAGTCCCGAGTCGAAGCGCAAGGCCCTCGAACGCACGACGAGCAACGACCTGCCCAACACGTTTACTCCGCCTGCCTTGCCTCAAAGGAAACCAAGCAGCAGCGTCTCGTCGACAGGACAAAGCAGCGGCGTGGTGTCCTTCATCCCGCCGGCGCCGTCTACCACGACCGAGGTTGTTGCCATCACCGGCCCTCCAGCTGCCAGTGTCTCAGCGGCTCGTCACCCGAGCGAGGGCCAGACCGATGAGCTCTCCACGTCGGAGAGCTCCGATAGGCAGTCATCGGTGCAGCCGCAAATCCATATTGCCAAGCCGGACTCGCCCGAGCGTCCGCTTCTGGAATCGCCCGGTGCAAAGCCGGTCGATGCACCAGCGTCGCCAGCCCGCACAGCCATTCATCGAGAGTCAAGCTCGTCATCGCTCAAGCGGGAAGCATCTCGCTCTTCATCGACTACGCCCGATGCGCATCCGTTGTCGTCTGGAGACACCGCAAAGCCCTCCTCGGATGGTCCAAACACTGCCAAAGATGTATGTGCCGGTGATGCGAGCGCGTCTGCGACTCTGACCGGGGCGAAATCGGATGAGAGTGCCGATCAGCCTTGGTCAGCAGCATCACCAGAGGTATCGTCGCCTATTCTTGGATCGGGGATCAAACAGCAGCCCGGTCGGGCGACGATGATGGCAGTACCCGGTATTCCCTCGATGCAGAAGGCGGGTCCGCAAAGCTTTAGCGCTCCGCCTCCACCTGAGCCGACCAGCGATGCCGAGACGTCGCCGAGCGCCTTCCGAGCTAGCTCGCTTTTCAAGATGCCCGCCTTTGGTAGCCCAGTGTTGACGAGCGGTGCTAGGCGTTCTTCTGGCTCTGCCTCGGAAGCGTCTGCGTCGGCCGCAGAGAAGACGGCGCCGCCGCCCGTGCCAGCCAGACCGAAGGCTGAACCGAACACCACCGCGCTGGGACTGTCGCAGATGGACGAGTCGGCGAAAGCGAAGGTGACGCCGCCGGTAGTCTCTAACATCGGCGATAAGGCTTCGACAGAATCGGAGCAGCCGGATCACGGCGCCGACGCCAGTTTTGCAGATGTGGCCGGGGCAGAAGGACCTGCGGTCGACCCCGACTTCGAGCGCGCGCAGTTCGATGCAGGCGCCACGGTGCAGCTGGGCAATCGCGAGATCAAGCTGCCGGCGGGACGCGAGTCCAATCGCGAGTAAGCGCCTCTGTGCTTGTTGATTCTCATGTCGCGTCGTTCATACTTTGGCTTGATTTGCAACTCTTCTCGTCCCTTGTTCTGACAGCATGGCTGTGTTTGATTGTGAGCGTGGTGGGCTGGTCTATGGGTCTAGCAGGCCGATGTGTAGTTCTGTTGCCAGGTCGTCGAGTGCATCGGCGGGTTCTTCGTTTGGTTGGTGAGGGAGGGCGAGGGAAGGGTGCATCCAGCGCCAAACGGTGAATGCGTGATTGAGGCCTTTTTGTTCCTGGATGGCGTAGATTCCTCCGTCGTTTGCCCTGTCGCATTGGGAGGCTTGGGGGAGGTTTGCGCCGCAGCAGCCGCCACGGCCGGGGGAGGGGAGGAGGAAGTAGACCTCGCTCACGCGCGAGTGGACGAGCGCCATGCAGCAGTAGATGCACGGCTCGTAGATCGTAAACAGCGCCAGACCGGTGAGCAGGTAGTCGGCACCGTTGGCAACCGCGAGCGACGAATTCGAGCGATCAATACCGCGCAGCGTCGAGACGCGCGATACCGCCGAGATGACAGCATGCTTGAGTGGATTGCGCAGGGCAACGCGCATATCCAACGCGTCGACTTCGATCGTTCCTATGCCAGGCGAGGGCGACGTGTAGACGGCTACAGAGGCGGAAGGTGTCGTGTTGAAGGCAGACCATTGCGCTTCAGTCATACCGAGAGTAGAGATGATGCGTTCCTTGTGCGGATCCCACGTTGTTGTGGCTTCGCAAGGCGGGAGTCGACCGATGATCGGAGCTCCAGGCCCGGTCAGCTGCGACCAGTCACAGCCCTCGCGCTCTTCCCACGTCATAGCCCCGTTTGCAGACTGGAAATGCCGCGCGGCATCAAAAGGATGCGTAACGTGCACGGCCGATCCGATCGCCTTGACCTTGACTACGGTCGACTGATCGTCGGCCCGTTGCAGCGCATGCCTTGCAAGAGCAACACATCGCTTGAACCTGTTCCACGCCCACCGCACCCTCTGTGAGTCGTGCCACATCTTCTCGTCGCCCTTCCTGTCCACCAGCAGCACCGGATTGCCGCCATTGTCCGGCACGAGCTCCTTGGCATTCGTCCTGACAATGCACGGCCACACGGCCTGCCATTCCGTCAACCTCTCCTTTGTCGGCGCAGCAATCACCGGAACCTGGCCGATGTACGGTTCGGGGCTCTCTCCGAACACACTTCCGCCCTCCGTGCGCAGCCAGGAGACCAGTCGGGAGCGGTCCGGAAAGGCGGTGCGCAGGCAGAGGAGGAAGTGCGTGCGTGCGACTTTGCGGCCGTTGGGATCGACGCTGGTCGAGGTGCGGAAGGAGCGCAGGTGGCGCGTCGAGTGCAGGCCGTCGTCGCGATTCTGCAGCTCGGCAGGATGCTTCTGCAGGAACTTGACCGCGAAAGAGGCCGAGGTGGGCGGGATGTCGATGATCCACGCATCGCGTGTGGCGAGCGGCACAGTGACGGGGTCCACGCCCGCGGTAATGCGGTACACCGCAGGCCCCGTGGCAGGCCGACTTGGACCAGGCGCACTTCGAACCTCGATGCCATTCTCCACTCTCTTCGCCTTGTCCACACTCGAGGATTCCTGTTCGTCTTCGTCGTCGCTGAGACCGATGCGGCCCATCTCCATAGCTGCGTGGTCTGGGTCCTGAGCCTGTCTCTTTTCCTGCTCCTCCCTCTCTGTCACCTCCTGCGACGGTGGGGGTTCCCACCACATCCTTCCCGCGCCGTACGAGATGGTGAGCTCCTCGCCCTCCGCTACCGCCCTCGTCGTAGTATAGCTGATCGAATGCGTCGCATGGTCCAACACATATTTGACGTTGGGCGCGGTCGGGTGGTGGTTGAAGAGCGACCCCAGCCCGAGAGCCAGCGCCATCACCGCCCTGCCGCCTGTGCGTTTCCACACAAACGTATAACCGTCCAGCTGCGTCTTGCTTCCGTACTCGGCATACTCGGCTGGCGGGAACAGCAGCACAGGGCTCACTTCGATGAGCGTGTCTGCGGCGAGAGGCGCAGTCGCATATACCCCCCGCCCGCGTCCCCCACCGGGGTCGCGAATCGAGAGCCCAAATCGGTTGAGGTGCGGCGTGGATGAAGGGTACTGGAGCAGAGACTGGACGTGTGCTTCCTGGTCCGCAGCGAGCGCGGGCAGGTGCGTCTCAACCATCTTGCTGCCCCACTGCTGCGCTCTGCGTTAGAATGTCGATATGGACGTTACCGATCGAGAAGCTTTGGGTTCCATGCACCGCCCAAATTTTCGACCAAATCTCGGGACCCGGAGTATGTCAACCTCCTATCACGCGACACCCCTTCGCCTCTCGCTCTCGCTCAATATCAAGCGAGGGTAACGCCACGAGTTCTTTAAGCACAGTGAAATGATATTAGCAAGATTGCGCGAGTCCATGTCCGTGAGATGCTACTGAAGATGTTGATACAGGGAAAAAAGAAAGATGCGAGGGCGAAGGCAGTCTCGCGGTCTCGCCGATATTGGAGGCTCGTGAACGAGCCGAGGTGTGAAAACGAAGATGCAGATGAAGCGAGAGGCACAGGCGCTAAGCCGTCTTTGCAGTGGCAGGGCGGTTGGCGGCAACGATGCTTTCGGGGTCGGGGATGCCGGCGATCTGCTCGAGCTCTTCGCACTGCTTGGTGAGCTCCTTGCTTTTGCCATCGAGCCAGCGGATGAGGTCGACAGCCTGGAAGAGCACCGCACTCTTGGAGCCAGCGCCGCCTCCGGCACTGCCGCCTCTTCCTCTGCCCTTGCCGCGCTGGCGCACGCCGTCGGGACCCGCCTTTTTCGCCTTCTTTGGCGGCTTCTTGCGGCCGACGGCGAGCACGTCGACAACGTCGTCAACGTCGGATCGGTCGTCCAGACCCTCGTCCTCCACTCCCGTGCCAAAACCGGACGAGAGGCCGAGTGCACGTGCGCCAAAGTTGCGTCCGTCGTCGAGCAGGACCACGAGGTCTTTGAAGCCCTCTCGGATGTAGTTGCGCCGTCTTTGTTCGGAGAGGATGTGATTCTGTCGTTTTTCGGATTCGGTCAGCAGCTCTCTCTTGCTGCCAGCATCGCGATCTGCCTGCATTGAAGTGTCTTCGCCGTCGTCATGCTCCGTCTTGAGCTTCTTGCCACCTGTGTTGTGCTTGGACGGCGTGGGTGCGGTGACGGAGGGCGGTTGTTGTGGCTGCGATGCGGCGGCTAGAGCGCGCGATTGCGCCACCATGTCGAGCCCTGCGCTCATGTTGAACATGTCGGCGTGCATCCTGGTCAAGGAGCCAAGTGCGAGCGCGGCCTGAGTCTGCTCATCCGCTTCACCCGTGCCAAAGTGGCCGGCGTTGCGCTTGGACCCGACTGCGGAAAGGTCGTGTGCGCTGTGCTGTGCATACTGTTGTGGTGCGGTGTGTTGCTGTGAAGACCATTCAGAGAGACCACCGCCGAATGCAGTGTTGACCAGATCGGCTTCGTGGTGGTAAGGCCGCGACTTGCCGGTGCTGAGGCTGCGCTGATGGGCATGGTTGCGCGCCGAGCCGTGTGGAGATGTGGCCGAGGAGGAGGTGTCGTGCGGGCTCTGAGACGATGATGCGGTGGCGGATCCAGAGCCCGAGCCGGACGATGCCGTCGCTCCCGAGGCAAGCTTGGTACGGGCTTGGAGGCGGCGCGCTGCTGCTGACATGGCAGCGCCTTCATGTAGCATTGGATCGCGACTGGCGGCGGCCGAGCCAAAGTCAGCCGGGAAACCCATTGCCTCGGCGGCCGCTGCTGACCTCTCCGCTGCGGCGGCAGAAAAACTGGGCAATCCCTCGGGCAGGCTGGGATCGAAATCCCATTCGAAGCCTTCTAAGAAGTTGACGAGCATGTTCTTCTCTTTGGCATCGAATAGCTGAGCACCCTGAGAGTGTTTGTCGCTCGCGCCTGGCGTGCCGATGCCGAAAGGCGACATGGTGCCGCTAGGGAAAGCGTCCAGATCGAACAGATTCGCGCCCGAGGGTTCAAAGTCGGGGGGTGGAGGAGGTCGGAGAGCGGACTCGGAGAAGCGAGAGGAGCCGACGCGCGGAGAGGCGGGTCTGCTACCCTTGGAAAGGCTGCCTCTGCGGCTATTGGACCTGCTGGCCATGTGGATGTCGTCTTGTCCGAAGCCCAGAGTCTGGGGAGTGGAAGCCAAGAAGTGCGATGTGAGGCCTGGAGTCATGGGGTTGGAAGGCCCGCCTTTGCGGTCGGCCGAGCTGATGAACTGGAGGTCGTGGAGATCCAGCTCAGCCGGAAGGTCGAGGGAGAAGTGGAAGTCCTCGTAGGGGACGGGCATAGGCGGAAGGTCGGAGCCTTTGTCGGTGGCATCGTTTTGGTGCTGCATTGCTTCAGCAGAAGGCGAGGCGGTGGCGTTCAAAGGAGGCTGGTGTAGCGAAGATGGAGTAGTCATGTCGTGAAGGTCGATTTGAGGAGGAAGTTGAACCGCGACGCTCATGCTTTGCGCGGCCGAGTGTGGGCAGATCCTTTTGTGTGCGGGGGAGCAGCTCGGCCAGGACGAGCTGAAGGGCGAAAGATGATGCTACGCCGTCGGACTGGACGGCAAGACAAAGCTTTTGTTGACGGCGAAGAGAAAGTCAGAAGCGCAGGGCTCAAGTCGCAAATGTCTGTGATGCGAGCTGATGACCAGACATGGACTCGTGCTGGTTCGTGGCTTCGAATGCGAGGCGACGTGGTGGCAGATGCGATGTGAGCTGATCCAGGGCGTGCCGGACGTTCTGTGGACGCAGAGACCCGTTTGCGAACCGATAGACGCCTGCCAGACGGAAGCAGCTGCAGCAACGGTGATGTGGTGTCTGTGCGAGTGTCTGCACGACAGCTGCGCGACTATTGACCAATCACGAGCGCGATGGTATACGTGATGTGCAGGCGATGCGTGTAGCAAGATGAGCCTTGCGTTGCGCTCGGAGGGTATGGTGGTGGGGAAACGGGAGGGAGGCGGCGACCCACGCGCGAAGAGAGTGCGACAGCGAGGGGGCCCGGGTGGTTGGAACAGGGCTGCGGGACGAGGGCCAGGAAAGAGTTGGGCACTGCCCAAGCGCCGAAAGCCAGCGACCGGTTCTGCTAGTGCTGCAGGCGGCGGCGGCTGGGCTACGGCGAGTCAAGCATGCGGCGGCAGAGGCACAATTTTCTGGATGCAGTTTGTGATGGCTGCTTTGCGTTGCGTTGCGCCGGGTGCAGTGCAGTGCGGTTGTGGTGCTCTCGGGCCAGCCGGTCGCGTGTCGCCGGATGCTGCCACACCCGCCTCCTCACACTCAGCCCAGTCAGCGGAGCCACTAATCCAATTCCAGCACCGACCCCAGCCTGGATGGCTGCCTCAAAAACCAAAAAACCAAAAATAAGTCCCGCCAAGTTCCTGTAGCGAGCAGGCACACACTCTCTCGCCAACCCACGACAATCTCGACCTGCCAGTCATGGCACAGGCAATCTAGGATGGCAATCTGACGCTCACATTGCCTTGGCCGCAAGCTGGCACCGAGGGCGATTCTACTGGTGCGGAGCGATGATACCGATCGCACCGTGTCACATTCTGATTGTGGGGTCAGGGCGGGTGCGCGGGGCACAAGGGTTAAGGCTTGGGCCGCGAGCATGTCCAGGACCCAGATTGCAAGAGTGCCCTTGCGAGCATCGTGTGCACGGCTCAGCGAGGGTTTATTGTTCTCGCTCGGCCTTGGAAGCTGAAGCCACACTCGACTGGTCAGGCGGCACTCAATTGGCCAGGTGAGACAGCCTTCCACTCGACGACTGGGATCAAAGCGGCAGCAAGCGACCATCGGCATGCTCCTGGACGCTCTGCTCGATTGCGCGCAGCCGCAGAAGAAGCGCGTCTCGGAGGTTTTATTTTGAAAAAAAAAAAGCGGGCAGTCTCGCACATCTGGCAGTCAGTTGGCCAAGCACGCCTGCTCGGGATGACATCCGAAGAAGAGACGGCGTGCACATCAGCATCTTTCTTCGAGGCTTCATCAGAACTGCAAGTGCGGGGAAAAGGCTAACGATCATGTCGGACTGAATCGGAATAAGGCTCGGACATGCCAAGCTGCCGTGGCCAGGAGAAAGGGGGCCCCAGATGGACGCCGAGCTTTGAGACCCGCAAGGATCGAGGTTACCACCGGCCTGCGTTGTTGGCAATTGACAGAGCCAGACCGAGAAAAAAAGGAATAAAAAATCGGCTACGTCCAGCCAGCCTCTGCAGCTTCATTTCACCGGCACAAGAGCTGGACTCAATTGTTCATAGGGCGCTCCGCTCTTCCTGGTCAGAACCACTGACAGCCCGAACGAGGCGGTGTTGGAAGCAGCATCGAATGCGAGCGGATGAGCATCCGCCAAGGGAGCAACAAGGCAGCCAGCGGGAAGTAGAGAGAGCAGGCCGACTTGGACAGGTGCGTCGCGTGAAATGGAGCAGGGATGCGGATGAGCAGTGCTCGGCTATGGCCATTGCGGCTCCCGACATCGGTGAGGCGCTCTTCCGGCTTCCTGCAACCGCGTCCATGCCTAGACCGCATCCGCCTCGGCTGCGCCGCCCGGCCAAATCGGATCTGGCCCTTGACTTTCGATTATTGGAAATTCGTTCGAGGCTGTTAGCTTCTCTTCGCCTCTCCTTTGGCCTGTTGCACGGCGATCTCGTGACAGTTCGCATCGGCAGATTCATTGTTGGCACGCCAGATCGACAGGCCGCCGAATGAGCCTGCCTGCTGCTCTGCATGTGATCCCGAACGCAGCTTCTGACCTCTGCCTTTGCAGTAGTTGCATTCGGGTTGCATCGAGGCCCCGCTGCCGTTGGCCCGTAGCTTGTGCCAATGCCTTGCGCACATCTTGCTATCTCACTGCTCCTTCTTCAGCGTCGGGACTCTGCCTTGAGGTCGCGGCCTTTCTGGGTGCTCGCTTCTCCCACCGATTTCAATGACGCCCGCCCATCTCGCACATGTCCAGAGTGCAATTCATGCTCCCACAGCGATCCATGGCTGCGAATGGGATCGGCACCATCAACTCGAACTTCACTCACTGCACGGGAAGCGGGGCAATCCTCGCGTACGGCGATACGTCATGTTCGCATGCTCACGCCGCGTCTCACCTTAATTTGTTTTTCTTTTGCATGCAGGCGGCGCAACAAGACGGCGCCCCTCTTCTCCACACCGGATCCCTGCTGAGTGGCCTGGCGATGGCCTCCTCGGATTCGCCGGGCGGAGTCACACTTACACTGCTCGAGCTCGTCATCTTCGAGTCAATTTGGACTCCCGACGAGCTCGCAAACGGATGGTGTTCCGCGACCCCCTACTTGGCCAACGAGGCCGGAGTGCGAACTTTACCTGCGCTCTCGAGCCGGTCGCGTGAGCTGGGATCGTCACGCGGCATGGGCCGCCTGCATTTCCCGTGACTGAGCCAGGCAACAGGATCGCCACAAAGGGTGGTGGGAGAAAATTCGAAGGGACTCCCCATGCCAAGCAGCCGATTCCATGCGCTGCTCCACCCTCGCCTCGAACTCTGTCCCTTTCCAATCGCTCGTCTCTAAGCTCGAGCCGTGTCTTCGCAATCGATGCTCTCGGCTTGGACACGGAGACAGGCACAAACAAAAGACGTGGCAGCTTGGGCCTTTTGCACGCTCACACCTCGCTTGCGGCGCCAACGTCATGCTTCCCTCGCATCGACGAGTCCACTTCTGGGTGCTTGGTGCTCCGGCTTCGGCGAGCCCTATCGATCAAGTCGGCGAGGTCAGCTGTGGTGCTTGCCGTTGCGACAGGGGCTGCCGGGGAGTGCATAAATTTAGGGGCGAGGAAACTGCTATCGTTGTTAGAGCCACGTTCAAACATGCTGACTGCCAGCCACGTGACCAGCTCAATTGAGTGTTACTTTTGCGACTCGCATGCGCTTCTTCTCGCCCTGGAGTGGTGGCATGCTGCAACCCGTCCAAGGGCGGCCTTGGCCTTCACGACCCTTAACTTGAGCCTGCCATCTTTCACAGCGCTCTTACATCTACTTCTACAGCATACCCAGCTGACTGCCCGACCACACAGGATGAGCTCACACAACGTCCGCGAAACTACCGTCTCCGCGCCGGGCAAGGTTCTCGTCGCCGGTGGATACCTCGTCCTCGACCCCGCCTATCCTGGTTCGGTCATCTCCACTTCCTCCCGCTTCTACTGCCATGCGCGTTCGCAAACCTCCAAGAGCTCTTCGGATGCAGCCAAGCAGCAGAGCTGCACCGTCACTGTCCACTCTCCGCAGTTCCTGGATGCCGAATGGGTGTACAGGGCTTCATTCGTTCCGTCCACCGCCTCGGCACAGGACCAGCCAAAGGGACACTGGGTACTCGAGCAGACGGAGGAGTCGCGCGCCAAAGCCGGTCGCAACCCATTCGTCTCGCTTGCCCTTGTATACACTCTCCGACTCGCCGCAGAGGTCAAGGGGGACGAGGAGCTCCTGTCGCTCCTCCAACGCACCCGGTCCGAAGGGATCCACATCACCGTCGCTGCGGACAACGACTTCTACTCGCAACGAGAGACTCTCAACCTAGCGCCAGGAACGGCTCCTACGGTCGATCAGCTCCAGCAGCTTCCTGCCTTTTCGCCACAAAAGTGCCGCATCGGCGACGTGCACAAGACCGGCCTCGGCTCGAGCGCCGCTATGACCACCTCGCTCGTCGCTTGTTTCCTGCTGCATCTTCAAGCGGTCATTCCCACAGACTCGGGCTCTCTCGAGACCGAAGACCTGGCTCTCATCCACAACCTTGCTCAACTTGCCCACTGTGCAGCACAAGGCAAGGTTGGCTCGGGCTTCGACGTTAGTGCTGCCATCTGGGGCAGTCAACTCTATCGACGTTTCGAACCAAAGGTCCTTCAGGCCTGCCTCGATGAGGGCGAGAAAGTCTTTGCTGAGGGAGAAGAGTCGACAGAACAGCGAGATGGTCGGCTGTCAGCAAGGACACAATTGCTGCCCGTCTTGGATCCCTACAACCCGCTTTGGAAAGCATCGCCGCTGTCCTCCAGCGGCGCTCCCGAGGACACCAGCGCTCACTCTACTGCGACCGAGGGCCTCGTCGCATCGGGTCAAGATCAAGTCGCAAGGCCTGCCTCCTTGCAATTACCGCCCAGTCTTGACCTCCTCTTAGCCGACGTTGACGCGGGCTCCAACACGCCCAGTCTCGTTTCTAAGGTGCTGGCTTGGCGCAAGGAGAAGCCTGAATGGGCCAATCAGCTCTACAACGTCATTGCCGCCTCCAATCAGAATCTTGCCGATAGCCTGCTCAGGCTTCGTATCCTGCACGCTTCCGATGCCTCGATGTACGAGAAGCAGATCAACGCGGCCGCCAAGCAGCTTTCGACCGAGTGGGATGCGACGCTCAAGCAGCTCCCCGAAACAGCCGACGAGAGCCACGGCGACGAGGCTGATGCATCGAACGTTGACCTGAGCGTGACCCCGCGCACGGTACTGCAAGCGCTGGTGGATGTGCGCAACAGCCTGCGCTCAATCCGAGCAGGCATGCGCGAACTCGGCAACCGTGCGGGCGTGCCCATCGAGCCGCCAGAGATCGGCGCCCTGATCAAGAAGATCAGCGACGAGATCCCCGGTGTCGTAGGCGGCAGCATCCCAGGCGCCGGAGGCTTCGACGCCTTCTACATCATCCATCTCGAGAGCACCGATAGCCCGCGCAGCCTGGCTCAGATCTGGCACCAGATCCACAGCGTCAACGAGCAGGACGAATCCAAGCTTACCCTCGGACCACTGCTGTCTCGAGCGGATGGAGCCAAGAGCGCACCGGACGAGGGTGAGGATGGCGGTCTAGACGAAGAGGTTGCTGGTCCCTTCGCAGTGCTTTTGAAGACGCTCAAGGCGTCCGAGCATGCAGGACACGACTTTGGCCTTCGTCTGGAAAAGGTGGACGAGGTCAAGGGTCTCAAAAACGCGATCGACACCTCAGTCTGATGTTGGAGCGAACCATGTGCTTTTAGACTAGCATCGGATCGAAGATACCCATCCCTAGAATGCGATGCACTACGTCAAAGGTTAAGGTAGCGATCGAGCGTGTGCCTGAGCGAAGTGGCCGTAGGCGCGAGCGAGCGCGCGTCGTGTATAGTGGATTGATCAGGGGCCCAGCAGGGTAAAATTCGGAGCGCAACTCAGCGCGAAGTGTTGGTTGGAGCGCTGTTGGACCCTGCGCTTGCAAAACCAAACTCAGCTTCTCATCTTTCTTCTTGCTTCGCGTGTCATGGCGCTGTCTGCTCTCGCAAGCTCACAATAGAACCGCTTGCATCGAGCATGCATCAACGATGAGCATGCGCGATAAACAAGCTGGCGTGCGATGCTCGGTGCTCCAGCGACACTTTGCCAAGGTCGTGCCTCTGCTCACCTTGGTGCACGATCGCTTCGGCATCGACGCCTCCACATCCTCTTCGAGATCGACACCTAATCTCTCGGAAGAGCGGTGGGCCTGTCTCTACGGAACTGTCGTTGGTCTCGACCAACATGCCTCCGATGCGTCTCAGAGTCGATCTTGGGACGCCATGATCTCGAGCAGCGCGACCTCTTACCACACTATCTACGAGGCTGTCCAGGAAGCCCAGTTACAAATCCTCTCCCTGACGTCCTCCAGGGGCGCAACAGCAATCCATGGTCGACAGACAGCCTCGAGCAATATCCTGCTGAAGGGCTACCGGCGCCCCGATGACCGTCTAGAGTCGTTTCGCATCACGTCGACCGGCCGACCCGGGTTGATCAACCTGTTCCCCAACTCGATGGTCACAAACCTCGTCCTGGAGAAGGAGTGGCACTACCTCTTCCACAAGATCGGCTCCGAGAGGTTCATCTGGCTACTAGTCCATACCAGCATCTTTGTGCCGCTGATGCGTCACGGAGCAGATGGCACGTGCTTTGTCCAGCTCACGGGACCAGCTCTGAGCGAGCCTGCCATCCCCAAAACGACCTTGGATGAGCAAGCTCACAGCCGTGGGAATGCAGTGCCGGGACTTGGCCAAGACCGCATCGAGCTACTGGCGCAGAAGCAGGACAAGACCCTGCAGCCAATTGTCGAAGGTCAGACGGATGGTGCCGCGGAAGCAGCGGTCCCCGATGCAGCACGAAGCTTGAAGCTAGGCAAGCGGGCGAGGGGCTTCGAGAGGACCACATCACGCCTCAGTACGAGGTCGATGGCATCTGATACCGACCTCGCCACCTCGGCCGCCAATGCACGAGCCCTGGCGAGGAAGCCCTCCGAGATTGTGTTGGTGCGAAGCCGCATGTTCTACGCCCGCTCTTCTCGCAACAAGGCTGGTCGCGTCGAGATCGGTCTACCGAGCGTGCACGTTCTGCCCCGTTCCGGCTGCGCCAAAGAGCTCGACAAGGCGCTCCCAAACTCCTCTCAGGCTTCTAGCACAGGTCAGCGTACTAAGCCAACCAAGACCGCCGTGTTGCGGAAAAGCCGCCCATCTCCCGACACCGCCAACGAGCTAAAGCGAGGCTTCAAAGATGCCGAATCCATGTTCAAGGCGAGAAGGACTCGCCACCTGGCCAAGTACGTGTTTCCGCGCCAATTCGGTCTGCACAATGTCTTCACTGGTGCTCGCGACTTTGATACGACTACGCAGCCTTTCAGAGACTACACGGTCCGAGAGGCCGAGATCAAGATGCTTGGCGCCAAGCGCACTCCCAAGGCGATCCGAAGCGCGCTCCCTATCCTGGCAAAGATACTTGTGCGGCACGACAAACTCAACTACCGCGCGCTCTTGGACCGCTGCTGTCCCTCGCGAGTTCCCAAGGGCAGGCTGACGGCTCAGGAGCGCAAGCAGATCGTCGAGGACCTTGCAGAGATCGAGACGCTACAGGCCGGAACGCATCACTCCGCCGCTCGCGATGTGGCCACCGAGCGACCCCCTCCAGCTTCTAGTTCAAGCGGCGTGCTGACGGACAGCGCCCACGCCAATACTCCATCCAAGGGAAACATTGCAAGTATGACTTCTAAGTTGAACATCGAGATGCCGGCACCTGCGCCACGCAAGCCGCGGTATCACAACTATGCAGTGCCCACCACTGGGCAGGTGGCGCACTTTGCCAAGTTGGTCGTCAAGTCGCTGCTCCCGCGCGACCTGTTTGGGTCGCGCCACAACCAGAACCTGATCCTCGACACGATCGGTGACTTTGTGCGACTGCGCCGCTTCGAGTCGTTCAATCTGCACCAGATCGCGCAGTCATTCCGCTTTGCAGACGTAGATTGGGCTCTTCCTCTTCAGGCATCGCGCAAGCGCCGCCTGTCGCGCCACGACGCCGAGGCTCGCAAGAAGGTGATTCTTGAAGTGCTGTACTGGCTCTTCGATGGACTGCTCATTCCGCTGCTACGAACCACCTTCTATGTCACCGAGACCGCGGCGTACCGCAACCGAGTGCTGTACTTCAGGCAAGACGACTGGCACGTCCTCTCACGGCCCGTGCTGGGCCAGCTGAAAGAGACCATTTTCGAGCCATTGACACGTGCAGAGGCACTCGCTATGATGTCGTCCCGCAAGCTGGGCTACTCGCACGTGCGACTGCTACCGAAGGAGACTGGCGTTCGGCCGATCGTGAACTTGCGACGGAGGAGCACAAAACAGGTTCACAGTGCTAAGAGGATCGAACAGGAAGAGGGAAAGTCCAAGTCGAAGCGAGCCAGGGCGACGGCGGTTCCCACTGCGAAACAGCGCAAGGAGTCGCTCATGCTGGGCCAGTCGATCAACTACATCCTGCAATCCGTCTTTCACGTGCTGACCTACGAAAAGAGTCGCATGTTGGCGGCGTCCACATCTCAAGATCACACCATCGGGCACGAGACAGAGCAGACGGACGTGGATATGCTCACGAGCTCGGTCTTTGGACCCAACGAGATCTACACCCAGCTCAAGACGTTCAAGCAGAGCCTCTTGCCAGACACGCGGTCTACAAAGGGACGTTCTACCAGCAAGAAGCGCCCAGAAACGGCAGAGAAGAAGCTATACTTTGTCAAGCTCGACGTTCGCTGTGCGTTCGACTCGATCGACCAGGCCAAGCTGCTAGAAATCATCGAGCAGATCCTGCGCAAGGGCGAGGACGAGCAGACAGAAGGCTACCGCATCCACCGCTTTGCCAGGATCATGCCCTCCGCCGTGCACGAGTCCCGCTCCGCCGCCGCCCATGCTTCAGGCGCGAATAATGCTGGAGCAGCTGGAGCTGTGCCTTCGCGCGCAGCTCACCCACGACCGTCGGGGACCAAACGTGAATTTGTGCGCCTCGCAAGGCCCGACTCGGAGCACATCGACTTTATCGACCTGGCGTCGTCTCTGGCCGTGTCGCTGCACGACGTCGTTTTTGTGGACAATGTGTCGTATCGCTACGAGTCGACCTCATTGATCCTCAAGCTGCTGCGGCAGCATGTGACGGAGAATCTCATCAAGATCGGCAAGGAGTTCTACCGACAGCGCGTGGGCATCCCGCAGGGATCGAGTCTGTCCACGCTGCTCTGCAGCTTCTTCTACGCTGGCATGGAGGCGCAAGATCCCTTCTTGCGCAGCCTCCGCAGTGGCGGTACGTCCGACAAGAAGTGTCTGTTGATGCGCTACACGGACGACTTTCTTCTGATCACGACCAGCAAGCGGCAGGCCAAACAGTTCTACAACGTGATGCGCAAGGGTCATCCCGAGTACGGTTGTTTCATCAGCCCCGCCAAGACGCTGGTCAACTTTGATCTGGTCGACCCGATGATGGCTGCAGAAGTCGGGCCCCTGGTACAGCGCACGTACGGGGACGAGTTCCCCTGGTGTGGCTTGACAATAAACACGCGTGATCTGGGCGTCTCGACCGACCTGACACGGTATGCAGCCACAGATATGCGCGACACACTCACAGTGGAATACTGCCGACGTCCAGGGGTGGCGCTGGTGGAAAAGATGATCCAGTCGATGAAGTCGCGCTGCCACATCCTCTTTACCGACACCGCGCTCAACGGCGACGACAGAGTGTATGCAAACGTGTACACGAGCTTTGCGGTTGCTGCGCTCAAGTTCTCGGCGTATCTCTCTGAGCTGCGCAGGTTCGGGATCACATTCACGGCCGAGTATCTGCTCAAGGCGATCCGCAGGCTGGTGACCTTCACAAGCAGGTATATCGGGTCGAGAGCTGCCAGCGCAACGTCACGGTTGAACTCGACTGCCAAAGACGACAAACACGCACGGGTGGGCGGGAGCGGAAAGAGGGCTGCGGTGTGGCGGGTGAGCTGTACGGTCCATGGTCCATACGTGCACTGGCTCGGCTACACGGCGTTTCTCAACGTGCTTCGCCGGCAGGACATCTTTCCTCGACGCGGTCGACGCAAAACGGCGACAGCGGAGGAACAAGAACAGCGCAGCCCGTATCATCGGAGCATGGACTCGGACACGAGGCGCGCGCTTGTCAAGCTGGTCGAGGCGTGCGTTCGACGCACCTGTAGCGATGCCTCCAGACGAAGGCTCAGCAGTATCGCGACGAAAGCTTTGCAACAAGCGCAGAAATCTTTGCACATCTAGAAGTTAATGCAACGTGTTATGCGCTCTTGATGTGTCCCTCTACGTCAGCCTCGCAGCTGGTCCCTTCACTTGGCCGGTCAGAGTGTGGTTACGATGAGGGTGAGCAAAAGTAGTACAATGTTAGATTCATTCGAATCTCGGCACCCGGAAAACGGGATCCTGCTCCACTTGAAACTCGCATGAGTCGGCTTGATCAACACCTTCCTGCCACGACCTACCGCCTGCTCACGAGGTCGCCAACAGCGCCAGAACGATGCAGCCGTAAGTGGCGCCAATTATGTCACAGACAGGCGCTGGAGCCTCAGCGGGCGTGCCGCAGCCCGACCGAGGAGCTCGAGAGCAAGACCCTCGACAGCATCCTGATGCGGCGGACCCACATGCGGATGCCATCGAGTCGGAGGACAAGGCTTACGCAGAGCAGGCGGATACAGAGCCAAGCGCAAGGAGCCTCGGGAAGCGCAAAGAGGTCAGCGTTCCTATCCCTGGGGGGGTATCGGGAGATGGCGAGGAAAGAGTCACACCCCGCGCAGCTCACTCGAAGCCGCCTCGGGCTTGGTCGGCGCTAGATCGTTCGGCGCATCCGAGGATCACGTCGTCGCGGTCGGTGTACAGCTACGAGCGCCTGAATCACATTCAAGAAGGTGCATATGGTGTCGTCTTCCGAGCGCGGCCGCGCGATCCATCCGACTCTGACGCCAAGCCCCACCAGACGGTGGCGGTCAAGAAGCTGAAGCTCGACAAGAGCGGAGTGGACAGCGACGGCTTCCCCATCACATCACTGCGCGAGATCCAGTCGCTCACGATGGCCCGCCATAATGCCAATGTAGTGCGCCTGCACGAGGTGTGCATCGGCAAAACGCTCGACCAGATCTTCCTCGTAATGGAGTTTGTCGAGCATGATCTCAAGACGCTGCTCACCTCGTTCCACCGCGCACGCACGTGCTTTGCGCCCTCCGAGGTCAAGACGCTGATGCACCAACTGCTGAGCGCGACTGCACAGCTACACGAGGACTTTATCGTGCACCGCGATCTCAAGACGAGCAACCTGCTCATGAACAACCGCGGCATCCTCAAGGTCGCCGACTTTGGCCTGGCGAGGAGGTACACCGATCCGATCGCGGGGTGGATCGCGCCTTCGCAGCCGCGGTCGAGCACAAGTGCGACGCAGCAGCGCGAGCAGGACCCTTTGAAAGGAGGCATGACGGATCTGGTGGTTACACTGTGGTACCGCGCACCGGAACTGCTCCTGCTCAACCAGATCGCCGAGTCCCGAGAGCGAGAACACAAGCACGCATCTCATCGACCGAACAACGGTCAGCCAACCCCTGACCAAGTCAGTGCACAGGATCCTCCTCCGCTCTACGACGAGAGCATCGACATGTGGAGCATCGGCTGCATCTTTGCCGAGCTCCTCTTGACCTCCAAGTCGGGCCAGGGTCTGTTCCAGGGCAAGGACGAAGTGGACCAGTTCCGCGGCATTGTCTCTGTTCTCGGCCCACCCAACACCACCATCTGGCCGGAACTTCCGCTCTACTCGCGTGCACACGCGCGCATCGCTGCCTCGTCCGCCACACCTGCGTCCGAGGAGGATCGCATCAAGCGACGCCTCGAACGCGAGTTCCACCCGACCCGGCTCACGCCTGCTGCGCTCGACCTCTTGTTTCAACTGCTGCATTACGATCCCAAGCAACGCATCAGCGCCAAGCACGCGATCAAGCATCCGTTCTTTACGGTGGAAAAGCCCAAGATGGCTCATCCGGACTCGTTCGGCAGCTTCCCCAGCGTCGCAGCGGGCGAGAGGGTGCCGCATGGCACGCCGAGCGCGCCCAACGAGCACGCCAACAGAGGCCATGCAAAGCGAAAGCTCGACGCCGCCGAAAAGTACCCGCTCCAGTTCGAGTTTGACGTGTAGGCGGCTTGATCATAGCCGAAATGTACTTGTATCTCACTCGCATGCGTAGGAGCGTTTGGCGTGACGCAACTAGAAATCTTCGGCAAACTGAGCGCGTGAGATGGGTGGGCCGCGAGGATCTGCATGTCAGTGGCTGCAGAAGCTATGCTCGGGGTGGAAGGGCGTGGGACTGACCATGGGTACGTCGTAGAACAGCGGATGGGCGCCGAACGGTTCAGGGCCCCAGTAGACGAGGTAGGGCACAGGCAGCCAGACCGTGAATGGCGGAGGCGGAGGTGGCGGAGGCAGACGCGAGGGGCCGAGCGCGAGGAAGGGTGCCGGCTCGAGCGCATCGTACGGCGGGCCAGGAAACGGAGTCCACGGAGGCACGTCAAAGTGGCGATGTTCGTGCGACCATCGTCGAGCTGGACTGAACGGTGCATCGATCATACCCGGGCCATGCTCGCTGGGTCGTTCCGAGCTCATGGAGCTGCGACGCACGCGTGGCGACAGAGACAGATCGGCAATGCTTTCCGCGCACGCCATGACGGACGCGTCGGGCTGACTAGGCACCGGCAAATCATGCTCGACCTCGTGCTCTGGGCCGAAAGGCACCTGTACCGTCGCGAGTTCTGCCTCGAACGTCTCCGTCGCACTCTGCTGTGGGGCATCGTTCGAATCGGTAATATCGCTGTGCTCGGAAGCTTTGCGGGTGTGCAGAAAGCTCGCAGCTAGCGACGGCTGCTCTGGCGCAAAGTGGGGCTGCGACCACGTCGATGTGAGGCTACCACGACCACGTCCACCGCGGAAAGCACCGCGACTGGGACGAAAGCGCCCTTGACCTCGCCCACGTCCGCGACCAGCTCCTTGAAACGGAAGCATGACCGCCGCAGTAGTATCGGTGCTGCCGCCATCGAGATACGGGCGTGTACTGGCCAAGTCGGTGTGGATTGTACCGCGGAAATTTCCGCGCGAGCCACGGGGTCGTCCTCGTCCGCCACGCTGCAGTGTCAGGCCCCGGTGGGGTACCTCGGCCACAGCCTCGGGGCGCGATGGCAGGCTTCGAGGCGGGTCACTCGTCATCGTTCCCGAGGTGGCCATCGTGGTCCGAGGCTCGGCTACGCCATCGCGGTGCTCCTCACCGTCCATGTTTGCGCCTCCAAAATGGTGGAGAGTCGAGATGGCGGATGTGGAAAGCAAGAGGGAAGGAGGGTCGCAGCGGACGATGAGACTTCGGAGCGTGCGGACTGCGGATCGAGCATCCGCATGGCTGCAAACGGCGACTGAGCCGAGCAAGACGCCATGGGTGATGATCAGGCTTCTGACAGGCGCGTCTCTTCATAGCTGTCCAAGCGGAAGATCCGACTGTGCGGCATGCAGCGCGAGATAAAGTTCGGCTGCGTCCGCTGCATGCCGAGTGTGTGGTGCGGAGCCAGAGTGAAGCAGCGGAAGGGCTGAGTTGCCGCACTCCGTTGCAAGAAGGAGCAGATGAGAAGAGCCTTTCGACACATGGGCGCAAATGACAAGGTTTCCGCTCGGTGGGCGCATCGCCACACCGACGCGTACTTCTGCACAGTCAGCAAGGCTCATTTCCTCACCTGCCGTCCCTGCGCAGAGCCAATCACGACCTGCACGGCCCACCACACATAAGCAGCCCTTTTTGAGTCGCTGTCTATTGACACTGCAAGAGCAAGAAATGGCAAAAGAGAGAGTTTCGGTTGCAAGCGTAAAACGACGAGGTTCCATGGATGATGCGCGTGCTAGGCCCAATCCTTCATCGCCGGCCACCACCAGTGACGCGCACGAAGATGCGGAAGAGCGACACGGTGAGCACGATGAGATATGCGAGGAGACTGACGAACACCAGTCCGATGAGCGAGCCTTGCAGTCTGCAGACAAAAGGTTTGCGGCCCGGGTTGTTGAGCGGATTCGGGCGGTCCGCCGGTGGCTGTCGGGGACCGACAAAGGGGCTTCCGTACGTTACGCAGACCAGCGTCGAGGTAAAGTAATTATCGAAGGTGAGCGACAGCTCGGCCGACCAAAGACAGATAAAGACGAGCTCGACCACCGTGTACGAGAGCTTGGACTGCACCGTCCATAGGCCGATCGGCCGACCAAAGTACTCGAGCCAGATCTGGAAGCCGACATGCAGCAGCGTGAGCGGCGCAAAGACGATGGCGAGCAGCGGCGACGCGCCTACCGCATCGTTGGCGCCCTCGGACTGGAGGACTACGAGCAGCTTGACCGCCACTGCGAGCGTTGCCGCCGTGAAGGCGATGTTGATGACGCGGAAAAGCAGGGGTACGAAAGGGTTGTGGATCAAGAAGTTCTTCCACGATTCGAGCCACGCGCTCTTGCGTCCGTCGCTCGAGCGGATCGTGCGGCCGGACTCGGTGCGCGGGAAGTAGCCAGCTGCGTTGAGCCCGCCGTGACCGCGCTCTTCGGGCTTCCAGGGAGATGCCCAGCCAGGCGTGGCGGGCTGATGCACGGTGTAGACCTCGGGATGCTCCATCCTCGCTTTGAACGACATGGTCGGATACTCTGGCTCCGAGTCCTGCTTGTGCTGCTTCTCCAGGTCGCGGTCGTCGGCGCGTGTCGTGGAGGTGCCGTCTGGCGATGGCGAGACTTGCCGTTGCTCGTCGTGGAGCGTAGCTGCTGCTTCTCCGTCCGCCTGACCTCGACCCGCCCGTGCAGTGCGCCGGTTTGACGGATTCGTCTCGCTGCGCTTGTTGTTCAGAAGGCCGCTCGCGCCGAGCCCGGCCGCCATGCCATTCCAACTTCCGGCGCCAAGGTCATAGCTGTGGTCCTGCTGGTCCCGGCCCCCCCTCTGCTGCATCTCGATGTCACTGCTGTCCTCACTGCTGCTTGCATTCGAGCGAGAAGAGTCGGAGCTGGATCGGCGCTGCTGCGATCGCTTCTTGCTAAAGCTGCGACTTCGCTCGCGATTCGCCTGCTTGTTGCTCGATGCCTTTTCGAGCGCATCTGACTGCTCGCGTTCGTGATGGAAGGCCATGCGGAGGTGATGCTCGTGTAGGCGGGATCGGTACTTTTGCGGAAGCGTGAACGTCCACCATCGATCAGGCGATGTACTTTGGGCTTCTTGCGCCTCGGCCTCCTGCACGGCTTCGGGAGACATGACACGATCGAACCCGACTCCAGCCTTGTCCGGAGCCTGGCCGGCCTCGGTGGTCTCGGAGTGGCGTTCAGACGACGCAGCAGGTTGACTGGCATCATCAGTGCGGATCTCGGCGGCGGGAAGGGAGAGAGACTCCACGTCGCGGACGGACCGATTCAAGCTGCGCGCCTGCGGGCTGGCATACGGAGATTGCGGAGGGCTTGGCGACTCGTCACGCGCCCAGACTGGCACGGTGACGATGGTGGGGTTGGCCCTGCTTCGCTTTGATCCGGTCCCGCTGCGGCTGCCAGCGGTCAGGCTGGTGGAGCTTCCCGCTGCTGAAGCACGGTTGGAGAGTCGATGATGGCTCTGGCTTTCGCGCAGATGGCTCGGTCCCGCCGTGTGCCTCTGCTGAGACGCGCTCGGCTCTCTCCTCTGTTGAGAAGAAGCCATCGTATTGGTTGCCGACGACGATGCAAGGAACGTGGAGCCTGGAGCGGGCGACGGAGGCAGGGAAGAGTTGTCTGCTCTCCTCTGCGCAGACGGGGAGGCGAGCAGGCTCTGCTCGTCGAACTGAACCGAGGGCGCTAGGATGCTGCCCGGTGGACTGTGGGCGTGGGTTGTTTTGGGACCTGGAGAAGCATCGTTGTTTGTCTGCGAAGCCGCTGTGGAGGCGTCAAGGCTGATGGGTGGAGCCAGTGAAGCTGTCCGTTGCTGTGCAGCTTCTCCCTCGACGGACGACATTGTCGCTGCTCGCACCGCCGGTCACTAAGAAATGGACCTCCTGAGATCGGAACGCCGGCAGCCTTCTGCAGGAAAGGTACGATCCGAGACCGGGTATGGACAAGTCTCACCCGCACTGCGAGGTCGCGCGAAATGAGGTGGGTCGGCGCCCTGAAAAATGGTGTGTTTCTGGCAGGACTGGCGAGATGAAGCTGGAACAAGGCTCGACCAAAACGTCGGCGTCGGCTCTAGGTACGGATCGTGTAGCGACTTTATGTGGCGTGGCAAGGAGGCCCGCGATAAGGCTTTGGTGGAGAGAAGGGTATGGTAGACGGAGGCAAGGAGCACCGAGCATTGGGCGAGGGAGAGTGTCAGGAAGCTCGTATCCCAGATGAGGGCGGAGTTGCTCCGCGCCGAGGCGCAGCCTTGCCTCCTGAGCCGTTCTTAAAAATAGACTGACCAGGTGCGTCGGTCGGCCAAGCTGCCAAGCCTCGACTTGGCAGGGCTGACTGCCTCGTCATGTCACCGTCTTTCGCATCCACAATTGTGCCTTCCGTCATCCATCCCAACGAAGCTTTCGATGCCTCCCACCTGGCATTGGCATTCTGGACTCCCGAACAGGCTTCAATGCGCTTCAGAATGGCTAGGTGTGGCGATAGAGGCGCTGGACGCTCCACCTTTTCATCGCGTTTACGAGGCCTTTGATTCTCGGTAACCACCGAGAGCACAGCATCGGAACGCGGGCCGCTCCTCCTGAGATCTACTCATTTGCAGACTGCATTTCTTGCATTCTAGGTGGGGTAGCAAAGGCAACAGAAAGCCAACGCAAAAGGGGTCAACCGAGCGCGTCATAGCAAAGCGTTCGTGCGGCCTCCATGTGCTCTCGCTGCCAAAAAGGAGAACGTGTCGCAGACTGACATTTCGGCTGTGTTTACCGGGTCTGCTGTGGTGGCTGAGAAAAATGTCGTAATTCCACAGCAGCTGCATACCGAAAATTTTCGCGATAGATGAGGAGTTCTGCCGGTCTTACATCTTGAAATTTTGATCTCACCCGCAGCGGCCTTCCTCGACTGGACCGCAGCAGCTGGAGGTCGGGCCAGCGCTGCAGTCCCAGCTCTCGGGAAGGAGACACTCAACACAGTCATTGCAAGAAGACAGCGACGGGATGGGGTTTTGTTAGGGTTGAGTTATGTGCAAGGACTTGAGCAGCGAGCGTACATGTGTATACAGGAAACCGGAACATGTGTTCGTATCTCAAAAACGGAGCCGCATGTGTGGGAGCAAGAGCGGCAGGATCCAAGGGCGATAAAAAAGGGCTGAGTGAACCGTAGCTGGTGGAAAAGGGTCCGGTTGGAGTTCCAGGGCTTAGGCTGCAGCACGTCGAAGGGAAAAACAGAACCGGAAAAGTGACGGTGGCGGAATGCGAAACCGAAGAAATGATGACGACGGACGGCGTCAAATCTATCGCGACCCAAAGGAAGAAGGGAGAGGCGGAAACGGCGAATAGCTTATGCAAGGTAGGGCCCGAAGCAGGATGAATCAGGACGGGATGGGTGAAGAAAGAGGCGGAATGGGTTGGCCGATACGGGACCGAGTAGGGAACATCGGTAGACCAACGACCTTTTGGTGATTAGCGCGACGGGATGGAGTGGTTGGCAGGACACGGCTGCGAACTGTCTTGGCGGCGCGCTTAGACAGCGACGGGGTTGGACTGGACGACAGCCGCAAAGTCCATCATGGGTGCAGCCGCACCGCTTGCGTTGGTGGAAGCCTGCTTGGGCGCGCTGGTCTTGGCGTCGGCGTCGTCGGCCGACTCGCCAGCCTCCTTTGCCTCGCCATTCGCCGCTGGAGTAGCAGCGGGCTTGTCGTCAGCGGCAGCGGCGGTCTCGGTCTCCTTGGTAGGCTCAGGCTGCTTCTTGACAGGAGCAGGGGCCGAAAGGATGGCCGAGAAGTTGACCTTGGGGGCACCGTTGGCGGGGGCGGCCGCGACGGGCGCAGGAGCCGCAGCAGCCTGACCCTGACCGTTGGTCAAGGCCGGGAAGTCGTCAGCATTCGGCAGGCGCTGGGGAGCGGGCTTCTTCTGACCCGCAGCGCCCTGGGCGCCCTGGCCGTTGGCGCGACCGTTCGAGCCCTGGTTGGCTCGCGAGCGCGCACCGTTCTGGTTGTGGTTGCCCTTGCCAGCTTGGACGCCGTTCGCCTGGGGCTTGGCACCGTTCTGACGGTTGGCAGCACCGTTGCTGCCGTTACCGTTGACCATGGGCTTGGACGGGATGGAAGCAGGGATTCGGTCGCCCTGGCCTGCGGGAGCGGCAGCAGCAGGCTTGGCCTCGTCGCTCTTGGCACTCGCCGCGGCGCGCTTGCCGTTGCTGTTGTTTTCGGCCTTGGCCTCAGACTTGCCAGCAGACGCAGCATTGGGGCCGCTGGACTTGGTCGCGGTCGAGGAGCCAGCAGCCGCATTCGACTTGGCAGTGGCCTCCTTCTTGGCAGGAGCAGATGCAGCCGCAGCCGTCGACTTGTCGGCGGCATCGGCACGCGAAGCAGTGCGGTCAGCCGAGGGCTTGGACGTGCTGTCGTTCTTCTGGTTCGAAGCGGTGATGGTGGTCTGCGCAGAGGCAGGAGAGGTGGACACGCTCACGTCCCTTGGCGTGGCAGGCAGGCCGCTGTTCTCACCGTTGGCCGCAGTACCGGCTGAAGACGACTCCTTTGCAGAGTTGTTGGTGTTGCTGTTGTTGCTGTTGTTGTTGTTGTTGTGGTTGTTGTTGTTGGACGCCTTTGCGTTTTTGGCAGCGAGCGCGCGGTTGATGGCGCGCGAAGCCTCGATCGAGTGGTTGGATCGACCCGCGTTGGGGCCACGAGCATCGGTGCCGTCCGGAAGAATGTGGGGGAATCGGCAGTCCTCGCCATGCTTGCAGGCCGAGCGGGCGAAGAAGAGGCAGGCGGGACGCTCGCTCGAGCGCTTGCCGAGCTCCGAGCGCTGACCGAAGTTGCCGCCCATGGAGGCGCCGCCTCGACGGGCACCTTTGGTGCCACGGGTCGTAGGCTGGGAGCCAGTCAAGAAGCTGCCGTCAGCGCCGACAGAAACGCCGTTCTGTGCTGGCCCGGGCTGGAAGGGTGCGGCGTGGTGGGCCATGAAGGCGCTGAAGGAGGTGGTGGTGGCGGTGGCCGGGCTTGCCGTCGCCGATGCTGGCTTGGCCGACTCGGCGGAGTTCTTGGGCGCCGTCTTGGCGTCAGAGGCAGAGTCAGCCTTGCTGGCCTCAGTATCGGCTTGCACTGCCACAGCAGCTGGGGCTGCGGCATCTGGCGATGCCTCGGTAGCAGCCGGGCCGGACTGGCCCTCCTGGGCGGGTTGCTGGGAGCCAAGCTGCTGGCGCGGGTGCGAGGCGAACTGGTGTCCGTACGAATCTCCGTCGGCAGAGTGCTGGTTCGGGGCCATGTGGGGAGGAGGAGGCATGTGCACAGGCATGGGAACGCCAGCGTACTGGAGGGGCATGGGAGGCGCCATCGAGTAGAAGTGCTGCGGTGGTCCGTAGGCCGGGTAGCCGTAGGTGTGCGATTGGAAGAACATGGGAGCCTGGCCCGGCGAGACAGGGCCAGCGCTGGAGGAGGCGGCAGGGACGGGGACGGGGTGGGCGAAGATGCACTTTTCGCCGTATCGGCAGTTGGGGAAGAATCGGCAGGGGATCATCCTTGCGACCTCGGGGGGCGGGAGGCTCCCGGAGGAGCTGTCCTTGGCGGCGTGGGCGCGGTGCTCCGGGTTGTGCGAGGGGTCGAAGAAGGCATGCTGAGGCTGGAATGGGTATGCTGGATGCGACATGGGATGCTGGTGGACGAGGTGCTGCTGCTGCTGATGCTGCTGCTGCTGGCCGTCGTTCTGGTAGGATGGGGGCTGGACGTAACTCACGGTTCCGTCGGGGAGCTGCTTGCCACCGTGCGAGTCGACGACGGGAGCGGTCTGGAAGGCAGTGGACTGGGTGTGCTGCAGAGCGTTGTTGACGACGGCAGCAAGCTCGGGGTTTTGCTTGAGGGCGTCGTCGTTGACCACCTCGAGGGCGTTGGCACCTTGAGCGAGCAGCTGCGAAACAACCTGAATGTGGCCGGCGCGAACGGCGTACTGAAGTGCGGTCAAGCCGGCTTCGTCGCGTGCGTCGATTTCGAGCGAGGGCTGGTCGAGGAGAGAGCTGACGAGCTCGACGTTGCCGTCGTTGGCGGCCTGGAAGATGGTGGTGGTCATGATGGCAGTACCGGAAAGCGTGGAGCTTTCGTGAAGAGGACTAGAGGCCAGTTTTTGCAGGAATCCAGGAGGAGCTTAGCCTCACTGACACTGTGCTTGCTGCAGTGCAGTGAAGGATGGCTGTCTGCAACCTCGCTGGCTGGTGCCGATGTCGACGCAGTGGAATGAGAAAGATGTCCAGAACGGTTGAGATCGAACCGCTTGAACTGCTACCGTGGAGAAAAGACCGGGAGATTCCAGCGAAAGGATAGAAACGGCCCTAGCTACAAGATCGGAGTCCACGACAGATGGGCGATCAGAGGAAGACGAGTGACGTGCGTGTGAGGAGGCGGCCAGGCGAACGCAAGAGGAAGCCGGCGAACGGATAGGAGGGTCGGGATTTGGAGGGAATATGCAGCCACGAGGTGCCACAACGGAGCGGAGAGAATGCGGAGGTGACGATGCGAAAAGTGAGGGACCGGAGGGTGATGGTTTGAGAAGGATTGGTGTCCGTGTCGTCACGGCAGCTTCTGACGGCCTCGTTTTCGCTTTCTCGCACACTGAGGGCCCGTCAAACGAAGGACCAGAAGAGCAGAAGAAAAAAAAAGTGGTTCACAGCCAAGCGAGCTCCCAGTCGGAAGGTTGGGATTTTTTTTTGTCCTGCAGCGCAAAGCTTTCTTCCTGTTGCTGCATTTTTTCCCGATTTCTTGGTGGGATTTGCCGAGAGCGAGAGCGGGAGGCGACCGCGAGAACACCACACTAAATCCAGATCGGGCAGCGGTACAAAAAGTGTCGGACTGCTGCTGGGCATGCTCGGACGAGAGTGGCACATGGCAGCAGCCGGTTGCAGACGGCGACACGAGCTAGGCGTTGGCCCCCGACGCAGCAGACCAAGCTTTTACCTCTAGCTTCATGCATGTGCCTGTGGAATCGGATGCTGCACCTTAAAGGCCAACAGCCTGAGGTCACACTTTTCTGCTGGAAAGGCCCAAGAGCTCATGCAAGCGGCGCCATACCCACGTTTGGTGCTCTCTAGGTGGGTCAAGCTGGCGGTCCAGCCGGTTGCACCCTTTCATTTCCACGTTCCGAGCCCCCCGCGGTGAGACCAAGGGTTTTTGGTGGACCGCTTCAGAAAATCGACACCTCAAAATGGCAGCTCAAAATGGACAGAAAAAAAATGGCGCGAGAAAGAAGGGCTCCAACCTCCTGCGGCAACTGTGTGGCCTGCGAACCCTCTCGAGTTGATCCTCCCTCTCGCACGGTTGGAAATTTGGTCCCAGCCTCGCCCGACTTGCGAAGTTGGGAAGTGGAACTCTTCCGGTTCTTCCAAGAGAACCAGAACCAACTCGGCACCGCTATTCCAATCAGATCTCGCCCAGTCACCCCTCTACACCAACCTACACCTCTTCGTCGGGTCTCACAGCACCGCAACGTCCAGCAAACAGCAGTGCCGGCTGCAAAGGTGCACGACCTAGCTCGCGCGCACATCATTGCCGACACGTCGGTTCCATTCGCCCACTGACTAGGCCGCATGTTACAATAACTGGCAATCGTGTCCAGACATCCCCAAAGAGCCGCCGTCACAGGTGAGGTGCGCTAGTCGAATCATCATGGTGCTGCGCTGCTACAGTCGCAGGCATGTCGTGCCCGCTTTTCGCGCGGCTCAACGCCAGCTCACAACCGGCCTACCTTTGAGCGCTGCACACACCAACATCCCTTCAGACCAATTCAAAGCCACTTCTGCAGGCGCTCTCTCGCAATCTCGTCGTGTCGGACGAGCAGGGCATCAGCATGAAAGCTGGTCTTTCTTCTTTCCGGACCATCTCTCCTGGACCAAGAGACCCTCTGCGCCTCGCGCCTCGCATCCGCTTGTCAAAAAGCTCATCTCAGAGATCTACAGCACCGATCGCGAGCCTTCGGCCAACCGCACCTGGAAAGCCTACATGGATCTCAAGGAAGCCTCCGGTGCCCACGCCGTCGGCCAATCCTCCGAATCCTTCACCGCTCTTCTCACGCAGCTGGAGCCGGCCCACCTCCAGCAGCTTCTCCGTGCCATCGACCCTGCCGTGGCTGCGTCCAGAAAGCTCGCTCGCGCCGAGGCCAAGCATTTTCAGAGTCTGCAGCAGAAGCAGCAGGTCCTGACATCGGGTCTCGCTCCCACCAAGATCCTGGTTGAACCACAAATCTCGAGAAAGTCCGCCAAGACCTTTGATGCCCAGCACCCCGTGCGCGAGTACATGCGCAGGGTTCACATCATCTTCCGCGACATGCGTCTGCACTCCTCGGTCGTGCCTTCCACCAGCTCTGCCACCGATCCCCTTCCAAGTCTCGACGACTACAACCACGTCCTCGCCCGCCTCGCCACTGGCGGTCACATCGGTCCCATGTCGGCCATCTGGAACGAGCTCTCCAGTGTTTCGCTCAAATCGGGCACCAAAGGTCTTCACCCCAACCGCCACACGTATAGGGAGCTCATGATCGGCCTCAGCCGCCACGCCACCGAACAGATCGAAAGAGTGCAGAAGAACGAAGCCTCCAAGACCTTCGACTACTCGGGCAAAAAGAGGCAGCTCGAAAAGTCCGCTCGCGCCGCTGCTGCGGGCATGGCCAAGTTCGGCCAGATCCTCGCTCCTTCCGCCAGGGCAGCAGCCATCCTCGCCGCGCTTCGCACCATGGCGCTCCTCAAAGACATGAAGGAGCATGGCGTCACTCCCAACCAAATCACGCTCGATTTTGCCGCCAGGACGCTGCGTCTCGCCGGTCACACCGATGGGCTTCACATGCTCATGCACGACGCATACGGCATCGACTTGGCCTCGGCCGATACCGCAGTCACCTCGTCCACCGAACTCGCACCGACCACACACACGCTCAACACCATCCTCATGGCTCTCGGTGAGCAGGCAAGCGTTCCAGAAATGGTGGCCGCGTTCGAGACCTTGGCCAAGCCCTTGCCGGTGGCCTCGAACGGAACAGATGCCACCTCGTCAGGCGAAGGTCTCTTCTCGACAAAGTGGAAGGACATCTTCAGCAGCATACGCAACCGCGAGTCGGAGGCCGACCAGCTCGGCAATGTGCACGACGAGGCCGACATCCCGGACGTCTTCCCGTACACCCTTCCACACAGGATCCAGCCCAACACCAAGACCTTCCAGATCCTGCTCCGACATTGCTGCGCTGAGGTGGATCCGCTGCGCTCGCCCGTGGCGCTCAAGAACGAAGCAGGAGGCTCGGTGGCCGCGCTTGCCATGGAGTCAACTCAGCTTGCGCTTGCCGAGATGCAGGACGGCGGGCCCCGTGCAGCCGAGATGGAGCGCAGGACCAAGGGCGCCTACTCGCTCTTTGCCAGGAGCTTGCTCTCGGAGGCGATCGGCCGCTCCGAGGAGCTGCTACACTCGACTGCGCGCAGCCTTGGCATCGATCTGCAGCAGCGGGACGTGTTGGCGGAGGTTTCGGCAAAGGAGGCAGAAAGCAGTGGCGACCAGGAGGTCGCACAGGCCACCCAATTGCGACCGGAGTATCAGCGCGTGTCGGTCATTCCTGGCCGAGCGATGGACGCCGACTTCCATCCTATCTACGAAGCTCCATCGTTCTCCGTCACTGCGTTGATGGTCGAGCCTTTTTTCTCGCTCGCGTCCGCTCGCAGAAACATCGGTGATCTGCGCTGGGTCCGAGGTATGCTGTCCAAGGCCCTCGAAATCAAGATTGCCGAGACCCAGGTGATCGATGCCGCATGGCGGGTGTATCGCTCGCGCTTCGCAAAGCCGCGTCAGAACACTTCTGCCGCGCCAGCATCGGAAAGCGAACATGCTTCGGCCGAGTCCGACAGCTCAACTTCGCTCCAGTCGAATGGCCAGGGCCGTGCGGAGGTTTCGGCTTTCCTCCAAAGGCTGCGACAGCAGCACCGCATTGCAGCTAAACACGCCCAGTCGCTCGAGCAGCTGCTCTACGACCGACTCGACGAACGCCTGCACGACCTCTTGGCACGCAGGGACGCAAAGCAGCAGCAGCGTCAGCGCGCCTTCCGTGAAGGTCGCCTCAAGGCAGAACAGCAGAAGCTCGAAGAGCAGGAACGCGAAGCAGCGAGGAAGGCCCAGGCAGCGGAGGCGCGAAGGCTGCGAGCGCTCCAGAAGGAGCAGCAACAAAATCCTTCTGCCGAAGGCTCAAGCAATCATTTGGACGCCGCTTCGCCCGCCACTGTCACCGCATAAGCCCAGCAGCTGCTCAGAAATGGATACACATAGAGCAACAAACAATTCTCGGATGGTCAAGCTGCCACATTGAGGATTATGAGAGGGCGTGAACGGCAGAGCAGAGTGCAGGGGCGAATTCTTACCTTGGTGCTTGGAATAAGACAAGCCGAAGAGAGTCATGAGCGGGCTTGCTGTGGGGTCCACTACGCGACGGGGAGCTTGCGGAGCTTGCAGAATCGATTGCTCGGTGTGCGGCGGCGCTACGTGTCAGGTTGGCGTCGGGTCGGCGCCCTCTCGAATTTCGGCCTGAGCAGGCGGTGGCCAGCAACGCACCGACCACCCGGCGAATGCAGCCCTGTGCTTCTTCGCGACCCTGACTTCCTTGAACCTCATTTCCTCACACCTTGCAGCGACCCACCGACTCTATCGGTGCATCTTCACCTGTTTCTTTGAACGGCTTTGCACCGACCTGCCGTTTCAACGATCAGTCCGCAACTTCGACGCCCGACTTCTTAGCAAGGAATTGCCTCCGTAATCGTCCAACGCAGCAGTCAAGATGGCCGACGCCGAGGCAGCCGAGCGTGCTGCCAAGGCTGCTCGAGCACGTGCTAAGCTCAAGAAGCATCAAGCGCAGAAGAAGGCAGCGGCCGAAGCCGAAGCCGAAGCTGCGCAACCTACGAGCGACAAGGATGCGGACAATGCTGACTCTCCGGCTCCGGCCGCCTCGAACGGCGCTGCTGCGGCGGAGGAGCCGGCAGAACCTGCCGCTACGTCCGAGGAAAAGGCCACGACCAATTCGCTCCAGAATGAGGAGCTCATAGAGGCTCAAAGCAGGGTTGAGTCTCTCACCAAGCAACTAGAGAGCACAAGAAAGGAGCTACAAGCAGCGACTGATGCGTCGTCATCACTCCAGCGTCAGCTCAAGGAGGCCGAGGAGAAATCCAAGTCGTCGCTCCAGGCGGCGGAAGAGTCCAGCAAAGCTCAGATCAAGAAGCTTGAGGATGACTTGCAGGCCCAACAAGCCAAGGCAGCTGGTCTGGAAAAGGAGTTGCAACAGCAGCGCGATGGGCTCAAGAAGGCCGAGGAGAAGGCCACGCAGTCTGGCGAGCGAATCGCTGCCCTCGAAGCATCTTTGAAGGACAATGCAACCTCGGAATCTTCCCTCAAGGAACGCATCGGCAAAGTTGAAGCTGACCACAAGCAGGCTCAGGATCGCGCATCAAAGCTGGAGAAAGATCTCGACGAATCTCGGAAAGCATTGGACAGAGCCACCAGCGATGCGAAGGATGCGGCAGTGAAGCTGAAAGAAGCCGAAGGCAAGACGGCGACCGATCTCAGAGTTGCGCAAAAGCTCGAAGAAGACAGGTCAAAGTTGCAGCGTGAGGCAGAAGAACAAAGGAAGCAAGCAGACCAGCTTCGTAGCAGCGTCGAGACCAAGGAGAAGGCGATACAAGATCTGCAAAGTAAACTCGACGATCCAAGCAAGTCCAACGAGATCGCGGCGCTGTCCAAGCAACTGAAAGAATCCAACGCAAAGATCTCGAGCTTGGAATCTGGGCTGGCTGAGAAGGACGAGAGCCTCAAGAGCTCCGCCTCGGACAACGACAAGCTGTCGAAGCAGATCGCTGAGCTCGAGAACGAGGCCAAGGCCGCGGAATCCAACGCGTCAACGCTCGAAGGCAAGATGAAAGAGTCGATCGACCGCGAAGCCAAGACCAAAGCGAGCCTGCAAGAAGCCGAAGCCAAGGGCATCAAGTTTGCAGCGGAGCGCGCCGAGCTCGAAAAGAAGCACGGCGAGGCTGAAGCGGGTATCAAAAGCTGGAAGGAAGAGGCGGAGAAGCACTCAGCTGCTCTTGCTAAGGCCGAACAGGATGCAGCACACGTTCGAGACAAGGCTGACGCCAAGGAGAAGGATCTGTCGACTCTGCAAGTTCAGAAGCAGAAGCTTGCCGACGAGCTGTCCGAGACGAAGAGCAAAGTCGAGTCGCTCACTAAGCAGCAGGCCGCCTTGGAAGCCGCGAAGGCAGAGGCGATCGGTAACTCGAAGGAGCTGGACAAGAGCCACGCTACGCAGATCTCGGAGCTCAATAGCAAGATCAAGCAGCTTGAAGACCAAGCCAAGAAGGACAGTGTTGCGGCGACAAAGCTTTTGGACGACGCCAAGAAGCGTGGCGACGAATCCAGCAAGCACGCGGATGGTCTCGATGCATCTCTTAAGGAGTCTCAGGCCAAGGTCAAGGCCTTGGAAGGTCAACTACAGGAACGCGACGGCAAGATTGCCAAGGCCGAAGATCAGCATGCGAACACTCAAAAGGAGCTGGGCAGCGCCTCATCACAGCTCGAATCGCTCAGGAAGGAGCTCAAGAGTGCGCAGGACCAGATTTCGAGCATACAAAAGGAGCGGGCCGACTCCGTCAAGCAGGTCGAAGACCTCAACAAGCAGCTTGCCAAACTTCAGCAAGACCATAAGGAGGTGAGCTCATCGCGATCCCAAGGTAAGGAGGAGCTCGAAAAATCGCAGAAGCAAGTCGCCTCCTTCGAGGTTAAGGAAAAGGAATGGTCTGCCAAGCACAAGGAACTGGAGGAGCTCAAGTCCAAAGCCCTGCAGGAAGCTGCTTCTCTGCGCTCCGAGGTCGCCACCTACAAGAGCGGCAGTGAGACTACATCGAAGGAGCTCACTTCGGTCAAGAAAAAGCACGCGACGAGCGAGGCAGAACTCAAGGCAGCCCAGCAGGAGGTCGCGAAGGTCACCGCAGCGCGAACGGAGGCCGAGAAGCGCATCAAGGAGCTTGACGCTCAGCTGGCGTCATCCAAGTCTGAAGCCGACAAGACTCGAGAGGCGCTACAAAGTGTCAAGTCCGAGCTTGACGCGGAGGCCAAGGCACGTTCTGCAGCCGACGGCACTGCGAAGGAACGTCAAGCAGACCTCGACAAGGCGGTAAAGCATGCTGAGGAGCTCGAGGCGCGAGCCAAGTCCCTTGCCGCCGACCTCGACAAAGCCAAGGCGGACCACAAGCAGGCTCAGCAAGAGACAGCCGAACGAGAGAAGAGCCTGGACGCTGCCAAGCGCGAAGCAGCCACTACTGGCGACGAGCTGAAGAGCGTCACGGCAAAGCTCAACGAGTCTCAAGCAGCCTACAAGAAAATCGAGGCTGAGAAGGCAGAGCTCGACAGGACCACGGCAGGGCTTCGGAAGCAGCTCGGAGACACCGAGAAGAAGGCCGAGAGCTCTTCTGCCGCGCTGGCCAAGGCGACCAAAGTCCACGGCGAGGCTCTTGCTCAGAAGGACAAGGAGCTGGCGCAAGCGCAAGGGCAGGTCGAGGCGCAAAGCAAGCAACTCACCACCCTCGAGGTCAAGAACGGTAGCCTGCAGAAGACTTCCGACCAGCTCCGTGATCAGAAGGACAAGCTGCAGATGGAGCTCGAAGCTTCCAAAGCGGAAACTGAGACGCACAAGTCTTCTGCGGACGGCAAGGCTAAAGAAATCGAGACACTCGCAGCCAAGGTCTCGACCACAGAAGCGAACTTGGCCAAGTCGACAAACGAGGCTGCCACCGCCAAAGACCGCATTGACGAGCTTCAGAAGGAAGTGCAGGCTACGACCAAGGATCTGGAAGCGGCTCGCAAAGCATCTGAAGCAAACAAGAGCTCAGCCGAGCAGAGCCAAGCACAAGTCAAAAATCTGGAAGCGAAGATCAAAGATGCAGACGCAGAGCTTGTGAAGGCCCGCGACGAGATCAGTGCGGCACGCACGCAAGTCACTCAGCTCAAGGACGAGCTTGGCAGCAAGGCGAAGGCGCTCGAGGCAGCGATGGCAGACGCAGCAGCCAGCAAAGCATCCGCGGAGGAGCAAGGCAAGGAGATCAAGACGCTGCAGAGCAAGCTCAAGGACTCCGATGCCAAGCTGACAAAGGCCACGCAGGAAGCGACATCATCCCAAGCCAAGGTCAAAGAGCTACAAAGCGAGCTGCAGGCCAAAGCCAAGGAGCTCGAAATCAAGTCGAGCGAAGCTGACAAGCATCATTCCCAAGCGCAGAGCTTGTCCAAGCAGCTCGAATCATCCACGCAACAGCACACGGAGCTGTCGAGCAAGCTGAAAGAGCAAATGTCGGCCCACGAGGAGCTCACCAAGGCACACAAACAGACAAGCGCCGACCATGCGGCTGTGCAGTCGGAGCTTGAGAAGCAACGCGCCCTGCTACAAAAGTCTTCCGAGGACCACGAGCAGGCCCGCAGCGAGGCTGCGCAGCTGAGCGAGAAGCTGGCACAGGCACAGGCCGACCACAATGACGTCAAACAGAAATGGTCGGATCTCACCGAACGCCATACCGTCCTTGTCGCCACTCACGAAGAGCACAAGGAAGCTGCCGAGGCACAATCCAAGGAGATCAAAGCAGCCACGGCGAAGATTGCTGACCTCGAGACAAAGCTCAGCGAGTCGAATGCTGCCCGCGACGAAGTTCGTGCCGAGCTGGCAGACAAGGTTGGACGATTCCAGGAACTCGAGAGCAAGCTGCAAGCAGCCGAGGCCGAGATCAAGACGCTCAGCGCACGCGCCACGTCCGGCGACGAGGCTCTCAAGACTAACCAGGAGAAGCTCGATGCCCTGACCAGCCAGGCTAAGCAAGAAGCCGAAACGCTCAAGCGTCTCGAGAAGGAGCTTGCTGCTGCCCAGAAGTCGGCCAAGGACGGTGCGCTCAAGCACAAGGCGGCTGTGACCGCGGCCGCCAAACAGCTCGACGCGGTCAAAGCCGAGCTCGAGAAAGCCAAGGCAGAGCACGCTGAGGCGATGCAGAAAGCCACTGATGAGCATGAATCGGCCGCAACCGAGGCTGCTGGTCAGATCGAAGCTGTCAAGGCCGAGCTCGAGAAGGCGAAGGCCGACCATGCCGATGCCGTCGCAAAGATCAGCTCGGAGCGTAAAGGCGCCGTTGCGGCCGCCGAGGGGCAAGTCGAGGACATCAAAGCAGAGCTGGCAAAGGCCAACGATGATCATGCTGCGGCGCTCAAGGCCGCCATCGACGACCACGACGTTGCCGCTCGCGGCGCCGCCGAGCAGATCAAAGGGCTGCAAGCTCAACTCCAGAAGGCCAAAGCTGGGCAAGATCAGTCAACGAAGGCGGCCAATGAGCAGCTCGCAGCGCTCAAGTCCGAGCTTGCTGAGGCGAAGTCTCAACATAGCGCGTCGATGGCAACAGCGACCAAAGAGCATGAGACTGCGGCTGCAGCCAGTGGCAAGCAGCTCAAGGAGCTGCAGGCGGAACTGGAAAAAACGAAGGTCGAGCATGCTCAGTCGGCCAAGACTGCCAAAGAGCAGCTGGAGGCACTCAAGGCCGATCTTGCCGAAGCGAACTCGCAACATGCTGCATCGCTCAAGAAGGCAATCGGAGAGCAGAAGTCCGCGGCTGCGACCAGTTCCAAACAGCTGGAAGCGCTGCAAGCAGAGCTTGACAAGGCCAAGGCTGGTCATGCCGACTCTGCCAAGGACGCGAAGCAGCAGCTAGAGTCTCTCAAGGCGGAGCTAGCCGAAGCCAAGGTACAGCATGCTGCATCGCTCGCCAAGGCGACCGACGAGCACGAGGCAGCAGCAGCGGCCAGTGATAAGCAGATTGAAGGGCTGCAGACCGAGCTCGAGCAGCTGAAGGCGAAGCACTCCGAGTCAACAGCCAAGCTTTCGCAAGAGCATCGGGCCGCGTCCGATGCGCTTGGGGCAGAGCGCAGCAAGCTCAGCGGAGAGCTCGACAAGTTGCGTGAGGAGCACGTCAAGGCACTCTCTGCGCACACCACCGAGCTTTCGGACATGCAGGAGAAGCTCGGCGCGGCTGCTGATGAGCATAAGCAAGCGAAGGATGCGCACAGCAAGGAGATCAAGGCGCTCAAGGCGTCGCTCGAGAAAGGGAAGAAGGAGCGCGACGAGCAGATGGCCGCGCATACCCGCGAGATGCTCGATCTCTCCAAGGCGTTCGAGGACACGCGCGCCGAGATCCAGCGCAAGGAGAAAGAGCTGGAGCAACACTCGCAACAGCTCGAGTCGGTGCGAAGCACGCTTGGCAGCACAGAAGAGGATCTCAAGAAGCGCCACGAGCACGCCGCGACGCTTCAGAAGCAGCTCGAGGAGGTCAGTGGCGACCTGGCTGCACGCAATGCGCACGTCGAAAAGCTGCAGACCGACCACGCTGCTGCGTTGGAAGCCAAGACCGAGGAGATCGCATCCGTGCGTGCTGCGCACGACGACCAGCTGGCGTCTGAGCGCTCGCGTCTCGAGTCTTCTCTGGCCGACGTCCGCACGGAGCTCGCCGGGGCCAAGTCGGAGCTCGCCGAAGCCAAAGAAAAGCTGGCCTCGACGGAGCAGGACAGGTCGGCGTCTTCGAAGGAGGTGGGCAAGCTTTCGTCCGAGGTAACGACGCTAAAGAAGAAGCATTTGACAGCCAAGTCGTCTGCGGAAGCTGCCAAGAAGGAGAACGCCGAGCTGCGCACGCAGCTGGCGGGCATCCAAAAGCAGCTCGAGGAGCTGCGCTCGGGCAGCGACAAGGTGCGGGCTGATGGCGAGCTTCAGACGGAGGCGCTGCGGTCGGAGCTTGAGCTGGCGCGGGTGCGTGCGCAGGAAGCCGAGGCGGAAGCGGCGCGGGTGCGCGAGGAGCTCGAGACGAAGCGCGATGCGGTGCAGGTGAACAACACGAGCGTCTTCAGCAAGGAGCATTTGGACGATGTGGTGCAGGCGCACGAGCTGGAGCTGAGTGCGCTCCGATCGCAGATCCGCAAGCTCGAGGCGAGTGTGTTTGAAGAAACCGACAAGGCGCACAGAGCGACCCGGAAGGCGATCGAGCTCGAGGAACGTCTTCGCTCCATGCCTGGCGGTGAGGCTTCGACGCCGGTGGGTAAGGCGAACGGTGCCGGGCGCAGTCACAAGAGGAGCGCGACTACGACGCACGTGCCGTCGCTGTCGCCACTGGCAGAGCGGGAAGTGGACTTTGCCGAATCTGCACCGTCCGCTTCGTCGCCGACGGCGCCGACAAGGAGGGGCATTCGAACCATCACCGCATCCGAACTCCCGCTTCCAGCAGCACAGCGCCACCGACGCAGAGAGAGCTTGCAGATGCTCGCTGCGCGCATCGGTGATGCTCCGACTGCAACTTCTCCCACCACCGAGTCGGCTCTGCCCCAGATTCGCTCGGTCACGCTCGAGAGCAAAGGTCACACGCCGTCCAACTCGATTTCCCACGCCACGCCGCTGGCGCTTGGAGCCGACGCCGACGAATCGCTGCGCTCCGCTCAACGCGTCCGCCCGCAGTTCGCCAACGACGAACTGCTCTACTGCGCATGCTGTCGCGACGACCTCATCATCGTCTAGAACTCCAATCGTCATGCCAAGACCATCACACTCACGGGACTTGAAATGACATTCTGATTCCACACAAGTTTCTGATGTGTGCGAGTAGCCTGCGTGGCAAGAATAATAGAGAAGGGAAGCGGGTGGGTATATCGAATCGCGCTCGAAAAGGACCGTGTTGGAGGACCGCGCGTTGAGTTACTGTTGCTACAAGAGACGAGAAAATCGGAACAGCATGGATACGACGATAAAGGAGTTCAAAGAGTTGAAGGAGCAGCATCAAGACCGCGTGCATCACGAGGCAGGCTGTTGGAGCCCACCGTCGAGATGTAACAATGCGTTGCGATCTAGTCCTCGCGGTCTCGCTTGAGTTGCGAGCTGTTTGCAGCGCCATCGTTCTTGTTGGCGGCGCGTTTGGGATCGTTGGTGTCGTCGCCAGCGGAAGTGCCGACGCCGCGCGGGTGCAGTCCGCTCTGGCGATCGGGCGCGTCATGGCTAAAGTGATTCGCGGCACCTCCGAGGTCGCCATTGGACTGGCCGATCGCAGGCGAAGCTTGTGCGGTCGAGTGACCCGAGGCGTGCGAACTGGTACCGCTGGGACCGGCAGGATTCGAGAAGGGGTTGGGCACGGCGCTCTGATCCAAACCGCCCGACATGGCCTGGTCGGGACGCACGGTGATCAAGCTCTTAAGCCAGCCGTTCTCGGTGCGCAGACGTGCGTTCTCGGCTTCGAGGTCGGCGAGTCGCTGCTGCAGCTCTTTGGCGGCGTGTTCAAGCGCAGCCTCCCTCTGCTTCTTCTTGATCCTGAAGCGTGCCGACGCAGCTGTGTTTCGCCTGCGCTTGTCCTCTTCGATAGCCATTCGGTTGGCTTCCGCATCGGCCTCCGGATTGCCAGTGTCGATGAGCTTGAGCGGCGGGATCTCGTATCGTCGTTCGATGTCGTCCAGCCTGCCGCCGATCTCGTCCGAGTCGTCGGGGTCATCGTGCTGGGCTCTCTTGCCTTCCGAAGTGCTGGTACGCTTCTTCTTGGAAGGCGCCGATCCAGAGGCAGACGCAGAGGCGTTCGCCTCGCCTGCCTGCAGAGCGTCCGAGCGCGAAGGTGCGCCGGTCGAGCTGCTAGCCGCCGAATGCGTGCCGTTGACTGGAGCACCGGGCACGTTTGCAGGTGGAACCGATGCGGGCGCAATTGGGGCGCCTGCGCCTGCGCCTGGAGCGGCCCAGTTGGCAACGTGAGGGGACGGGGCGCTGATGCTGTTGCCACGAGAGGCTGCCAGGGACTGAGCAGCAAGCCATGCAGTGGGATTGGGACTAGAGGCGGCGGCACTCGGATGCGGCTGACCTGGTTGCGGCGCTGGCGTCTGTTGGGACCCATTCACGCCACCAATACCGGCACCACCGTTGACGATGCCCGCGAGATGGGATTGGAGTTGCGGGTTGGTGAGACCAGCAAGCTGGCTCAGACTAGCGAGGGCCAGCGGATTGCTGGCGAGAAGGTGCTGCAGGGCGAGGGCGGAAGTCATGTCAAGAGAGCCGGGAGCACCAAAGCCGGCTTGGGGAGCTGGCTGCTGCGGCGACTGGGCGGCTTGCGCGCCGAGTTGCTGCAAGCCTGGGAAGGCGCTGAAAAGCTGGAAGGGGTTGCTAATGCCTGCACCGGCAGGGTTGGTGGGTTGAGACGGCCTGACGGCAGCACTGAAGTTAGGAGCGCCAGGGAAGAAGCTCTGCTGGTGGTGGTGGTGCTGCTGTGCATGCTGCTGCGAGGCATGGGCGGACGCAGCATGGGGTTGCGAAGTGGGCGTATAGGGACTTGCAGGGTTGGAGTCGATGTCGCGAGCCTTGCCTCGCAGTGCATGGCTGCCTCGCGAGCTTGCGGCGGCGTTTCTGGCGAGGCGTTCACGCTCCTCCTCCTGGTTGCGACGGTTCTCGTCTTCGCGGCGACGGTTGTGTTCTGCCTCCTCCTTCTCCTTCTCCTCGTCACCGAGCAAGGCATGGCCGGTGGGACCGTCGAAGCTGAAGTTGGCGTTGGTCCAGAGGGCGAGCTGATCGGCAAAGTTGGGAGCCTGACCGCCGGTGGCATCGTTGTGAGCCGAGCCGCTGGCGACGTCGTCCGATGTGACGAAAGCGTCGATGTTGGCGAGCATGCTGTCGGAGCGCGAGTTGGAGCCGCCTTCGTTCTGATTGTCGGCAGGCGGAGAGGTGAATTGGTTGAGGCCGAAGAGGAAGGAGTTGGGGCTCTCCTCGAATGGCATGGCTACTGCGGCCAGACCCTCGCTGCGTGCCTTTCGAGCTTGGATGGAGGCTGAGGGAGCGAAAACCTGCGTCGACCGAGCAGCAAAGCGGTGGGGTCGAGTTGGTGCGGCGAATGAGGCGGCGGCGCTTGGAAAGATGCGGAGAGCCTAGGAGAGACGGAAGTATGGGCGGAGGTGGTGGTGTAGAAGGGGATGTGCCGATTGCGCCGAGTCGGACGACGACGATGCGTGAACCGAACGGGGGCCGCGGATTAGAAGAAAGCGCAATCGACGATGAGAGAGCCGATGGCGGGATGGGTCAAGGCGCGCCTGCTTGACTCGATCGGAGGGCGGTAGTTGATGATGCGCCTGAGAGCAAGCTAGAACGAAGAGATACGAGAGAGTGGAGCGAAATGACGAATACGACGACGACCGGATGCGAGGAGGTTGGAGAGGGCAGGTCGGAACGGCTGGAGCGACTCGAGGTGCATATTTCAGCTTGCTTGTGATTCGCACGCGGCGAAGGGGGCGCTGTTAACACCGCCAGCCTGCATAAGTTAGCCAAGGCCGGCAACGACGGAATTTTTTCCCTCCTCGTCCCGGATGGGAGCCGCCGCCAGAGCCATACAACCCAACCCAACTTCCGAATCGGCACTAACTCACTCGACAAGCGAGGCTCAATTTTGGCAAAAAAGCTCAAAGCCAGGCCGAAGCGCTTTTTTGGATGCGCGGAAGCTTCTCGTGGCGGATCGACGCCGTGCGGCTGACTGCGCGGATGGCAGCTCGACGAGAGCGGACGATGGCTGCTGTTTCTCGCCGAAATCCTGCCGATGCCGATCCTCAGTCAGGCAGCCAGGCAGGCTCAAAGCGGGGTGAGTGTGCTCGTGGACAGGGTGCAAGGGCGCGTCTTCTTCCAGCTTAGCCGTCTTGCAGCAGATCAGCCTCGTAAAATCCGGAGCTCGTCCGTGGAGCGCTGCAAGATGCACCACCTGCAGTTCCTCGCTGCCCACCGTGCCCACAGTCCCACCAACCAAAGCCATCTTTACGCATGGCTCGCCGTGACTAATTCGTCACGGCTCTGAAAGCCAGCGTCGACGAAGAGGCTTCCGATAAGACGCTCGTAATCGAGAATTGCGTAGCGAGTGTGACACCGCTGAACCAGGCTCAGGTGCTGCTCGTGGGTTGCGCGAGATACTGCACAGCCTACAAAGCTTACAAGTGGGCTGCAGTTGCCGTGGGCGGTCAATCGGACCCACCAGCCCACGTCGCAAATTGCCTCTTTTTCGGGACGACTGACGTGATTTTAGCGCCGAGCGATTCGGCAGGCGCCCGTCCGCTTCACCGACACCAGCATCGATTGCCTCAAATCCCTTGCTCGAGCCGGTCAGCCCGAGATGAAGGCGGTCTTTCTTCGTCATTTGGGGCTGGGATGACACGATGCTTCCTCGCAAGACCACATGATATCGCGAGTGCAATCCGGACGGTAGTGGGAAGGAAGCAGCCATCGGGTTCCCGATGACTCGATCTTGGACATGTGTAGCTCATGTTAGAACGCCTGAGAGAACAGCCTGCATCAACTATGCTTATGTGTCGATTTGTAATCTTCACTCGTTCCTTACCCGATCACAAAATAGGCACAGCACCGAGGCAGCAGCGCACCGACCATCAGTCGAGTCTCCAGCTCACCCGCGTCAGGCTGGAGGTGTGTGTGTCTCGTAGCTAAATCGCAGCGCGGGCCCACCAAAGGGTGTTGAGCTGGAAGGTCCACCTGCCCGCCGCATTCCCGCGTGCGTTGGCTGGCTGGCTGGCTGGCTGGCTGGCCAGTGTTGGGCACGCGTTGACCAGCGCGCTCACTCCGCACGATCCAATCGACACACACTCTTCTTACCTTCTCCACTGCCGTCTCACTACATACTCCATCTCGCCTGCCTTCGACATCGTGGCCCGCCTGCACTAGCTTCCGTCCACATCAGGAGCCTGGTCCTATTGCGGCGTCTGCCTACCCTGCCATCATGTCGTTCAAGAAGGACGAGGAGGTCGGCTCTACCGGCTTCTACCAGGACAAGACTTCGGTCATCCAGGAAGCTCGTGTCTTCAACGAGACCCCCATCAGTCCTCGAAAATGCCGCATCCTCCTCACAAAGGTCATCTACCTCCTCTACATGGGCGAGTCCTTCAGCCGACAGGAGGCCACCACCCTCTTCTTCGGCGCCACCAAGCTCTTCCAGCACAAGGACCCTGCGCTCAGACAGATGGTCTATCTCGCCATCAAGGAGCTCTGCCCCTTCGCCGACGACGTCATCATGGTCACTGCCTCCATCATGAAGGATATGCAGCCCAACGTAGAGGTCATCTACCGCCCCAACGCCATCCGTGGCCTCAGCCGAGTCGTCGACCCTTCCATGGTCCAAGGTCTCGAGCGATTCTTCAAGTCTGCCATCGTCGACAAGAACACCTCCATCAGCTCCGCCGCCCTTGTTTCCGCCTACCAGCTCCAGATCGCCGCCAGAGACGTCGTCCGCAGGTGGGGCAACGAGGCTCAGGAAGCCATCAACTCCAAGAGCTCGTCTGGCGCCAGCTTCTCCAGTGGCTTTGCCGGCGCTGGCAGCTACCTCGGCTTCTCCGGCTACGGCTCGTCGCAGGCCCAGTCTCAAAGCAACTACCAGGCCGTCGCCAGCAGCAGCTACATCACCCAGTACCATGCCCTCGGTCTTCTCTACCTCATTCGTCAGGGCGACCGCATGGCCGTCACCAAGCTTGTGCAGCAGCTCGGCGGCGGCCGCGGCGGAGCATCCAGCGGCCAGGGTAGCGTCCTCAGGAGTCCCTACGCCATTTGCATGCTCGTCCGCTACGCCGCCAAGGTCGCCGAGGAGGACCCCAACTTGCGCGCACCCATGATGGAGCTCCTCGAAGGCTGGCTCCGACACAAGAGCGACATGGTCAACTACGAAGCCGCGCGCGTCATCTGTGAGATGAAGAACGTCTCCACCCAGGATCTCTACCGCCCGATCGCCGTTCTGCAGCTCTTCCTCTCGAGCCCCAAGTCGACGCTCAAGTTCGCCGCCATCCGCACCCTCGCCAAGCTCGCGCAGACGCAGCCCGCTGCCGTACAGACGTGCAACGTGGACATGGAGAACCTCATCACCGACACCAACAGGAGCATCGCTACCTATGCCATCACCACCCTGCTCAAGACCGGCAACGAGGCTTCCGTCGACCGTCTCATGAAGCAGATCAGCGGCTTCATGTCCGAGATCAGCGACGAGTTCAAGGTGATCGTCGTCGACGCCATCCGCAGCTTGTGCCTCAAGTTCCCGTCCAAGCAGACCGTCATGCTCAGCTTCCTTGCCGGCGTCCTCCGCGACGAGGGCGGCTTCGAGTACAAGCGCGCCGTGGTCGAGGCCATCTTTGACATGATCAAGTTCATCGGCGACTGCAAGGAGACCGCGCTCGCGCACCTCTGCGAGTTCATCGAGGACTGCGAATTCACCAAGCTCAGCGTGCGCATCTTGCATCTGCTCGGCGTCGAGGGTCCCAAGATGCCCCAGCCCCACAAGTACATCCGCTACATCTACAACCGCGTCATCCTCGAGAACGCCATCGTGCGCGCCGCTGCCGTCAGCTCGCTCGCCAAATTCGGTATCGCCGACAAGTCGCTCAACGCGAGGATCAAGGTGCTGCTCGAGCGATGCCTTGACGACGTCGACGACGAGGTGCGCGACCGTGCCGCCATGTACTTGCGCGTCCTGCGCGAGTCGAGACTCGCCGCCAAGGTCGTCAACGACGAGTCGAGCTACAAGCTCACGGCGCTCGAGTCGGCTTTGCAGTCGTACGTCTCGGACCCCTCGTCTTCGACGAGCGGATTCGACATCACCAAAATCCCCCGCGTCACGCGCGAGGAGGCGCGCCAAGAGGCGCTGCGGGCCAAGAGCGAGGCTACAGCCAGCGTGGCGATGGCTGCCGACAGCTCGCAAAGCGTGCACGCCAACTCGAACAAGGGTGCTTCGACATCCAAGGTGACGTCTTCGGGCGACTCGGAAAGCCTGTACGCCCAGCAGCTTGCGGCGGTGCCGCAGTTTGCCGAGTACGGGCCGGTGCTCAAGAGCTCGTCCAAGGCTGTTGAGCTCACCGAGTCCGAGACCGAGTATGTGGTGAGCGCGGTCAAGCATGTCTTTGCCGAGCACGTGGTGATTCAGTACAACGTCACCAACACGCTGCCGGATACCGTGCTGGAGAACGTGGCGGTGGTGGTGGGTGGAGCTGCCGAGGCTGGCTTGCATGAGGATTTCATCGTCACAGTGCCTGCGCTGTCGGCGCAAAACCCGAGCGGCACAGTCTACGTCTCGTTCACACGCGAAGGAGGCGCGACGGACTACGCGCAGGCTACGCTGTCCAACACGCTGCGCTTTGTGTCGAAGGAGGTGGACCCGTCGTCGGGCGAGCCCGAGGAGGAGGGATACGACGACGAATACCAGACCGAAGAGCTCGAGCTCGGCGTCGCGGACTACGTCAAGCCGGTGTACGCCAACTTTAGCGAGGAGTGGGACAAGCTCGCGTCGGCGCCGTCGGCGACCGAGACGTTTGCGCTTACTGCACTCGACGGCCTCAAGACGGCGTGCGATACGCTGATCGAGCTGATGGGCATGATGCCACTGGGAGGCACCGAGTCGCCATCGTCGACGTCGGTGCATACGCTCACCCTGTCGGGAGCCGTGGCGAACCCGGGCAAGCCCGTCAAGGCGCTGGCTCGTTGCAGGATGACGTTTGCCTCGGGCCAGGGTGTGACGATGGAGCTGTCGGTGCGCGCCGACTCGGACGAAGCGTGCCAGCTCATCATGAGCGCCATCGCATAAAGCGCCTGATTGCTGCGTCGCTTGGCTCACGTTGTTCCACTCATCCCTTCCCCTACACCTTGCCCCTTTCCCCCATTTGCCAAATCGTGAACTTGTTCCACAAACCGCTTGCATGCACGTGTGTGCTTGAACTGAGCGCGCAAGTGGGATATCAGTAGAGAATTGTGGAAGTCTGTCGACGAGCCAGGGCACGTTCTTCCTCGCGTCGTTTGAAGGCAGCAACCTTTTTGGCGAGGCCTGGGTCGGGTTTGAGTGAGCTTCTCGAGACGGCGGCGGTGCACGCGGAAGCGGGGCATTTGTTGTTGCCTGCCTCGACGTAGTTTTGAATGGCTGCGCGCGAGTACGAGTGGGTGCAATTCGAACTGACATCCCAAGCAAAGAGAAACCAGTCAGCGTCCAGAACTCATGGGTCGGGATGAGGGAGAAGGGCACGTACTTTGTGAGTGGGTCTTCGAGGAGGTTTGCCGAGAGTGGACAGCGGAAATTTTGAGTCTGACCACCAGCGACGATTTCGTCGTCCGAGTCGTCTTCGTCGCCGTTTTCAGAGGGGATGAGGTCTCGAACGGGAGGCATGGCGCCTTCTTCACGCGCGACCCAAACGGCATTCTTGAAGTTGTGAAAGTCGGTATTCTTGGCATACTTGCGCCGAGACGTCTGCTTGTTGTACGTGTCGAGATGCGCTTGCACCTCGTCCTTGTATCGCTTCGCCGGATCATCCTATCCATGTAATGATGCAGAGATGGTCAGAAGACAGTGTAAGAGAGGAGACAAGAATGGAGGCTGCTTACGAGGGAGAGGCCTGATTGGAGGTCCTGTGTGATTTCTTCGAGCACCCGTCGTCGGATGGCCTTCTCGGCCTGCACATCGATGAGCTCGCGCAGATCGAGTTCGGCCTGTTGCAGCTCGGCACATTCATCGTGTGTTCGGAATGCCTCTGCGACTTGTTCGGCGGTATCGTTGAGCAGCTCGATGCAGCGTCGAATGTTTTGGTCCTGATTTCGGAGCTCGGTCATGAGGTTCTTCAAGTTGGGCACCTGCTCTCGACTGAGAGGATGAGGCCGCAGGTCGACATCAAAGTTGAAGGCATCATCGCCGTTTGTCGAACGACTTGGACCAGCGGCAGGAGCAGCTGCGTCTGTTCGCGAAGTCTGCGTGCGTCTTTGTGATGAGGGCCTGACATCCTGATCGGAAACCGCCTCGTCCTCGTCTTCGCTGTCGTTGATGCGACGACGGCGTGTGGAGCGCGACATGCCGTTAGAATTGAAGCTTTGCAAGTTGACGGGAGTTGGTCTTGCGGCACAAGATGTAGGGGCGAGGATGACGACGGCTTCAAGGGGAAGATGGCGATCTGGTGTTGCGTTTCCTGCGCAGCAACAAAGTGCGGGAGGGCCAAGTGTTGCTCTTGGGACCCTTGGCTGAGCCCAAGCCGCACGCAGCGAATCTCCACCTGGACCTTCCTCCCAAACGGACCAGCAGCAGCAGGCGGTCTCAAGCCGTCTGAATTTACAGCAGTCACGCCCGCCTCTGGGCTGCCGAGGCCGGATTTTCGCGCGACGCGTTGAGTGGTCCGAAGTTCCGACTGAAGGCGCGAGCGCAGAGCTCTAACAGCCACATAGTCGAGCGTCGAGAGGAGAAACAGGCACTGGAGCACAGGAAACGAGTCCAAAATTTCACGGCGAGGTTGACCAAAAAAGTAAAAAAAGTGGTCTCGGACCAGAAAAAATTTCGATACTCCACGGCGAGTTTGACGGCTGCATTCCGCTTTCCGCAACTTCTCTCCATCTCGCGTCGGCGGCCTGGCTCAGTCTGCGAGAAGCTTGGAGGACATCAAGCGAGTCGCGACACTGATCGCCTCGTCGCCTCCTACCTTATCCTACTTCTCCGTTGCCTTGACGCCCTTGGTGCTGCTCTCACCGTGGACGCTGCATCGACACACAACCCGGCTCCTTCGACCACATACCCGCAAGAGACGCTGCGATTCGAGGTCGTCGCGGCGGTTTCTAGCATTCATCACACAAGCTCCATCCACCACCACACTCCACCACCCTAGCATCGTCTCGACGGTCCAACAAGCACCATGAAGTACATCGTCGTCAGCGGAGGTGTCATCTCGGGCATCGGCAAGGGCGTCATCGCCTCGTCCACCGGCCTGCTCCTCAAGACGCTCGGCCTCCGTGTCACCGCCATCAAGGTCGACCCTTACATGAACATCGATGCCGGTACCATGTCGCCTACTGAGCACGGTGAGGTCTACGTCCTCGACGACGGCGGAGAGGCCGATCTCGACCTGGGCAACTACGAGCGCTACCTCGACGTCACCCTCAGCCGCGACAACAACATCACCACCGGAAAGATCTACAGGGAGGTCATCGAGAAGGAGCGCAAGGGCGACTACCTCGGTAAGACCGTCCAGATCGTGCCCCACCTCACCAACGCCATCCAGGACTGGATCGAGCGCGTCGCTCAGCGTCCCGTCGACGGCAGCGGAGAGTCGCCCGAGGTCTGCATCATCGAGCTCGGCGGTACCGTCGGTGACATCGAGTCCGCCCCCTTCGTCGAGGCCATGCGTCAGTTCCAGTTCCGCGTGGGCCACGACAACTTTGCCCTCATCCACGTCAGTCTCGTCCCCGTCATCGGCGGCGAGCAGAAGACCAAGCCCACCCAGGCCGCCATCCGCGACCTGCGCGGCCTCGGTCTCGTGCCCGACATGATTGCCGCCCGCTGCCCCGTCCCGCTCGAGCCCGCCGTCATCAACAAGCTCTCCATGTTCTGCCACGTCGGCCCCGAGCAGGTCATGGCCGTGCACGACGTTTCGTCCACCTACCACGTGCCCTTGCTCCTCGAGGAGCAAGGCATGGTTCGCTTCTTCCAGAAGCGTCTCGGCCTCGACGTCAACGGCAGCATCCCACGCCCCATGAAGGAGCAGGGCCGCGAGCTCAGGACGCGCTGGCGCGACCTCACCGTCGGCCACGACCGCATGATCGACAAGGTCGAGATCGTCCTCGTCGGCAAGTACACCTCGCTGCACGACTCCTACATGTCCGTCGTCAAGTCGCTCGAGCACGCCGCACTTCGCTGCCACCGCAAGCTTGAGCTCAAGTGGGTCGAGTCCAGCGACCTCGAGCCTGCCGCAGAGAGCGACAACCCCGTCAAGTACCACCAGGCCTGGCAGGCGCTCTGCTCCGCCAAAGGTATCCTCGTCCCCGGTGGCTTCGGCACCCGTGGCACTGAGGGCATGATCAGCGCCGCCCGCTGGGCGCGAGAGAAGAAGGTGCCCTACCTCGGTATCTGCCTCGGTTTCCAGATCGCCGTCATCGAGTACGTGCGCAACGTGCTTGGCATCGAGACCGCCGGCTCGGCTGAGCTCGACGCCAACTGCAAGGATCCCGTCATCATCTACATGCCCGAGATCAGCAAGACCCACCTCGGCGGCACCATGCGTCTCGGTCTCCGACCTTCCATCTTTCAGAAGGGCACCGAGGAGTGGAGCAAGATCCACCAGCTCTACGGCGGCCAGCCCGTCGTATGGGAGCGTCACCGCCACCGATACGAGGTCAACCCCGAGTACGTGGAGCGCATCGAGAGTGCTGCCTCCAACCCCTCGCTCGCCGCCAAGGCCGCGCCTCAGAAGATCCCGGCCACTTCGCCGCCGCTTCCCTCGTTCACCTCGCCGCGGCTCGGCTACCCGTCTGAGGCCGAGGCCGAGCCGGCGGGCATCGACGAGCTCAAGTTTGTCGGCAGGGACGAGAAGGGCGAGCGTATGCAGATCGCCGAGCTGCGCAACCACCCGTACTTTGTCGGCATGCAGGCGCATCCCGAGTTCTGCTCGCGTCCCCTCAACCCTTCGCCGCCGTTCCTCGGCTTCATCGCCGCCTCGGCAGGTCTGCTCGACGAGCAGCTGGCCGTGCAGAAGAACTACGTCCCGCCCCACCCCAAGAGCCACATGATCTCCGAGTCCGAGATGATCAAGCGCAGGGACGCCGGCGAGACCGACGACAAGCCCGCCACTACTCCTCCTGGCGCCGCTACGCCTACCCGCAGCCTCAGCCTCAACAAGGGCACCTCCAAACCCGACCTCGCCGTCGCTGCACGCATCGCCGCTGCCGAGAAGGCCAACAGCGCCGCCGCCGCCGATGCGTAAACGCCCGGAATTCTCCTCATCACTTCAACCTTTCTCCTTTCGTGCATATTCCCCCCATTCTAGACATGTTTTCTCCAACCGTGCCACGGTTCCTTTCCGCTACATCTGTATTCTCGCAATCGTAACACCATTCAAAAGGCGTCATTACTGGAGTGTTGAGAGGACTGCCCTTCCTTGTGTCATCTCGGATGGGTCAGGATAACGGCCATTCGACCAGACAGAGCCTTCCGGCTATGAACCGTTGATCCGGGCGCCCTTCTTAATCTCGAAGAATTGTTGAGCACGGTCTAGCGTACGTGGTGGTGATGCGGAGGCGCGGAGTTGGATTCGGCTCGGCTAGCGAGATGCGCGGTCCAGGGTCCAGAGCGAGGCCGAGGGCCAAGGCGTCCAACAGCGCCGACGCGACCAGCGGGATCAATTTTAGGATTTTTTTAGCCCTGCAGAGCGGCAGTGCGTCAGAGGGGCGGGCTGGGCCCTGCATATGAAAGCAAAAATGAGCTGTTGCGTGGATTGCGTCAACTCGACCACCTCAACCGCCTGCAAATGCAGTCCGTTGGTTCGCACTTGTCATTGCGCCTCAGATGGATAGACCTGCGGCAGGCTGTACAGGCACAGTAGCTTCGCAGGCTCCCGCGACGTGAGCTGGTGACGCAGCTAGGAAGCTAGATGCGCCGTGTGCGTCACAAAAAGCACATCCCGCAGGCGGGACGATACGTCGCTGCTCTGAGACCAGCAGATCACGATGCAGGGTCGTGCGAGCTGCTAACGATGAGACTGCGGGTCAAATCTCGCTGGTCCATGAAGCCGCCAGCCTGCAACGGGGCGTTGTCCTGGATCAAGCAGAATCTATTCGGCAGCAGCCCGTGAGCTAGCTCGCAATCGTGCAGCCACCCGTGCACGCCCATGTGGGCGTTGGCTGCGTTGGCTCCCCTCAGTCTTCTAAGTGATGCGGTCAGGCCGGATGAGTCAGGCCACATGAAGCAGCAACGTCAGGGCTTCCTGCACGTATGTCGATTGAGACTTCATGGACCGGGTCCCTCCTCTTGCCCACTTCGGCCTTGTGGGGCGTGCCAGCGCAGAAGCACAGTAGCGTTGCACCCCTGTCGCCTCGGGCGAAGCTCAATTCATACAAAAGCAAATCGAAGATCCGTGCTGGCTTTGATGCCATGTCCGTGTCAGTGTCCTTTTCTCTCTACCGTCTGTCTCTGCTGTCTCTAACTGCTCCTTCGAAGCCCGGCGCTTCTGGTTCCGCTCCTTTTCCTCGTTCCGCACTCATCACCACTAACACCACCACCTTCAAAGATTGGGCCGGCCCCGATTCCCTCAACACACTCTTTACCACCTCAGTCGAGCATCTATTCTTCGGACTTCCTCTAATTGTACATTCAAGAGCCTTTAGTCCAGCAACAGCATTTCAGGATAGATCAAAATGGCTCAAGCATCTCTGGCAGCTCAGATGGCTCGTCACGCGTCCACACTGAAGAAGCACCAAGGACTGCCATTCAGCTCGAACAGGTCGAGCGTGTGGTACGACGACGACAGCCAGTCTGGAGCCGAGAGCGAAGACGATGGTGATGCCGACAGCTTGACCAGCGCCGAGAGCGTCGAGTCGGGCGCAGACACCCTTACGACGCCCGAGTCGTCGCCTCCGCATTACCGACATGCAGTTTTGCACGGCACCGAGCCTCCGCGGGGTCCGGCTGTGGGAGGCTTTGATTCTGACGGCAACTGGGCCTGGTCGAGAGCATGGCCATCCGATGGCCCTGAAGTCGATGACAACGAGGAGGAAGCATCGCAGGTGACCTTGCCCATCAAGCCGGTGCTCAATCGGCATGACCGTACACAGATTGCCATGACGGGCAAAATCAGCCGGCTAGCTCCGACCGGCGGAGCGCTGACGATCGAATCCTCGGATCGCGACATTCAAGACCACTGTGACTTGGAAGAGGCGATGGAAGAGGAGGATGATCCGTACGATGTGGTCGGCTTCACGTACTATCCTCCCCGCTCTGCATCGGCGGCTGATGTGTCGGGTGAAGGGCACAGCATCGTGATGCCAGTGCGTATCCGGCTCGAATACGACTCGTCCAGCGACGAAAGCGATGGCAGTGTCGTCACCACTTCTTCCAGCGGCAGCGACTCGGATGCTCGTCGTAGAGCCAGCTTCAACATGCTCCAGCGGCTCGGGCGCAACGTCAAGATCCCTGAGCGCCACGCCTCCGCCATGCGACTCGGCCAGGGTGTGCCCCGAAGACCGCCTTCGCTCGACGAGATTTCTCACCGCGTAGCAGGGGTGGGATCCAGCTCGTACGGCCGACGGACGCCCCCCACCAGTGCCGTGCCACACGCACGGTCGGTCAGCTGTCCATCGCCAATCCTCGTGCAGCGCGCCCAGTTTGGCGAGGTCGAAGTCATGGTCACCCCGCCGACACCACAGATGGCGACGGAAAAGATTCTGGGCGTCGTGCTCAAGAGCCCCAACATGCCCTCTTCGGCCTTCGCGACCGATGCCCTTGGCAACCTCGCCGCCCCGGCTTTCGACGTGGCTCCGGGTCGGCAGATCATGCTAGAGGACCGCCAGCGCCAGGCCAAGCTGTGGCTAGAGGCATTCAAGGCTCAGCAGCAGGAGCCCCAGGGGCTGAACCTCAAGGTAGGCACCGGATCCGTCGCTCCTCCTGTTGCTGATGACACCCAGGCCGCTGCTACGTTCGCTTCCAGCAGCCCAACGCGGTGCAAGAGCCCGTCGTACCCGAGCCTTTCGCTCGGCAGTGACACCAATGCGCCGATGCAGCAGCGAAGCGGTGGCCCACCTATCCCGCCCCGCCGGCGCAGCTTCGCGCGCAAGATCAGCGACACTTCATCCGCCGCCGTGCCCTGTCAAGCTGGCACATCCGACAGCTCTGTTGAAGGATCCGAGCCCATCCAGCCTGTCCAGGTGGCTGCCTCTGACGCTTCGACGACTCCACGCACGGCGTCGCTGCCAGCGATGCGTCCGACGTACGCCGCGCCTCGTCGCTCTCTGGTGGCCAGACTGAGCCTTCGCAGATCTAGCAACGAGATGCGGGAGGAGCGAGGTTCGCTGCAGGTTCCCCGCAAGCCGGTCCCCGCTGTCTAAGAGTGCTCCTCCTCGCCACGCGCGCTTTTTTGTCCATTGTTAGTTGCCGCCGATCAATCGACGAGAATGGTTGCGCGCAATTTCTGTCCCTTGTGAGATTACTCCCTGCAGAGTCGCCATCCCAATGGGTTTTTGCAGTTTGTTAGACTGTCTCTTATATACAAGCGAGATTGAGGCTTGCGTCCACGTGAAGCGTGCATTCTGGACCTCGGCCGAGCTTTTCGTCAGTCGGATCCGAAAATTCGAACTCTCAATTGCCGCCCCCTAGAAGTGAGGCAGGCGCCGCACTTGGCTGGTCGGTCGATTCGAAATTGTCAAGCAACTTTTGGCGCAGCACGCCAGCAGTGTCCGGGCACTCGCTACGGACAGGGCAGCAGACCGGCAGCAGGGCGCCTAGTTGCGCGCGGGTGGGCGAAGGCAGTGAGTGAGCGCCAGCCTCGAGTTGGTCTTCGCCATCAGCCCGCCATCTTCCCTACCTTCAAGCCATCGCCCAATTCTTTCAATATGGAGTCTACTAAGGTCCCCGTCAAGCTCGCTCGCGTAAGCATCATCGCCCAGAGCACATCACATTCGGTGCCATTCGACCAGCACACATCGACACCTTCAGCCCAGCAGCAGCAGTAGGAGAAGCAGCATTCGACACGCAGTAGCAGCAGCAGCAGCATCCAGCATCCAGCATCCAGCATCCAGCATCCAGCATCAGCACCGACACATATAGCACTATCATCCGCTACTTCGCCGACCATTCTGGTGCCGGCGTTTGCCCCACTGTGACGGACAGTCCGACGCTGCGCATTCACGTAGACTTGCGATGGAAACGACCAGGAGACATGACAAAGTTCGGTCGTCCGGGACTTCTGCGACCACATTCGACATCGAAAGCGGACCATGATCACAGTCAGCGACAGTGCCTTCTCGGAGACGGAACGGACAAGTGCGTGATTCGGCACCGTGTTGGACGCTCCTTGCGGAATGTATGGCCCAAGTACAGGTCAGCGTCATTTCTGTCAACGCGGCCCAGGATCGTCGAGCATGTCCACCAATCTTCTGGCCTTCCAATGTGCGGCCCGTCTCGACTGTGTTGTTGTCCTCATCGATGTTGGGATGGGCGTGCGGATCTCCAATCATCTTCGCGCAATGCACACTTCACGGCCAACATCAGATGCACGCGATTCACCTGCCAATCTCATGCGACAACGAAGAGGGCTCACACCAACAAGGCGAATGATCACAGCCAACCCCTCAGCACCCGACATCAGGGCGCAAGAAGGAGGATCACCATCCCTATATTCAAAACACGACCCGACACCTTTCGACTACATGACTGCCACCAGTCGGATTGCTGCTTCGCTTCTCGACATGCTGCCGTGGGGAAGGACGATGTGCCGCTCTTCGACCGAGCTCGTTACAAAAGTTGCAGTCTGACTCACACGAATTTGTTTCCCGCTTGTTCATACTTGGCTACAACAGGTTACTAAGGTCCTCGGCCGTACCGGCTCGCGCGGTGGTATCATCCAGGTCCGCGTCGAGTTCATGGACGAGACCCGCCGATCGATCATCCGCAACGTCAAGGGCCCCGTCAAGGTCGACGACATCCTTGCCCTCCTCGAGTCCGAGCGTGAGGCCCGACGACTCCGATAAACGGCTTGCATCCGGTTGCGCCCTTAGTCTCGCCCTGATGCAACCATGTCTCGACGTACGCTAGTCTCGCATCTCTAGGTCGGAACTCCACCTCGGTGTTGATACGGCGAGCGTTTCCGACAGTGCGATTCCCCCAAAAAGACTCGCACACATCAGGCGGCAAAGGCAAGGTGCAACAGCAAGCTCCAGTTTGTTTGGCAGTCCGATTTGGTCATCCCAGAATCCTGTTGCATTCCTCTTGCGATCTCGTCCTATCTCCTTCTCAACACTTCATTATTCTTCCGCCCTGGGATCGCGGCGGATGCAGCAGGTTCGTGTACAATCAGCAACCTCTCACCGCACACATTCCATCACGCACGTTCCATACATCCGCTCGCACTTGTGTCGACAGGTTCATGCCCTGTCGGCTCACGCAATCCAAAAGCTATCTCCCTCGCGGGAGATGATTCTGATTCAAACCAACCCGCGTGCAGAACTACATGCGTCTTTCGTGCAGCAGGACCGATATGAAGCACGATGATTGTGATTGTGAACGATTTTGGTTTGAGTTCGAGGGTGCCTGTTGCTCAGTGCCTGGCGAGGAGCTTTTGGATACCACGGATGATGAGGTTGTGGTCGTCCTCCTGCTTGAGGCCTGAGACGACGATGATGCCGACGGGGCCAGCGGTCATGCCCTTGATGCGGATGGGGAATCCACCGCCGTGCGCGGCATACTCGGGTCCAAGGCCGTCGAGATCCTTGCCTTTGAGCAGGCGCGTGCGTCCAACAAGGTAGCTGGAGAGACCGAACCTCCTGACCGTGTTAGCCTTCCTTGCGACCCAGTCCCAGTTGTCTGCAGCAACCTTGCGCGGGTTGCCTACCGCGCACGAGAAGAGCGTGTGGCCGGAGAAGAGCGAGATGGAGATGACGATACCATTCTGGCTTGGGTTGTAGTACTCGAGAAAGTCGGTGCGGATGAGCGAGCCCAGCTCGAATGCAGTGTCGTTGGTCAGCTCGGGAAGGACACACGAAGCCTCCTGACCCTCGATGTCGGCGATCTGCTGGCGCAGGATCTCCTGCTGTTCTGGAGTGACGACACTCATCTTGAAGCTGCGAGGAAGAAACCGTGGAGCGTGAAGAAAGGGTCAGTGTCGTCTCGAGAAAGAGCTGAATCTTGCACCGTGTTTAAGTGGAGTGTGCTGGATCTGAATCTTCTTGGCGTGGACCTCGGACTTTTCCCGATGTGACGGATCGGGACTTGATTCTTCAAGCTCAAACCCGCACTCGGACCCGGCGACTGGACTTGGCCCAGCGGACGCCACGCCCCGACGCCATGCTCTATCTCGGATGATGCGCAGCCTTTTGACCGTGCGATGCAGGCGGGAATTGTAGAGCTCAGTCACGGCGAGCCTGATCAAGGCAAAGGCGCTCTATCTGGAGGCTGGCTGTCGGTGCGCGACAGGGGGCTCATGCTTGCGTTCTGAGGTGTCCGGGCTATCGTGTTGCCGAGCGATATAGCACCAGAGGTAACAACAAGCCGGGTGACGGAGCTTGGCTTGACCGACATCGAGGAGGTGTCCAACAGTGAGCGATGAAGCATCTGTGGCGGCAGCGATACCATACATTCGTGGACTGGGTGATGATCTTCAGAGTGTCTCGGCAGTGTCGGAGAAAGTCGACCACGCGCGAAAAGGCAGCCTCGTGCGCGTCCGCCGATCTGGCAACCGCTGCTGTGAAAATTGCACTACCCGTGATGCGGTGTCGATTCATCAAGCATCGACGAGACATTTTTGCACAGAAGGGCAGTCGGTATAGTGCGGAACACGATGCAGCATTCTGTTCGGAACAGCCGACAGCATCGCTTTTGTTGAGCATCAGCCAGAGAAGGGGAGGGGGAGAGGAGCAGGATACTAGATATCAGATCGAGACCCCGATAACACGGTGCCGTCTGAGGCTCACCGAGCTAGCCCGAAGTCCGCTCGGTGGCTCTGGAACACACTCTCTCTCCAGCCACTGCTCGGTCACCCACGCTCACCTGCACGCACACATCCGCACGCACGCACGCACGCACGCACACACACACACACACACACACACGCGCCCACCTGTGCGGTGCTTCTTGGATTCAATCGCCCGCAGCCACCTCACAGATACGCGCAGCTGCACCGGCCAGCTGCCGCCCCGACTTGGCCATCCGGATTGAGCTCGCAGCCCAGCCAGGCTCGAGCAGCGCTGCACCTTTGGCTTCGAAACACACACACACACACACAAACAGGGACCTTGCCCGCCCAAGTGCCCCTCCTCGCCCACGCGCCTGTAAATTTCCGCCCCCCCCTCCCTACACCTTAATCGCCCTTTTTGAATCCTCTGGCCGCTGCTGTGGCTTTTCGCCTGGAGGTCGCCGCCCGCCTCGCCGCCCCCTCGCCGCCGCCCCCGCGCGCGCGTTGGCTCGAGCCGCAAGCTCTGTCGCTCGTCTGGGCCGCCTGGCCGCCTGGCCGCTGCCTCGCCCCTCTTTCTCGTGCCCGCGCTGTGCCTGCGCTTGCTCTTTGCACTTTCCGCCCGGCGTTGAATCTGTCACTCTTTTGACTTTGCTCGCCTTCACCATCACCGACCACCATCAGCGCTGCCGTGCATTCTCACTACGCCTCGCATCTGTCATAGATCGCACGTCGTGCCCATCGCATCGTCCGCCTCTACGACGCTTTCCCCGCACTTCGTTTTCTCTCGCGTCACCTCTGCCGTAGAGGTGCTCCTTTCGCTGCCTTCCCAGCCTCGTCTCTCCGCCCAGTCTGGATCGGCAACGCACGCGCCTCTTTGCATCTCTCTCGCCGTTGCATTCCCACTTCAACGCTCTCTCTTACGCGCTCGTAGGAAACTCAGCTCGCGTGGCCTCACTCGACCCAACTCCTCAGCACCGTCGCCGCTCCGAGCTTCACGCACACGTCGCCCCTTTTCCGACACAGATCATTGTCGTCGGCTTCTCCGAACAGTCGCTCTGCCTTGCAGCTCGAACCGCGTCACATCATCTCGAGGTCACCCGCGCCGCCTACATTCGCGCCCAAAGTTTGCCTACCCAAGGCTATCATAGTGCTTGAACCTCGCTACAACTAGACGCCAACATGCAGACCATCAAGTGCGTGGTCGTCGGTGACGGTGCCGTCGGAAAGACGTGCCTGCTCATCTCGTATACAACCAACGCCTTCCCTGTACGTATCCGGATCCCGCCATCGGCAAGCTGGTGACACACCCGAAACTGACGCGTTCTTGCTGCTGCTACCACTTGCTTGTGCTGCTCAACAGGGCGAGTACATCCCCACAGTGTTTGACAACTACTCGGCAAACGTCATGGTCGACGGTAAGCCGGTATCGCTCGGACTGTGGGATACGGCGGGTCAGGAGGACTACGACCGTTTAAGACCACTCAGCTACCCGCAGACCGACGTGTTCCTCATCTGCTTTTCGCTCGTCAGCCCACCGTCGTTTGAAAACGTGCGCACCAAGTGGTGGCCCGAGATTGCGCACCACGCGCCCAACATCCCCACCATCCTGGTCGGCACCAAGCTCGATCTGCGCGAGGACCCAGAGACGATCGCCAAGCTGCGCGACCGTCGCATGCAGCCCATCACATATGCACAGGGCAACCAGATGGCGCGCGACATCCACGCCACCAAGTACCTCGAGTGCTCGGCGCTCACCCAAAAGGGCCTCAAGGGCGTCTTTGACGAGGCCATCCGCTCCGTCCTCGCCCCAGCACCCGTGAAGTCCAAGAAGAAGAACAACTGCACCATCCTCTAGGCTCTCCCCTCGATCGCACAGCCGTGTCAGTCCATGCCGTGCGGGTAGCATCAAGGCGCGTAAAAAAGCTCCTTTCTCGCGCTTGACGACCCGTCGCATCTAGACATCCATCCCCGCATTCCCACCTCTCCCCCTGCGCGGCGCGGTCGTGAGGCTAGGCACCGTGCGCGGCGGTGACATGATCCCAATGCCCGCATCGTCTGGCTTCACTTACGCGCTGTTCACAACTTCATCTCCCCTGGTTTCGTCTCTTGTGTTGGTACTTCAAGGTTTTCTTTCTTTCGCTCTTCACCGCATCGCATCGCAGCGTGTGCGGTTGTGTGTGTGTGTGTGTGTGTCGAAAAGTGCGGTGACTGGGATTGTAGGATTGCTAGATGGAGGCTATGCTGTGTGTTGTATTCATGCAGATGGCTTCAGAAGGGTTTTGAGCGCGGTGATGGTGCGACCGAGCATGATGCCTCCGCCCTTGGTGAGGCCGTGCACCGCCTCGTCTTCGGACGGCGCAGAGTCTGCGCCCGGCGTGGCGTTCATGAGCGCCTCGGCGCGCTCAACGATCTTGCGCAGGTTCGCCGCCTTGTGGTAGAAGAGCTCCAGCTCGGTCGCGAATCCCTCCGGAGGCTGTTCCAGCGCCTTCCTCACAAAGCCGCGCGACAGGATGTAGGCCTTTTCGTTGTACAACCTGCTGTTGACCTTGCTCTCGTCCTTGCCCTTAAGCTTTTCGTACGCCGGCTCGGTGAAATACGGCTCCCTCACCAGCACCAACGCCTGAATGCTGACAAACACCTGGAGCAGCGAACTCTTGCTAGGCGTCCAGTTCTCCTCGGCCACGCCCGACCACGTGCCGAGCACGGACAGGCACACCTTGCCATCCTCGTACAGATTCGGCGACACGCGGCCGTGGCCGTTGGTCCACGAATGGAAGTGGGCAACGGGCGGCTTGGTGGGGAACTCCTCGGTGAGCTGGAAATCCAGCAGGAACGGTGCGTTTTCGTACGGCGTGCCCTCGGACCCGATGATGAGGACGCGTAAGAGGTCGCTGCGGTCCTCGTAGGCGCGCACGAGGATCGTCTCGGGCAGCGACGTCTGGAGCACCTTCATCTCCTTCTGCAGCCGCTTGAAGAAGGTCGCGCCCGGCGCCGACGCCGGCGGCTTCGAGTAGAAGGCGTGCGAGGTGGGTGCACTCTCGAGCACGCTGAACTGGCTCCACTCTCGATCGCTGCTGGCAGCCGCCAATTCGGATGGCGCCGAAGGCTCGCCCGACGAAGCCTCGGTGGACGCGATGGCTTCCAGAGCGGAGGAGGTGGCCTTTGACGTGCCAGCATCGCCATTCTGAGTCTTTGTTGTGGCAGGAACGGATCGGAGTTCGGACGATGCGTCGACGTGTGCCGCTTCGGCAGCATCCTCGTCAGCCTCAGCGTCGTCGAGGTGGATCTCGGCTACTTCGAGCGCGCCGTTGGAGCCGTCATCCATGTCCTCCCAGTCGTCGCCGGTGTTGGCGACCACCTCGCCGTCCTGGTCCATCCACATGGCCTCCTCGGCCGAATCGTAGTCGTCGTCGTAGTAGCCGTCATCTTCCTCCATGCCGTCCCAAGGATCGACAACATCGATCATTCCGTCGTCGTCTTCGTGCTCGTGCTCGTGCATGCCAAAGCCGGTGTCGGAGAGGATCTGAAGCCGCTCCAACTTTTCGGTCACCTGCTTGCCGCAGGGCAGTCGGATCTGGCAGGAGCCGTCGAGCAAGAGCTCCTCGACGGTACCGTACCAGTCGATCTCGGTGGCTTCTGTGCCATAGCGGATTTCCTGGGCCGACGTGCCCTGGTTAGGCACGATGTTCATCTCGGCGTTCATGAGGTCGTTCTGAAGGTCCATGTCGGAGTAGTCGGGACGCGGGTCGCCGACAGTAGGAAGGAAGGGTCCGGAGAAGCCTGTGGATCGGCCAGAGATCATGACGGCGTCGCCGCGGTGGAGGCTGAAGACGCTGTGGTCTGGACCCTGGACGTCGATTTCGAGCGAGGGCACCAACTCGACTTCGGCGGGCTCGGAGAAGGGCTTTCGCAGCTCGGCGGTGCGCTCGAGCGGGTCCATCTTTTGAACCACGCGGGGTACGCTGCCGTGTTCGTCCGACTTCCAGTAGACCCAGTCGCCGGGCCAGGACTCGTGCTCGTCGAGGTTGAGGTGTGGGACCATGTCGACCGCCTTCTCCTTGGTGCGCGAGCCGTCTTGCCACATGACTTCGAGCTCGGTGCATGTCTCCATGACGAGCATGGCGTCGATGGCGAGGCGCTCGCGGCCGTGGTGGGTGTATTTTGCGCCGTGCTGATCCTTGAGCTGCTGGTTGCGGAAGACGACGCGATCGCCGATCTCGTGGTTGCGCTGCGAGAAGGCCTTGACGAGCGTGAGCTTGCTGAAATCTGTGCAGAGCGCCGGTGGCTTGGGTCGTTTTGCCTGTTGGTCCGGGGTGAGCTTCTGGTTGAGGGCGAGCCAGTTGACGTAGAAGACGGTCTGCTTGATGTCGACGATAGAGGCGGATTTGAGGCCGAGACGGGCGAGGTTGATGCCGAGGTGATCGGATTTCATGAGCTCCTCGGGGATCTTGCCGAGGAGCAGACGGCCACCGAGCTCGCAGACGCGGATGAGCCGATCGTTGTCTGAATTGGCGACGAGCCCCTCTTCGACCATGCCATCGATCTCGCCGATCCAATCGTCTGCGATGACGTGGTCGCCGTGGTTGACGAGGTTGCCCTTGACCACGTCGTCTGCGGGCACCATGTGGTCGATCTCCTCGCGGCTGAAGAGATGCTGCAGTTTGAGCGTGGTGGAGAGGGAGGTGACCACACCGGCGGCGGCATCGCCGAGGGAGCGTTTGCAATTGGAGCCTACGGCAAAGATGCGGTCGATGAGATTGAGAGTGGAGCCAAGCACGATCTCGCGATGGCCGGAGGGCATCCAGAGGATGCCGTACTCGTTCTCCTTGAGGGCACGGTCGAGGCCAATCTGGTTGAAAGTGGTGGGGTCCTGGTCGAGCTCGTCATGGTAGCATCTTGATACCATGCCAATCTTGTGCTCATCGTCGCTGCCCACCTTGCGCGAGACGACATCGGCCTTGTAGAAGCGAAGAGAGCCCGAGGCTGTGGCTGTGGCCATGGCTGAGAGTGCTCTTACCGAGCTGGGGGGTTCTCGAGGGTGTATGGAGAAGATGCAGCTGGAGGTGAGGGATGCCGTGAGGAGGGAATGAGGTAGGAGATGTCAGCCGCTGATCTTGAAGATTTGAGAGAACGAAGGGGAGGCGACCAAATTGAATGAATGCACGGTGAAAGTGGAGAGACCCACCTTGACTGATCGGATTGGGTGCGTCAAGGCTCGACCTCGAGTGGGCGTGGCGCTGTCGAACGATTGCAAAGGCACGGCTTTGCCGGCACAAGAGGTTGTTGGCAAGGAGCGAGTGGGAGTGCGTGTGAGTGTGGGAAAGAATGGGAGCGCCGATGTGACCAGGGCGAGGAAGGATTGATTGTGTTGGATTCGAGTCGTGCGCGAGTCGTGCGCAAATCGGTGAAATGCAACAGTCAACTTCTTGCGCTGTGGCGCCGCCAACTTTGCAGGATGAGAGAGTGGAGTAGTGATTAGCGCTGCAGCACACAGGCTGGCGCTTGGGGCTTCTGCTGCTGCGCTTTCAGGAGCCCAAAAAATTAGACTCGACGCGCGCGAGAGTAAAGTGTGTGCTATGACGGCGTAACATCAACACATTTTTTCGAAGCTCGCTCGCACGGTTCCACGCAGCGAGCAGCCCGCTTCGCCTAGACCCTTCGGCAGGGGGTTGAGACTCCACATGCAACACCACCTGCGAGCAGCACACGCCTTTTATCATCATCATCATCAAGATCCTTCTGCATCTCATCCGAACCTGACTCCGTCCGCACCACAACTTTAGGGTCATGCGGTAAGCGCTGCCCGCCTCACATCGGCCTGCGCTTCCGAGCCCGTGACCAACCACAATGCTGCCACAAACGCCTCCTGCGGCCTTTGCGAGGCCAAGCCAGGTCATCCTAGGCTCCGTAGCACACCATGAGGCACCCTCTCCATCTGCAGCGCAGAAGCTCGAGCGCACAGCCTCACTGCCTCGAGATCACATTGCCATCCTTGCAGGTCGACAAGCGCGCGACAGCCTTACTGCGCAGGCTAGCTTCGATCAAGTCTGCATCCTCTCCAGGGACCAGCGCTTTGACCAGGCCCTTCCCTTCTGGGATGCCTTTTCCGGATCACAGGACTTCGATCGATGCATCAGCTGCATTGCCATCGGACTCTCCGCAGACCAAGACCACATCCTGCTCGCCGCTGCCATGGACCACCGCATCGCAGTGTGGTACGCACCGGCAACCGCTTCGTCATCTTCGCGCAGGTGGAAGGTACACTCCACCCTCACAGTCCAGGAAGGCGTCGTCACTACGCTTGATATTGTCAACGGCCAGCTTTTGTCAGGCTCGACGTCCAGCCTGGTGCTGTGGCGACTCGACTCGTCCGACATTCCCATCTGGAGACGCTTCTGGACTCGCTCCGTCCCTGCACCAATCGCTCTTGCAAGATTCTCCCCCGATGCTACCAGCATCGCTGCCATCGCCAAAGGCGGTCAGAACATCCTCATCTGGCAGCATCAGCCACGCTCAACAAGGCCTCCAGTCCTTCAGCAGCGCCTTTATCATGCGCGCTCTGTCAACACCTTCGTCTGGAGGCAGCCGCCAGAACCAAACAGTCAGACCGATGTGCTCATATCCTACGCCTCTGACGGCGTGGCTCGTATCTGGGCACCCGTCATCGACGAGCCAACCCAGCTCCGACTATGGTGCAGCGTCGAAGGCTCGACCAATGCCGCGGCTGCGAATCACGACAGTCAAGACGGTTTCGAGAGCTTCTACTTGGATCCGTACATCCTGTCAGCCGCACTGCGACTCAACCTCAGCATCCTGCAGCGTGAGATGCAGATGATCGACCTCGGCCTTGGCAGCTCGGCTCAGCTCGACGCTCACAAAGCAGAGATGGACATGGACCTCAGAAGAACTCGTATCCATCGCCTCGAGCAGCTAGCTAGCGAGACTCCGGATATGCTGGTATCATTCGACGCCGACGGCTTCATGACCCTGACAGCTGTAGCCAACATCGATCGACGACCGCCCACTCTCCTGCAGGCCTTTACCGTCCTGCGCATCCCCTCTGCACTTCCAGCAAATCTCGGCACAGTCTGCATGGCCAAATTGCTTCCTCTCCACGTGGCTCCGGATTCAGCCAGCGACGCTCCCATGTTGACTTTGCATCTCCAATTCAAGGGCGGACAATCGCTCACCTATGCCATCAATCCAGCAACGTTCTTCGATGGTCGAGGATCGGGCATCACTCTCGACACTTGCCATCCCTGTGCGCCGCCAGCCTCGCTCAACGCCTCTCCCAACCAGAGGCGCACGCATGCCAGCCGCATCGAGAGGCTTACAAGATCAGCGGATGGCAATCATCTCGTCAGCTCGTCTAGGGCTAAATCCATCAGTTGGAACCTGGATGCATCGACATCTCAGCTTCAATTCAATGACACGGTCCAAGATGCAGCGAAGGTGGCGTCCTCATCCGATGCCTTGCTCACAGCTTACCTCCTCGCGAACGGATCTGGAAAGGTCCGAAGCGCAACAGACGGCGCCGAGGTCCAATTCGCGTGCCAGCCAGACGTACAATTGCTAGTCCTGGGCTCCCTCGATGGGGATGACATTCTGATCGCGACGTCTGATATCGGCGTTATACATTCTTGGAAGATTGAATCGTCTCGAGACTTGCGTCTTGGACCGAAGCACGAGTCTCGCTTATTTGGAGAAGACGCACCGACTCGGCGTCTTGCTGTCGTACAATCAGCAGCGGATTCGTCCAGCCAGCAAACCAACTTGGCTCTTGTCTCGAGCGATACGTCGGGTCTCATCGAGGTCCGGACGGCTCAGGCGGACACCACCACCGGGCTTCGTTGGGTCGTCAAGGCGTCCTTCTCCCAAGCATCTCTTCCTCCGAAACTCATCAGCTGCAGCTCAGACGGACTCATTGCGCTGCTCTACTGCGATGACCAAGAAGTCCAAACGCTCGTCATTCTCAATCCCAAGACCGCATCGTTCAACTCTGGCCAGGAGTACCGCCATTGCTTTGAATCGGCGGAGAGGATCATCGCGTTGGACTGGTCGCCATCGACGAGATCCACCGGTGCGCTCGCAGTGGTCTTCGAACACCACGTCCGTGTCCTCTGCCCAGGCCGAATTTCCATGTTCGACGAGCTCGACGAGGGCATGCGAACATCATGGCACGAGCTTGTTCGGTTGGACCTGCGCAGCTGCACGCCAAGCTCAATTCGCGCAGCTTGCTGGCTCAATTCGGAACAACTCGTTGTCGCTTCTGGCTCGGTGCTCTACGTCAACGGGCCTTGGATCAACTCGAGCATACAGGAGACGGCCAAGCAAGAGACGAAGCACCTTGCCGAGCTTTTAGCAGAGGTTGGCGGACCCGTCGTCCAGTACCACCCCGCCTTCCTGCTCCAGTGTGCACAGTGGGGCAAGATGTCTGTTGCCAAGGCCATTATCGGCAACCTTGAGAAGGCCGCTTTAGCGTGCAACAAAGACGAAGTCGCCGAGACCTGGGGCTACGAGGAAATTCCGATCCACCAGGTGCTGCAAAATGATGCCTCAGGAGCTGCAAGCAAGGCCGCGGTGGCGGACAAACACGTAGATCGACAAACTCACGTCTTTGACGACGATAACGACTTTGACGCTCAAGCCGACGAAGATCCGTTCGCGGCTGCACGCATCGAAAAGCTGGTGCAGGTACTCCAGAACATCCGCCCACCTCATCTGACTCCGGCCGATCTCGACGCGCTCGTGAGCATCGTCAAGACGATCGGCGAGACGGTCCGAGAGCACAGGACTCTGGACGCATCGGGCGTTCGATACTTCATCGCCTTGCGGCACATGACCAACGGCCGAGCAACCCCCAAGCCCGATGGTACGGCCTCACAGACCGGTCTTGGATACCGCGACTTCTCTTGGGCGCTGCACAGCGAGAATCAAGAGACGCTGCTGGCTTGCGTGGAGCAAGCGTATGGCAACAAGCTGGATTGGTCTGCCGCGCGGGCGACGGGCATCTTTGCATGGCTCAAGAATTCGCAGCTTGTGCGCACCCAAGCGGAAGCGGTGGCGCGCGCGCAGTTCATGTCGAGCGAGGACCGCGATCCAGTCAAGTGCTCGCTGCTCTACTACGCGCTTGGCAAGCACAAGGTGGTTCAGGGCCTGTGGCGGCAAGCGGTGTGGCATCCGGAGCAAAAGAAGATGCTCACTTTCCTCGCAAAGGACTTTGACGAAGAACGATGGCGCACTGCGGCGCAGAAGAACGCCTTTGCGCTGCTCAGTCAGAGGAGGTACGAATTTGCCGCGTCTTTCTTCATGCTGGGCGACAGCTTGAGGGATGCGGTGAATGTGTGCGTGCGAAATATGGACGATCTGGCCTTGGCGATCGCGCTGGCCAGGATCAAGGAAGGAGGAGACGAGGGGCCGGTCTTCAGGGAGCTGCTGCAGACGAGGGTGTTGCCATTGGCATTCGAGCGCGGTGATCGCTGGATGGGTAGTTGGGCGTTCTGGATGCTCAAGCGGCGCGATCTGGCGGTGCGAATCATCGTGACGCCGTTGCGGGATTTGCTCGCCGATCCGGGCGTTGCGAGCCTAGTCAAGGCCGGTACGACGTGTGGGGACGACAACCACAACGACCCTGCGCTGGCACTGCTGTTTGCGCAGCTGCGCTCCAAGTCGCTGCAGACCATCAAGGGGCTGTACGACATTCCGGAGAAGAAGATCTTCGACTTTGTGCTCACCACCAACACGGCGCTGTGTCGTATGGGGTGTCATTCGCTGGGGCTGAGTCTGCTGCGCAACTGGCAGTTCGAACCGCCGAGCGTTACGAGTGCCTCGACGCTCTTCCACCGCGTCTCGAAGCACGATCTGCATACGCTGTCGCGAGTGGATGAGGCCATGCTCGAAAGCACCGATGCCGCGCCGGGGCAGGCCGAAAACTCGACACTGCACAGACGCACTTCGCAGACCACAATGTCTCCTCCAAGCAGTCCAAGGATGGCAAGGCGACGCAGCAGCTTACTACAGCGCAGATCGAGCATCATCAACGATCTGGACATTGCCAGTGTGCAATCGGCGCAGACCGACACGGCGGGCAAACTTGGCAACGGCCTCGGGGTGGTCAATGGCGACCAACCGCGGAGCGAAGAGCCGGTGGATACAAACACCGCCCGCGAACCAACGAGCGATGCTGCAGCGAATAAGGACAAGCCCAAGAAGCAGGGCATCAGCATCTTCAAGAGCGCTGCGGCGAGCAACAGTCAACAGGGAGCTCAGGAGTTTGACTTTGGCAGTTTCGGCTTCTAGCCCTCTCGCAATAGATCCTCGTGACAGCATGAGCACATTCTGCCGGTCAGTGTGTGGAAAGTTGAAGGCGTCGTATTTTGCGCACGCAACAGTCGGACGATACAGCGTAATTTCCGGAACGAGGGCGACAGAGGCTACAGAGCGAGCATGTTGTTCGAGGCGGACAAGAGATGCCGCCCGACGGCTACGAGGGCATGGGAGTCTGTGGGCGAAGAGATTTAGTTGGCTGAATGAAAGGAGAGCAAAAAGCAAATGCAGATGAGGGAGTTAGAATGCGTCGGGTTGAACGAAGCGCAACGAAGCCTGGTTGGTGGATGCTTACCTTCGGGCGACTTGGCAATGTAGTCGATGGCTTGTTGCACGGTGGTGATGTTGTCGGCCTCCTCGTCGGGGATCTCCTGTGGAAGCGGGGCGAAGGGGATGTGAAAGTTTGGTAAGCAGAGTGGTGGGCAAGAGCGATAGAGCGGGGGAGAAATACGCACGATCGAGAACTCTTCCTCGATGGCCATGACGACCTCAACGGCGTCGAGCGAATCCAAGCCGAGGTCAGTGGTGAACGAGGCAGTGGTCGCGACCTGTCAAGTTTGCACAATATTGCCAAAGCAGATTGGAGGATGTCAGTACACTCTGCACGCTTTCCATTATGCAGCCTGCGAAAGCGGCGATCCAGATCCACACGCCTGTCGCGAATGTCGCAACGAGAGGAGTGCAGCTGGCGCGTGCGCGGCAAGACTGCAACAGCGGCGGAAAGGGGCGGGTACGCACCTTGCTGGGGTCGACCTTCTCGAAGGTCTTGAGCACGTCGACGATGCGCGACTCGATGTCGGACTTGGAGAGGCCAGCCGACGCAGCGTAGAAGCGCACGGGGGTGAAGCGCGGGGCGACGGCAGCAGCGCGGGCGACAGGCGCAGCACGGGCGAGGGCCAGAGGAGCGCGGGCGCGCACGAGCGAGGCAGCAGCAGTTCGGAGGGCGGCGACCATTGTGACTATGTGGTGAGATGCTTCGAGACGAAGGTGAGTAGAAGGTGTGCGGGTGTGGTGATGGTGGTGGAGGGGATCGCGATCCGAACGGCGATGGCGACGAGTCCAAAAATTGGCATCGCCCAAGCAATGTTCCAAAGCGCGCTCGAAAGCCAACTGGAAGAGGCTCGCAGCAGCTGCCGATCCGACAACGTCAGAACTGCACCTCTCGATCGGGCAGTGTCCCGATTCGGAAAGGGCAGGCCGCCTCCGACCTACAGTAAGCTGATCGACCAGTTCTGACGGCCATTTCTAAGCATACCGAAAAAGACCGGAAAATTGTGGAGAGGAGGAGGCTGCACAAGATCAGGTCAGGAAGAGGCGATTTCGAGGCAGAGCTTCCCGTTGATGCCCGCCAGGCAGGGGTTGCACTCACTCGACCGAGAAGCGTACGCCGCCCTCATTTTGGCTTTTGAGAAGATCAGCTGCAAAGCACAGTTGCCGGGCGGAAGAATTTATCGTCTGGGCATCAACACCACCACATCTCCTCACCACTGCCGGGCTTGTTCATATCCATCACCGCTTCAGCTCGCGTACGAATCGAGCTAGAGATACGGCAAGATGAAGGGCCTCGCATTCCGAAAGCTGTCGAGGACATCGTCGCACCGCAACCACCTGCTCCGAAACCTCGTTTCGTCGCTCATCCAGCATGAACGCATCTCGACAACAGTAGCCAAGGCCAAGGAGGCTGCGCGCGAGGCGGAGAAGATCATCACTCTTGGAAAGCGCGGCTCGGTTCAGGCCGGCTACGGCACGCGCGGCTACCTCTACTCGCAGCAGGAGACGCTGCCCAAGCTGCAGGAGCTTGCACAGCGCTATGCCAACCGCCCCGGCGGCTACACACGCATCCATCTGCACGGCAACAGGAAGGGCGACCATGCGCCACGTGCCATCCTCGAGCTTGTCGACAACCCATTTGACCTGCGCATGCAGATGACCGCACGCACCCTCGCCAAGGAGGTGTACGACCACATCACCAAGCGCGGCGGCGGCGACATCTTGACGGGCAGGCAGTTCGACCTCGCCACCATCGAGCAGGACGAGCGCTTCAACCACTTCACCCGCAAAAACATCACCAAGGTCGTCCAGTACGGCGGCATGGAGGCGAGGGAAAAGCTCGTCACAATGGCGCAGGAGCACCTCTTGAGGCTCAAGGCGACAGTTGCCGTCGAGGGACCCAGGCGCATTGATGAGGACAGGCTCAAGGTGCTCGGAGAGAACAAGTCGCGCGGAAGGCTGCTCACAAAGCCCATGGCAGGCTCCAGGCCACTGGCGGGCCAGGTGGGCGAGGGTCAGCCAGCACCTCTGCCAGGCAAGCAGCGCAACTCGGTCATCCGCATCGGAAAGGGTGCTTTCGCAAAGCGCCTCAACTACCGCAAGCCCGTCATCCCCACATCGTCCTCCTCACGATCTCGAAGCGCGCGCGCATAACGTACGCTGAAGCTGTCAGTCGACCATACTCGAGCCCTTTACAGCATCCGCTCGAGCATCTGTTCCCATGATCACATCGTCCCTTGTAAACTAGCCTCTTCCACTCCCACAATACATCCGGTTTCGTGACCTGATTCGCGCGCTCTCAACCTCTGTGACCGCCCGATGCTTTTAGAGAGAGAGCTCGCCCTGTCTTGTGAAGCTCTGGGACCGACAGTACCGAAAGTGCTGTGGTTGGCACCATGGCAAGCGGAACAGGCTCCGGGATCCGTCACACCGGCGCCTACTTTCAGATTTTGAGCTCACGCCGGAAGACTTGGTTGGCGGAGGCACACGTTATTTTTGGTCGGAAAATCCACTTGTTCGGCTTGGAGCACGCGACCAACAAATCTTCTCGGAACCCTTTCGTTAGCTCATCCTCATCCTCATCCGACTCGACCGCCGTCCTCGCCGGCTTCCACCATCCTCTAGCCGCCTGCGCTACAATCTCTCAGCCAACCGACAGCGCTTGATAGGATCGTACCATCTCAGTGTTCCGCCGACAAGCTGGTTCGATGCTGCCCACCACAACACAGTCCGCATGATCTAGACACCGGATCCGCGGCTGCGTGAACTGGAATGCTCGGCGGCCCGCACCTGGCCGCAAGGGCGGGCGAGCGCGCACTGGCTGCTCGATCCAAGGCGCTGGTGCGCGCCGATGCGCTTGTGCCCGCCTTCTTGTGCCCCGCGATCGAGAGCAAGCCGTCGAGGTGCGTGGCACACCCAACTCCAGGCCCGTCGTCGAGCTCTCAGATTCCGGCTTCAAGCCGAGGCTTGCACGACTTTCCGTTCAAGCAGAGCTCGCTAGCTGCTAGAAGCTTGCCAGTGAAGAAGCCTACTTCAGCTTCCGGCAATGCCTCTCAGGCTGCGGTCGCCCCTCGCGAATGGCAGGCCGACCACATCACAGCTGGCCACGATGCCGGAACAGGCCGATCAGAGCCTCGACGCACACCGCAGAGCAATGCTGTCGGCGACGTTTCCTCAGCACGTACGGACCGCAAAAGTCTGGCGGCACATACCGACAAATCACCCGACTGGACTCGCAAATACCGCAGCAACCGGTGGCGTAGAGAGATGGACTTCAACCGGTATAGCCCACCAATAAGACGACGAAACCTGCCTGAAGACGCACCCGCGCTGTACGAAGACGAGATCAAAGCATCCTCGGCCTGGCTTCCCGAGACGCAATGGAGCTTGGCTCTGCCCGACGACTACCCGCTTCGGCACGAGCTCATGCTCATCCTCGACAGCCTCGATTACATTTCCAAAAACATCTCCGACCCGGACTGCGCCAACATGCTTGCCGAAGCACTGCAACAGGCGCGCGAGCTGATCTGGTCAAAGTCTGACCTGGCTTTGCAGCGACCGGAGGATGTCCATGTGGCGCTGTATCTCGCAGGCAAACTGGCCGAGACCTACGTGAAGCTCGATGCGGATGATTCGCTGGATCAGCTCATCTCGTTTCTCGGATATGTGCACAAGCACATTGGCCCGCTGCCGCTCGCGTGCTTCCATGCACTTGCCGCACGTGCGGGTATAATGCGACGGTACGCGGCCGTGCTCAAGATCTGCCAGGTGGCCGAGGACCACAACGCCGGCCAGCCCGATGCCGAATTGTTGCATCTTCGTCTGCGCGCACTCATCGCTAAATCCACCCCCGCCAGAGTCGCGCGCTACTGGAAGTCATTCGAGCTCGCTGGCGTCACGGTGCCGCGCAAGACATTCGACTTGCTGCTGCGCACGCATGTGCGGCAGCAGAACGTGGCCCAGGTCAACGAGGTGCTCGAGGCCATGCCCCGCCACGGCTACGAGGTCGATGCTCGTGCGTGGCTCACCATCCTGCGCGGCTACCAGACATTCCGACCCACGCTGGCCGCCATGCTCAGGAGAGACGCCAAGATCGTCCAGAGCCCGACGCTGGACGTGGTGAACCGGCTGTTGATGCTGCTCAGCGAGGAGTTGGACGTCGATGGCGCACTGCTCGTTCTGCGCTTGTTCCGCATCCCGTCGGTCGACAAGCTCGAGGCCGACGCCGCAGCTTCCGAGGCCGATGACGACGTCATGATCATTCACGGACCCACGCCAAAGCCGAGTGCGGAGACGTACACCATCTTGACGGGCATGCTCGGACGACTCGGACGCGACGCCGAGGCCCTCGCCTTCTTCCGGCTAGCTTTGGCCGCCGGGTCTGGCCCAGAGATGGACCCAAAGCGCCACTGGACGCTGCAGAAGGCTTCGGCCCACGTGATGAAGGCGCTGTTAAATGCCGGGCATCCCAGACGCGCCATGCGCTTCGCCACGGACGTGCTAGGCTTGCCCTACTTCGGCGTGGCTCCCAACAGACAGGCGCCGGCGGTGGAGTTTGAAATGCCAGAGTCGGAGCTGGTCACGATCGCTGCTAGTTCGATGCACTATCGTGTGCTACTCGAGTGCACGGCGGCGGTGGGCTCTGTCGATGCTGCACGCAGGGTGCTTGTGCATCTGCTCAAGCAAGGGCGTCGAGTCGATCGACAGGTGCTGCAGGGCGTGGCGAGAGTTATCTTCACGAGCATTGATGCCGATGCGCTCGAGTCAATCCGCGTGGTGCGCAGTCTGCTCTCGCGCCAGGACAAGGTGCAGAACGAATCTCGCCAGCAGCGCAAGCAGACACTCTTGACCGCATTGCAGGATCTCGGCGTGTCGGACCGCATCATTCTGGCATCCCAGCACTCGACCGATCTGCCTCGAGAGCAGGCAGGCTCTGCTAGCAAGTCGCAGGCAGCGAAAAGCTCGCGCCGTCCGGATCTCAGCAAAGGCAGCAAGGCAACAAAGGACGAGTTGCGCGACTGGCTCATAGCCGACTCGTCGTCGCTGCTGCGCGATACAGTGTCGACAGCCGAACCCGGCGGACACGCCGATGCGCTCGAGCGTGACCTCAGCCGGCCGCTTTGTCCCGAGGCGTATGCGATGCGTATCCGGGTGTACGCTGTGGTGCGCCGCGACCACGATTCTGCCCAAAAGGTGTACCAAGCCATGCTGATGCATGGTGTGAAGCCCAACATGATGCACATTGCACCGCTGGTCGAAGGCCTTACCGCAAGCGGCAAGCTGCAGGAGGCCCAGCAGCTCAAGCAGAACGCGAGAGAGATCATTGGGTGCCAGCCCACTCTGCGCATCCACACTGCCCTCATTCAAGGATACGTGCGCGCGGGCGATTCGCAAGGTGCGCGCAACGAGCTGCAGGAGCTGGTTGCGAATGGGCATCAGATCGATGACACCATCGCCAACATCATCGAGGCCGCCCAGGCTGCCGAGGGCAAGTTTACGCTCGCCGAGCGGCCGATGAACGAGCCCAAGACGCACAATGTGACGACGAGGTTTCACACGCTGATGCGCATGCGCCGGTACCTGGCTGCGCAGGAGGTGGTGCAGTCGGCACTGGACACCGGGATGCGACCCGACAAGGTGCTGCACGATGCGGTTCGCCGGTCGGTGGGCTATCTGCAAAAGCAGATTGACCAGGCCCAGACGCTGGGTGGAGATAAGGCCGAGGCTTCGCAGGCGGCAGCGAGTGGCAAGGCCGACGGAAGGGCGATGAAACCGCCACCGCTGGCGTCGGATGAAGAGAGGCGGGCACACATCCATGAACTCACGCGGGCGGCCCGGCTGGCGAGCGACAATAAGGAACGTATCACGAGCAACATGCGAAGGCGCTCCAACGCACTGCGCAAGGCGACCAAGGATCACCGCAAAAAGGTGATCCAGCTCATCCTCGATTTCGCCGATGGCAAGCTGCACCAGCAGGCCGGCGTTGCCGGAAATGCCGCGGCCGAAACACGCCCATACGACGACTAGCTCGGGCGGCACTCGACTTCATATCGGCATCCGTCGATGAACAATGGATACCGTGATGGTGTGATGTGATTGCGCGAGATTGGCCTGAGTGGGCGAATGGTCGGACGAACCGTCGGATTGGTTCCTGCATGGCCTGAGCGAGGAAGCTGGTCTCTGCATCCACGGGCATGCTGCACGATCGGGCATACGGGAGAGCACCCTATCTATGCTCGGCAGCCGAGGATGAGCTTGAGACTCTGAGCAAGCGAGGTGGGTTGAACATGGCAGTTGCAAAGGCGATCCATGCAATTGGTGAGGCGACATGAGATGTGGGCTTGGCGCACGGGCGTTGGATGCGTGCACGATAAGGATCCCGTTGGTGATGCTGCAGGCAACGGCTTGATCCACCGCATTGGAACCCGACACGCCGTTCAGCCCAGAGTCGCATAAGTAGCCCGGCTATCAGAGTGGCGGATGGAGGCCACACCAAGCCTCCCTATTTCGCATCCCGAACGTCACTTTTACTCTTGCGAACATGAAGCTCAACACAGCGATCACGGCGATGTATCTGACCCTGACGGGTATCACGTCGGCGGCACCTCTGATGCGCAACGTTGAAGCGGCGGAGGTGTCGCTACCGGAGACTATGCGGTCGTTCGATAGCCACTGGAGCGAGCTGGACGACAAGGTGCAAGAAGCCTCGCAGAAGAAGGCACTTTTCGGCACACGCGAAAAGTGGATCACCGGCGTTGGTGCAGGCCTGACTTTGGCGGGTACAGGTGGCTACATTGCCAGCTCGGTCATACCGATGCAGCTCGCGCACCGTCAAGATGCAGCGAGGGAAAAGCTCCAGGCGGCTGTCGCGCGAGCTGACGCCGCCAAGCAAGCCGAGCAGCTGCGGAGCGCTGCGCATGTGGTCAAACGCGAGTTTGTCGACGCCGCCAAGGAAGCCCAAGGCGCGCTGGAACATGTGGGCGACAACGAGAGCTTTGCGAGTGCGCTCAGCCGATCGCCAAGCGAGCGCCTTTCAGAACTCGACGAGATTCATCCCGTCAAAGTCAAAGAAGATGGCATGCATCGCACACTTGACGCCCAGAGGCCCCCACCCCTCTACGTCTTTGATGCGAAGGGAGATCTGGCGAGCACAGGATACAGGCACGAGCTGTATCGAGGAATGCCTTCGTCGGCCGGATCCGATCCTTCGGAGCGGCTGGCGGCGGTGGAAGCGGCTGTTCTCAGCCTCAAACAGCATCACTACGAAGGCCAGAAGCTGTCACCCTCGACCAAAGCTTTGCTAGGAGTAGGCCTGGTCGGCGCGGTTGGCGGTCTCGCATCGGCCGAGCTGGCGGTTCAGAGTTCGGTCGAGGGCGTCAGGCGGGCTAACGACAGGCTTCCGGACGTGACCAATCTGGACCCTGGGACGTGCGCGCATTTCGCCACGGAGCTCCCCTCGCTCGACTGCTCGAAAGCGCACGGTCGCAAGCTCCGCTGAGCAGCAAGTCCGATCGGAACGAAGCCAAGGCGAGATGGATCCACACGACGAAAGACAACGAACCTTCTGACAACGAGCAACAGATAGGGACGACAGCCAAGTGTAGGCAAATGACAGTTGACAGACGCGCGCGCGGGCCGCAGCTGCCTTCCGCTGCAGCACTTACAAGCACTACTTGCAAGGTCGAGACCGGCGGCGATCCGGCGAGGGTCGAGCCAACCCAGCGCGGAAAAGCGCGTCGGAGCTCAAGCCGCCAGCGCGGAAATGCCGACCCGACCAGAGCACTTGCGATGGCCTGCATGCGTGCACCTCGGCATGGCCCGACGAGATACTATAAGCCTCACGATCTGTATGTTCTCATTGCCCTCACGTACAGCGACGCACGTCATTCTACTCATCCGAACGTGTGCGTGCCAGCAAAGTGAGCGGTGGGCGGTGAACGTGTCGACAGAAGGAAGAAGGCGAAGCGTGCGGTCAGGGTTGCATGGCCTTTGTTTGTGGATTTGTTTGTTGGCGGTGTGGCCAGGCGCGTGGTCGAGGCTGGCACCGCGAGGCCGCCGAGGCGATCTCAGGCGAGTCGAGGCAAAGGCGAATCGAGGCAAAAAAAGGCGGTCACATGCATGCACGTCCACATCTCTCGCGCTTCCAGAGAGGGGACTCGCTGGGCTAGCCGAGACCATCACGTCCTTTTTTCATTTGTTTCGCAACAAAGAAAAACACGCTCATACACGTCGACGGCGGCGAGCCGAGAACAACACCTTTGAAAGCCGGAATCGCTGCACCTCCGAAGCGTGTGATTACACAGAGGGAGCACGGCTCAACCCGAACCGCTAAGTTAGTCGGTCGTCGCGGTCGGCTGTGATACAGCAACGCAAGCAATTGCAACTGAATGCGCCGCATCACCCACGCAGTCGCATCCACCCACCATCCCTGCCTCGATCCGGATTGTGGTGGCGCATACTTGCTTCTACCATCCCACCTGCAGTGCTGCTGGCCAACACCGCACACATCAGCTTCGCACCGCTTCACTGGAGCGTCACCGTCTACACCACCAGCATGCTCTAGTACAGGCCCCATCCGGCTCACTCACCTTCTCCAGTGCATACACTGCGCTCCTCTCAGCCATGTCGGCCACACCCTTCGATCTGCGCATGCCTCGCCTCGAAGGCCATCTTATCCTCAACACCGCCATTCTCTCCGACAGTCCGCAGACCAGCGACCGCACCGCCTGGTCCGAAAAGTGGTGCAGCCTCGAAGATGGCTGTCTGCTCGTCTACCACGATCGCACCGCCGCCATCGTGATGCCCGACGAGCCCATCTGCACCATCGACCTTCGCTCCTTTGCCTATGTTCAGCCAGCACCGCCGCATACAGACGCGCTCTACAACCTCGTCATCAGCTGCACTCCGCTCGAGCCTCCCAAGAGCTCCCGGCTCTTCCGCCCAAAGTCAGCCATGAGCCTCAACCGGCTCCAGTCCGACAGCGTACCGCGTGACCCTACCGATCAGGAGCCTCGTCCCTCCCTCGCTTCGTCCTCGGGGCGCGTAAGCTTTCAGGCACTCAAGTCCGGCACACATACCCCTGTTGTCCTGTCGACCAACTTTGAGCCTCGCACCAGAACCTCTTCCTCCCACTCGAATTCGTGGGCAAAGCTCAGATCGGGATCGCGCAAACTCTACGCCAAAGTCTCTTCGTCATCGAGCTCTACCTTTCGCACCGATAGTCCTGCCGCCTTGGCATCCTCGGCCTCGAGTGTCGCCTCCGTCGCTGACTGGAGCGACATGACCGACGTGTCTTCGAGCGGCGCCCCATCGCCGCGCACTCCGATCTTGTCCAACTTTGGACATAGCTTCGAGCGCGTCTACCTTCGCACGATGTCAGAGGAGGGCTTGGACAGTTGGCTTGAGGCTTTGTCGCGTTCAATCAGCCTGCTCCAGGAAGTCGAAGGCATGCCTGCCCACTTGCTCCTGCCCAAAAAACGCGTGTCGTCGCGACCGTCCCTCGGCAACCTGCCGGGCTTCCGCACACCCGCAAGCTTGTCCAACAGCCCATTGCTGCCAAGCATGGAGCAGGGCGTGGGGACCGCGATCGACGACACAACACCAAAAGCGACGCGCAAGCGGGTGGCGTCGTCTTCCAGCCTCGGCTTGGCCTTGGCCAGCTCCCGAGCACTGCAGCAAGCCGCCTCAGGTCGTCCCAAGGACGTACATACCGCATCGACTCAGCCAAGCCGGACTGCCGAATCCACAGGTGCGGGCAACGTGCTCCCGATGGGTCCACCCGATACCATGCAGCTGCGCTCGGATCGCAAGCACAAGAGATCTATCTCTACCACCTCGTCCTCCTTGTCTTTCTCGGGATCAAGCCCATTCGTGAGCACACGCCGCAACAGCATCTCGAGCACTCGGCTGCTTTCTTCCAGCGTCTCGGTCGCCCGTCCTGCTACGGCTTGTGCTTTTACAACGTCCTTAAGTCAGCCGATGACGGAGGGTAGCGGAGAAGCTACAGAAGCTACTACGAGCGGACTCACAGAGCCCTCTAGTGCCGCCACGATAGCGGCAGATCCCACCGTGCCCACAAGACACCGTCGGTCGGGCTCAATCTTGGCGTTCGGCTCGGCGCGCATCATGGCGTGGCGAGACAACTCTTCCAGTTCTGAAGCCTCAGTCAAGCAAGCCAAAACGGTAGGGCTTGGCCTCGAGATCGGCAGTCAGGATCATGCGCGCGACTCGTCCGAGGCGCGTCGACACGAGCCGTCTAGGGGCCTCAGCAAGCTCAAATCTTTCCGGCTGTTGCCGAAGGGCACATCCTCTGTTCAAGAAACAGGCCGTATGCCTTCATCTGCGAGCGAATATGGCAGCTTCCAGGATCGGGGTTCTGGGCATGGGAATTCGGCACATGATGCCTCGGCTAGAAAGTCGAGGGGAATGACACGCACAGCTTCATTGCTGAGCCTCACTCGGCATACGATCAGCTCGCTGCGTCCAAGGGCGCGGCCGAGCGTCAAACAGGCTTTTGCATCGATGCAGGCGGACGATTCGGCGCACGAGATGCACGCGGATACTTCGATACGCGTAGAGCCGGCCGAGGGCGACTTTAGCTACGAGCTCATCGCGCCTGCACTGGCCGACAGCAGTGCTGACTCGGCGAGTCCCGCGCCTCAACCTCACTGCGCTGTAGTCTCAAGTCCAAGGACCACTAGTCGTGCCGACGCGAGACCGTTGCTGGCTCGTGAAGTGTGCGTCGCCATTCCAGCTGAACAGGCGGGTGACAACTCCGAGATCGGGTTCCAGAGCATGGACGGAGATACGAGCGAATGCCTGGCGACGCCTCCGTTGCCGGTGGAGCGCATTCTGCCGCCAGAGCAGATGATCCAGGCATTTGACCAGCTGCGCGCCGAGGATGCCGCGCGCAGCAGCCGCAGCAGCAGCAGCGACTGGCTGGGACGCATGGAGACGCCGATGCGGCGCGGGAGTGTTGACTGGGCCGCTGCGTGTGCGGGGCGGGAGCGGACGCTGCGAGGCGCGGCATCGCAGACGTTTGCGGTGCGCGGCAGCTCGATGGATCTGCAGGCGCTGTCGCGAGTAGGGGCGACGGGGCCGAGATTGCGCACTTCGACGTCGGCGTGGGATCTGGCGGCGGTGAAGGGTGGTCGTGCGGAGGCGTCGCCGGTTGCAAGGGCCGAGTCGCTCGAGGAGGTGCAGGACGAGAATGTGCGCTCGCTGCCTGCACCGCCGCGTGCGTCCAAGCGGCGGGCGCTTGTCAGCACAGGCGCGGCGGCGTCGCCAAGGCCAAGACCGGCGCCGTTGGGTGATCGGACCAACGCGCTGCAGGTGGCGGGACTGCCGGATGTAGGTGGGCTTTGTATCGACGATCGACGGCCGGCAGCACGGGGCAGGCGCACGCAAGGTGCGGTCACTGCGTAGCAAAACCAGCTTAGAGTCAATTTCACACATTCGGCGCACGCGGCAGACACAGGCACAAGAAGGGTGTGTGTGTGAACAGAGTGGTTGCGTGGGCAAATGGCTATGCGAGGATGGCGGGGGATGGGGAGTGAGCGAGCCAGGCCGCGGTGATTGTGGCGGTTGCAGCGGCTACGACGATCCAAGCAGCGATTGGGAGCTGTGTGTTCTTCGTGGCCATATGCACCGCCGTGCTGTTGTGGGTACGTTCGCTGGATTGTCGCATGTTTGCGGGTAGCAAGCTTTCGAAGAGTGCGGTATTGCAATCGAACGCCGTATTTGCTTCGTCCACCACCTCTTGCATCTGTGCCTTTGTGAGCTGTTGGGCGTGCATTGCTTCTCGAAAGCGGTTCTTGAGGAGGGAGGGGTTGTCGAAAGCGTAGAATGCGAATCCAGCGCCGGTGCGGGGTGTGGGGAAGCGTTTGGTGACCTTGCGAACGATGTGCTGGCCTCCGGAAAGGTCGCCTAGATAGCGGGTGTATGCATGTGCGAGGAGCAGATCTGGGTGGATGTGGGTGAGTCGCTCGACGTAGGCGAGTGTGGCGTGCACTTGGGCGGGATGAAGCAGTGCAATGTGCTCCTCGCCCAGCACTGGCGCTGTAGAGTTGGGGGTGAGGGAGAGCGCCTGTGGTGTGGCGGCTTGAACGAGCGCCAGCAAGCGTGCTCGAGCGAGTGGGTTCTCCGTATCTTCCGGGAATGTTGATGAGGATGGGGTGAGGTTGTCGCGCTCGTGTTCGGCAAGATCCGACAGGCTCGCACCTGTGTGAACGTGGATCGTGTCCAGGTGCGCATGGATATCACCCAGCAATACCGCACTACGCGCCAGGCCCGCCATCAAACCCACATCCTCAAACAGCGGCGCAATCAACGATGTCGACTGTGCATCAATCATGGCAGACTCCAAAACCCTACAAACCCCCCAACATTCATCAGTAATCGAACATCAACAACTCGCGCCGGGGTAAGGGAGGAGGCGACTCACGTGTAGATGCAGGCGAGCATAATGTTGAAGCGGGTATAGTCGGTTCTATCGAAGCTGAGCCCTTCGTGTGCTGCGTCCGAGGCGGTGGCGGTGGTTTGGAGTAGCAACGATACGCCGCGCGACTTTTCCACCGCTCGATGGCTGCGTGCTGTCCCCACACGCAATGCCTCGGATAGCGACAGCCCTTGCGCGTTGGTGTCGGATACGGTCGCGTCAAGACCGTGTAGAGCACGCACGTGTGCGGCAGACGCAGGCAGTATTCCCGCGAACTTTGCGAAGGGACAAGTCATGATCGAAAGCAGGCCGATGCTGAAAAGAGCTTGAGGGGATAGTTGCAGGGGACGAGGCGGTCTATATATGGAGATAAGCGCGTGTGCGGAGTCGCGTCGGGTACAGAGCAAAGCGTCACGCAGTCCGCCGCTAGTTGCACCTTGGTCCGGGGGAAAGGGCGAGTGATGTATTGCTGTCAACGTCCGTGGGCGTGCGGGATGGATGATAGGCGGCTTGCCAAGGGTCTCTTTGGCTCCTATGTTGGGTTGGGCTGAGTCTCGGGTGCGGTGCCTGATCGCGGGTCCAAGAGTGCCTGCCTGCAGATGCCGGGGCTGAGATGCAGCACTCCCGACACGCCTCCATGCAAAATTCGATTTCGCCATGCCACACCCAAAAAAAAAAAAAAAAAAGGCGACGGACTCCACCCCTGCATCCGGTCTAGACGCTCCCCTCCCGTGCAGTGCAATTCCTCGCTCCACCATGCCTGATTGTCCCTCAGCTTCATGTAGCTTCATGGAGGGTGGTCGATGAAGCCACGCCAGAGGTGGACGGAAAAGGACAGAATGACCGTGTGACTTGCAGGGAGCGCCGTCTCGTGTCTCGCAGTCTCGGCGCGGCGTCTGAGGGGTCGAAGTGGCTTGAACAGGCGGGCCGCCAAGCAGGCGTGCTTCGGTGGAGCGATAGCGGCTGGACAGCACCAACGCCGCGCGCGATTCACAAGGTTGCGCGCCTCGGCAAAAGCAGGACCGCACCAATCTAATCTGATAAACCGCAACGCGCTAAGCCCCGGCCTGCTGCATGCTTGCCTGTTCGCGCCGAGGCCACCTGTGCACCGCTCGGTTTGGCAACGCCAAGAAACTCGAGTCACGCTCCGCATTGTCTGCACCTCGGACACGCATCATCGGCGCTTAGTCTGCACAAGTGCTGGAGCTAGAGCGGTACGGTATGCATCGGTGGCTTGCCGGTGATCCAATGCTCTCGACGCTTTCCGACCTCTTCCGCGGTGCAATCTGATTAGATTGGCCCTCGATCTTTGCGGTCACACATGCATGCACGCATCACGCCATTCCCAAAGCCACAACTGTATTATGCGTGAGAGGCCGATGAGCGCGCGGCCCAAGGCAAGCCCTCCTCCGAATCGCACATAAAGTGCTCGGCCATCGTCACGCTCACCTCTTTGCGCTTTGCAAACACCTGCAGTGGACGTGAGAAGCCGAGTCCCGTACCGTAGCCGATGGTCTCAACCAGCCTAAGTCCGAGCGAGTCGAGCAGCCACTCGAAATCGCCGTCGGGCCGCAGCTGCAGCGTCCTGATCTTGTGCCGCATCGTCGGATCGAGGCCGTGCGCAGAGTGGTAGCTCCGCCACTCTTGCCGTTCCAGAAACAGGTGTCCGCCAGGCCGCAGGACGCTGCAGATGCGTGCGAGCAGCTTGCAAAGCCCACGGTCGCCTTGTTGGATGTGCACCCACTTGGTCAGCGATAGTGCTAGCACTACGTCGTACCCTGCCGTGTCCACGGTTTGCAGGAGCGACAGTTCGTGTGGGTCGTAACGGAACGGGCTCGGCGCGTCGCGCGAGTGCAAATTCACCCACTCGGCCGCGACAAAGTCAAGCTGGGGAGGGCAAAGGTGGGCACAATGTACGGCATCTCTCTTCGTATCGGCATCTGCTTCGTCTGCGTCATTGATTCTGCGAGGAGCTGGAACTGCGCCGAACAGGAGCGGAAAGACCGAGGGGAAGAATGCCGCGTCGACCGGCAGGTGTGGTTGTGCCGCACTGGGTGGCTGGCTTGACGTCTCTGGCTGTGCGCCTTGGAGCTCTTCGTCGGGTCGGTGAAGCGAGCGAGCTCTTGCCGCAGCCTCTCTCGCTTGGCTGATCAACGTCGGATCGATGTCGACGCCCGTGACGCAGATCGGTCGCAGCTCTCCCGATGGTTCTTGCCGTGCCAACGTCTGCGCCAGAAGAATGGTGAGCTTACCTGTGTTGCATCCTATATCCAATGCATTTGTGACAGACTGCAAGCCTTTAGGCAGGGAGGAGAGATATCTGAGGATGGCGGCCACACGGCTATCCAGAGCCAGCGCAGGATGGACGTCGGCGGTGCTGGCGGAAGCGTCTAGACCGGCGGGATTGCGGATGTGGTAGTAGCGCTGAAAGTTCCCGTGCACTGGTTTGTCCAGAGGCTGTTTCACGGTGAAAGCATGCTGTTCGCTGCTGTCGTGGCGCATGAAGCCGACGACGAGCCTACGTGCAAAGGGTGGTGTTGCGAGTGGTGGTGAGGCAACGGCCGCCGAAGAATCTCTTGATGGACCCTGCATTTCGACCTTTACGATATGTAAGATCGCTGTAACAGACATGGGAAAATCCTCGCCGTGCTCCACGCTGACGACCGCATGCTTTCATCTCCTCGCAGGCTGGTCGGCAGGCAGCTGCTCTACGCGCGCGCGCTTGGAGCGAAAAAGTGGACGCGCGAATTTGAGCGTGCATTCGGCAGAGGCAGACGCCCAGCGGCGGCACAATGACCCGTCACCTGCAGCTGCGCGCGTGCACAGCCCAAAGATCTCGCGCTTTTCACCACGCTTTGATGCCCCAAAGCGCGAGGCGTCCAGAAGGCGCAATTCTGCCGCTGCAGCTCAGCAGAATCAGTGCAGACGACACGTCGCCCTCCTCATCACCACGTCTGCTCAACTCCACCATCTCCCCTCGGCCGTCCATCCCCTCTCGCTTCCGACACGCTTCCATCTCCCAGTTTCCTGCTGCTCCACTGCATCCTACTCTCATTCGTCCGCATCGCTTCACCGTCCATACGCACTGCCCCCACAATCACATTATCGCCCCCGCGTCCAACTTTGCGTCCAACCTTATCCTCACAACGCTTTTATCTTGCTCCCGCACCAAGCTGTCCGCCGCAAGCTTATGCACGTCCGCGCTGGCGCAAAATTCTAACTTGAATCTCCACCACTCTCTCTCTCTCTCTCTCTTTCTCCACACCAACTTTGCTCGCCGCTCGCACCCTCTGCCACTGCATCATCATGTCGGTCGCCTCCGCATTGCCACTCCTCTCGCCGCTCGTCACACGCATCCTCGAACTCTCGGGATTCCCTCCGCACCTCAAGACGCGCGATCTGCAGCATGCCTTCGCCATCTACGAGGACGACAAGGGCGGCTACAAGATCAAGTGGGTCGACGACACCACCGCGCTCATCATCTTTGCCGACCCGGCCACCGCCAAGAAGGCGTACCTGCGCACCATCATGGCGCCGCCGCAGCAGCTCATCAACGACACCGGCGTGCCTGCCAGGATCAAGCCGTACGATGGCGACGATGCCAGCGCCATCATCTCGAGCGTCTCGAATCGACAGCGCTCGCGCTCCAACGCCGGCGGTGTGATGGGCAGCCCCACCAAGCAGCCCGCCGAGCTTCCCATGCCCGCCACGCCCGACCACTCCAAGCCGCTGCGCGGCCATGCACACACGCCGTCGTTCGGCCGCTCGCTCGGCCACCGGCGTCAGCAGAGCGGCTCCAACCCCAACCTTCCGCCCAAGCCCGTAGCTGCGGCGTTGTTCGATGCGGCCAATGGCGGGCCCTCGCCCGCGAACCGCGTGCTGGCAGGCGTCGATACGCTCAGTGGCATCGCGGGCCTGCCTGCCAATCCGGTGGTTGCGGCGCGCTCGTCGCTCGTCGCCGACTCGCCCACCAAGATGTCGCGCACCAACAGCAACGGCGCAGCCAGCACGGGCTCGGACGCGATCGAGTCGGAGCTGGCGAGTCTGTCGCTCGTGAGCACCGCTTCGGCATCGCGCACTGCTACGCCGGATGGGTTGATGGCAGCAGCACCCATCGGCAATGCAGCCAAACGGTTCAGTCCCGCGAGCGCACCAAGTGCGTTGCGTCAGTCGCCACTACCGCGCGGCCAAACAGGTGCAGCACCCCAGTCGACCACAGTGGGATGAGCTCGCGCGCGCGGCGGGGGATAGTGTGGGCCGCATAAATGTCCGGCCCGCACACCGAATCCTACTCGTCCATTCACACTGGTGATCTTGTTACTCATGCACACCTAATCTCACATATACCTTTGGTCGCGCATAACTCTTTGACACTTGATCGTGTGCGATTCTTAGCAAGGAGTGGGGGTTTAGTGGCCGAAGATTTCGCTATCCCAGTCGCCGCGCGATTTCTTACGGGACGAACGGCGGACTTTACGCTCTGGCGGGTGGAGGGAGCTCTGGAAGCCGTCGCCGTCGCCATCGGTGTTGGTGGGGGTGGGTTTGCGTTGGGGGGTGGAGTTGAGGTTGGTGCGTGGATTGGTGAGGCGGGTCTTGGTGGTTGCGGGGGTGTTCCATTTGTTGGCATAGTTGATGCTGATTTGTTTCTGCTGTCTGCGCGTCGGCGTGACCAAGTTGGGCGAGATGAGTCGATACGATGCCATGCCCACATCAACTGGCTTTCCACCAGCGTCCATATCCCCATACAGCTCCGCAAGAATCGCATCCGCATCTTCGTCGTCCACTCCGACGAGTTGAACCTGCTGCTGCGAACGATTCAGCTTGCTCGGCGCCCGAATCGTAAGCTTCTCCATCAAATCCACCTCTTCCGCGCCAGATTGGTACTCGAGAGCCGTGAGAGGGTTGAGCGCTTTGATCACCGACCGAGAACGAGGCGGGTGCGGGAAGAGATCGCCTTGCTTGCTCTTGCGTGCGTCCTGGTAGGCCTGTTTGCCAGCAGCCTTGCTGATCGTAAACCGCTCGATGTTGCCGGAGCTACAGCACGCGTCGAATGTCACATGTCCACCCTTCTTGAGCGGAGGCTTGATCAGCCGTGGCCACGCGTACGACTCGAGCCGCATCGCCAGCTCCTCGCCCGCCGTAGGCATCGTCACGCCAATCATCCCATCCTCCCCCAAAGCCCCTTCGGCCACATTGTCGGCGGCTACAAGGCTCGAGGCGCTGCTCGACGGCAGTGAAGAGCGCACCGAGGCCATGATGGTATCCAGCTGCTCGGGCGTCAGTTGTGCCGTAGAAGGCGAGCCGTTGGGCTGCATCTCGGCCTTGAGCGCGTCGGGGAGCAGCTTGAGCAGCTCGTCCATGGCTTGTTGGTCGCTCATCTCGCCGTCCGCGTCCGCCTTCTCGTGCGCACGCTCCGGCGCAGCGATGGCGGCGCTGGCATCCACTTCTTCAAGCTGCCTGCGCTTGCCAGCATCGAGCTTAGCGCTGCGAATCAGATCGAGGATGCCAGACTTGGTGCTGCTGGCCTCGTCTGCCATTTCGGCCGCGATGCGCTGGACATTCTTTCTGCCCTGCTTTGCCGCCCTCCTCTGCGCCTCGCTCAGCAGGCCCGGTCTTGGTCCACGGCGCACCACGACATACGAGTAGGCCACATTCTCTTCTCCCCTATCCGAGTGTTTGGTGCGCCTGAGGAACGTCGGTGTATGGTAACGCGCAAAGAACCCGCACACGTCGTTCGACTTGAACGGATTGCCCATATCCGCCCTTGCGCCCACCGCGGCGGCGACCGAGCTGCCGATGGCAAACGGATGCAGCAGAGGACACGGCTTGTCGTGCGAGCACGGCGCCACCACATGCACCCCCTGGTCTCCCGCCGCCTGTCGACCGAGCTCGAGCAGCTGTGCGCGCGCCGAGGCCACACTTGCAAATCCGCGCGGCGTGGCCGCATCGATGATGACCATCACCTCGGCGCCCGAGTCCCACAGCGCCTGCACCGCCTCGAAACGGTTTGCATCGTTGGTCATCAGGCTGAGCGCAAACGCAGACAGCGCAAGCGACCGCCCGCCCGCCGCTGCCCCCACAAGGTCCTTGGCAAGAGGCACCGATTGGAACGTCTTGTCCACCGACGCCATCGCCGACGGAGCGCCGGAAAAGTACTCGACCTCAGCCTGCGCATCTTGCTCGTCGATCTCGACCTCATCCGCTTCCGTGGAGTCCTGCTCGTAGTACGTCACGCCATCGACGACGATCTCCTCGCCCTCGTCTTTGAGCTTCACGTCGCGTGCGGCGGGCCTGATGTCCGCGGGGGAGGCATTGGACGCCGAGGACTGCGCCACCTTCTTGCCGCTCTTGAGCAGGTTCGGCCTGCGGTCAAAGCCGTGGTAGTGCTGCAGCGACGTGGGGCTGTGCGGGTCCGCATCGTCCTGGCGAAAGACCTGCGCCGCCGCCCACAGCCCTTCACCCGCGGCACAGTCAAAGTCGAGCACGGTCTGCGGCGTCCATGTGGGCAGGACAGCTTCCAGATCCGCATCCGCCTCCTGCACGGGTCCACGGTGGGACAGACGCTGTCGCACTTCCGAGAAGACGGCGAGGATGGCTGCGTAGCGCTGGGGCGATACGGTGGCGAGGTGGAGGAGCGACGAGCGCTTGGGTGGGATGTGTGCCGCTTCGGCGAGGTGCTCCTGCGGATCGGTGAGGTGCGCAAGCTTGAGGTGATCCACACGCAGCAGCTTGGGATCGTTGGCGGCCGCAATCAGCTGCGAGATCGCCCAGGCGACGTACTCGGGCAGATAGATCGACGAGGTCGAGGTGCCTGCGGGCGCAGCGTAGGCCAGTGCCGCTTCGTCGTCGTCTCCCTCGCTCGTCGAACGCGCGAGCTGGTCGGCGCTGGATTGAAGCGCAGTCGGCGGCGCATAGGCCACGTGTCTGCTGGTGCCGAATCGAGCTGCGCGCGAGCGGCGCGCTTGGGACGAGCTGAGCCGGAGCTGGGCGTTGGAATCTGACGGCTCCGAGAGCAGCTGCTGCGATCGGCCCAGGTTGTTGGCTTGTTGGCGTGCGGCGTACGAGGGTCCTGCGAGCGGTGGACCGCCGGCGGAAAGACGCTCGGATGCAGTGGCAGAGGCTTCAGCCGCCTTGGCCAGCGACTCTGCGCGCGAGGCTCGTGCTGATGGAGTCGTGGAGAGCGCGCGGTGCGAAAGCGAAGGGCGGTTCAGGTGGGCAGCCTGGCCCAGCCTGCGAGTGCGCAGGACAGCCTTCATTCTGCCAATCAGTGATGATGATGGTGGGTGGCAGTGGCGGCTCGTCGAGGTGGAGGGTGCAAGAAGAAGAAAAAAAAAGTTGCCGAAATCCGGGCTTCCGCTGCTGAGCAGCGCCGGATTGGAAATCACAAAAATGTGGCACTTTCGCCGCACTGAGCTTTCGAAGGCGTTGGACCCTGAAACTCCACGTTGTCGTTCGACCACCAGCATCCACTCCCACCTCTGCTTAACGTCTTTTGCACGACCATGAACAAATTCTAGGCCAGATCAGACCAGCGACGATGTGGAGCGCATGGCCGTGGTCCAGAAGAAGCGGCTCGGGCTATCCACAACGCGAGTGCTTCTTCTGCCGCACCACGAGCACCATCCTGCCTCCATACACGCCCGACTCGCCTTTGGACGGGAGCCATCCTAGCCACGTCGATGGACGGAGCTCTCAGCTGGCCACTTCATCGACGACCACCATCTCGACGGGAACGCCGTTCAACTGGTACTGCTCCAGCTGCCACTGCCAGAATGTAGCCACGCAAGATGGAGAGCCGGTGCAGCAGTACACGCGCCCAATGTGGGACGAAGCGTGGAATCGCGACCGCAATCAGCTCCTACGTCACACACGACCGAGAACGCCTTTGACCCCAAAGCGCACCGTGGCATCAACAGCATGCTCGATACAGCCTAGCAGCACGACGAAAGACGGCGACCGCTTCGTGTTCTGCCATACGTGCCAGACCAACCAGGTGCTCACGCTCAACATGCTTGCCGACTACCTGCCCAGCGAGGATGATCCAGGATACGATGCGAAACTTGCGCAGCTGCCAGAGTACGAGGCGTCGATTGCAGCCCGATACCCGCCGGTGTGCGCGCAATGTGCGCCAAGAGTGCAGCAACGCATCTCGGAGCGCGACGGATATGCGCGCAGCTGGAGCCTGGGCAAGTGGCTCGAGCTCAAGAAGACGGCGAGCAGTGCAGATGTTGCAGCTGCATCTCGGCTAGCATCGCCTGCTCGCAGCAGCACTCCGTTGCGAGCTGCCGCGCTCTCGAAGGGCGACTCGACGCCTGTGGAGCAACAACATGGCGATCCGCCGATGCGTGCAGCGAGCCTTTGGAGCGCGACAACGACGTCCACACCCGCATGGATTCTCTTTGCGCTCATCACTGGCAGCATATGGGGCGTCTATCTGCTAGCTGCTTTGCGACCGGAAGCGGTGCTGCGCGGAATGGACGAAATGTACGAGGCGAGGCGGAGGGGGTTGCTAGCTGTGGTGTGCGTGGCATTGCTGCTGCTGCACTGCGTACGGATGCAGCCAATGCAGCGATCGATTGAATCGGCGCACGCGCGCAACATCCGCGTCCAAGTGGACGGTCTTGACACATGGCGCGCCACGCAGCGTGTCATGCTCGCGCTTCGCACGGCAGTGCTCGTTGTGGCGGCGTGGCGAATCGGGCATTCCGTTTCGCTCTTTTCAGCGCTGCGGCGATCGACTGCGATGGATCGAGATGGAGTGGTGTTGTTGCGGCAGGCGGCGGCTGCGTTGCTGGCGAGCGAGATGGGGCTCACTGCGTACGCTGCGTGCCAGCTCAGCGTGCGGCTGCCGAAACCACTGCAGCTCGTGTCGCAGCCCATCGTGGCGACCGACCATCCGAGCCATTCGTCGGCGGATCCGCTTCTCACGAGTCTCAGTCTGGACGATCAGCCCAAGCCCAACTGCTTCGCCGCCGCTGCCACGACGATTGGGGTGCTTCAAGACGCGTTTGGCGACGACGACGGCGTGGCGGTGCCGCGCGTGCTGCGCGATGCGGACGGCGACGCGGTGATGGAAGAAGTGGCAACGTACAGTGCACGACGTCGGATGTCGAGCTCATCCGACGAAGACATGGACGACGTGGCGCGTAACTCGGGATCTTCGTGGTTCAATGTTGCACCAAAACCACCGCGAGCTCTGGGCGAAAGCGGCGCTTACGACCACTTTCAACTCGGGCCGCAACGCTTCTGGGAGCCGCAGAATCCGACGGGCCTCGAAGATGTATTTGGCCGAGCCGTATCGCTCGACGACACGCCCGAGCGCACCAGTCGAGACCAGGCTCGCAATGCGTCGGCGAGGTGGAGCCAATGGTTCGGCTTTGCCTGAATCACGAATCCACAACGCCGTACCCGCACAGCATAGCTGCAGCGCAATTTCAATCTGACATCGGTAGAGTTTTGTTTTCAAGATGTGAGATCGACGCCGGGCGGAGTGGAGGTTGGGTTTCGGGTTTAGCGAGGCAGCGAGGCAGCGAGGCAGCGAGTGCGAAAGGAAAGGTTCGGGCGGAGGATTTTTCGGAAGGATCGTGTTCGGGAGGTCACGGATCGCAAGCGTCCAAAAAAAAAAAGTGGTGGGAATTTCGCCAGGCTTCCACCCGGTCCTCGGCCCCTGCAGGATCAAAGTTACACAGAGGAGCGGCACATGCAGTTGCAAGATCCAAGCGTCCGTGCTACTCGGAGCATTGCACACGCTCACTTCGAGCTTCGATCTTGAGCAGAAAGGTTTGGCTTCTAAGCATGCTTTGCTGAATCAGACACGGATCGAATTGGTCAGGACTGGCGGAGTGCGATCCGGGACGAGGTGGGGAGCGATGAGGAGCATGCGTGGGTCGCAAGTTGCGGAGAGTTCAAGGCGAGAGCGAGAAAGAGAGAGCGTGAGAGAGTCGCCGAGCAGATCCGGTCGAACTCCAACAAGCACGCCGGTCCAAACGCACCGTCATCCTCATCAGCGCCGTGAATCTTCCTGCCGCTTCTCTCTCTCCACCCACATCCTCCCTCTTCGCACACACGCACACACACACACGCCTGTCCAAAATGGTCGCTCGATCGGTCGCTCTTCGATCCCTCAGGGTAAGTCTCTCAAATCCACCCGCTGCCATGGCTCAGAGCAACGTGGACACAGCGAACCAACACCCCCTCGCACGAGGATGGAGGGAGTAGCTTGGGAAAAGGCGGCACAAAATCAGGAAGGACAGGCGAAAGGCTGCCGTTTAAAATTGATTTTTCGCATCGCCAACGATTCTCCCTTTTGTTGCGGCACAAATACGCTCCGATGCTGCTCTCCAATGCGGAAGTAGCGGCAATGCTCGCACCAACACCTTTGGTGGAGCATTGCGTCTCCTGTGCATGCGGAGCACCACCATCGGAAAGATGCGGGGGTGCATGAATCGCCCAAACGCGGCGGCTGGATCCGGTGCAAAGGTGCTCTCTCGCGCTTGGGTGCACGGCCCAGCACGCGCCAAGTTACGCCTCGCTACGCCGCCCAGTTGGCCCGTCCGCCGCAGCCGCTCGTCCTCGTTGCTCACTCCTTCATCACCATCATCATCCTCAACCATCTCGTGCTAACGCTGCACTTGCACTCTTTTTCGTTACCAGGGATCTGCTCGCGTCGCCCCGCGTCTCACCATCGCCTCTGCTCGCCCCGCCATCGCCCGCGCCTTTGCCTCCTCCGCATTCACCATGTCTGAGGGCAAGTTCCGCTCCGAAAAGGACACCTTCGGCCCGCTCCAGGTGCCCGCCGACCGCTACTGGGGCGCCCAGACCCAGCGCTCCCTCCAGAACTTTGACATTGGAGGACCCCAGGAGCGCATGCCCGAGCCGCTCATCGAGGCCTTTGGCGTGCTCAAGAAGGCCGCCGCCACCGTCAACAAGCAGTTTGGCCTCGACGCCAAGGTCGCCGACGCCATCTGCCAGGCCGCCGACGAGGTCATCGCCGGCAAGCTCCACTCCCACTTCCCCCTCGTCGTCTTCCAGACCGGCTCGGGCACCCAGACCAACATGAACGTCAACGAGGTCATCAGCAACCGCGCCATTGAGATCCTCGGCGGCGAGCTCGGCAGCAAGAACCCCGTCCACCCCAACGACCACGTCAACATGAGCCAGTCCTCCAACGACACCTTCCCCACCGCCATGCACGTCGCCTCGGTCACCCAGATCACCAACAACCTCATCCCCGCCCTCGAGCTCCTCCGCGCCGCCCTCGACAAGAAGCGCGCCGAATTCGACGACATCATCAAGATCGGTCGCACCCACCTCCAGGACGCCACGCCGCTCACCCTCGGCCAGGAGTTCTCCGGCTACGTCAAGCAGGTCGACAACGCCATCCTCCGCGTCCAGGCCGTGCTGCCGCGCCTCTCGCAGCTCGCCCAGGGCGGCACCGCCGTCGGCACCGGCCTCAACACCTACATTGGCTTCGACAAGAAGGTGGCCGCCGAGATCTCCAACATCACCGGCCTCGCCTTTGAGACCGCCGAGAACAAGTTTGAGGCGCTTGCGGCGCACGATGCCATTGTCGAGGCGAGCGGTGCGCTCAACACGGTCGCCGTCTCGTTTATGAAGATCGCCAACGACATCCGCTACCTCGGCTCGGGTCCTCGCTGTGGACTCGGCGAGCTGAGTCTGCCGGAGAACGAGCCGGGCTCGTCGATCATGCCGGGCAAGGTGAACCCTACGCAGTGTGAGGCGCTTACCATGGTTGCTGCGCAGGTCATGGGTAACAACACCACCATCTCGGTGGCTGGTTCGTACGGTCAGTTTGAGCTGAACGTCTTCAAGCCCGTGTTGGTCAAGAACCTGCTCCAGTCGATTAGACTGTTGGCGGACGGTGCACGATCGTTTACCAACAACTGCGTGGTGGGCATCGAGGCGAACCGCGATACGATCAACAAGATCCTGAACGAGTCGCTCATGCTCGCCACCATCCTCAACTCGCACCTCGGCTACGACAATGTCGCTGCCGCCGCCAAGAAGGCACACAAGGAGGGCACCAAGCTCGTCGACGCCACCGTCGCGCTCGGTCTCATGACCGAGGAGGAGTTCAAGAAGATTGTTCGTCCCGAGTTCATGCTCGGCCCCACCGAGTACAAGCCCAAGAACTAGAGCCGAGCCGGTGTTCTCAAGTGCGGCAATCCGAAAATGCGTTTGATAGATGCGTCACAAGTACAGGTGTGTGCGTGATCGATTGTCCAGTTTGACACGCGATGTTGGTTTCGCGTCTCGGCCACTCCAGTGGGCCAGCGTGACACGAGGTGCTTTTCAGCGATCGCTGTTGGTGGTCACAGCCAGGGATGGTACAGCGTTGAACACACAGCGTCCGCGCAGCGGCTTGTTGGAACGCACTCGCGTTCTGAGTCCTATTTGGATTGGGAAGCGTTGGTTTGAACTCGACGACGTGTAAGTGCGTCTGATAGATGCGTACAACTTGCAGGTGTGTGTTTGATTGATTGAGCATCGACCAATCGAGACACGGCTTACTCAACGCTTTTCCCTTTTTGGGGGAAGTGGATGCTTTGGTCTCCAGCAAACCTTGACTGCGTTGAAAGATGCGTACAAGGCTGCTATCGACCACCGTGACGCAGCGGGCCTCATGACTGAACGCGCGGTTGGTGGCCACAGCAAACAAGCGCAGCGTCCAAAACAAAGGCCCTAGAATTGAGCTGCACGCCCCGGTCTTGGTGTCACCAACGTGGAATGCGTTGCTAGATGAGTACAAGTACAGAGATGCGCGATTGGGTGCTTGATTGGACGTGCGCATCGATGGTCGTGACGTGGACGAACTCATCAGCGATCGCAGGTGCCGCAGCAGGGGGAACACAGCGAACAAAGAGCATTGCCACACAGCCTGGCTCGAACGCATGCGCGTCCAGTGGCCCAGATGGAACTTGGACAAGAGTGAGATGCGTTGGATAGATGCGTACAAGTACAAAGATGTGTGTGTGTGTGTGTGTGTGTGTGTGTGTGTGTGTGTGTGTGTGTGTGTGCGCGAGAAGGATTGCTTTTTCTTGACGACAAGGACGATGCTTCTTTACGGCGTCTGGCGTCTCGGCCACAGCGTGAATCTAGATGGTGCGCGACTCTTTCTGGCCCCTTGTTGGCGCTGTTGAAGTTGAGTCGTGCTGCAAGCAAGCGGCCTTGATCACCTCGCATCGTGTTGCGTTTTTCCAGCAGCGCCCTTGACGCTGCTTCTCCTTTGTCCCCCGTCGCAGTGAGTGCCAGCGGTGAACAATGCCGAGCATCCCCTCGCCTTGCCAAGCTGGCTTGAAACGCACTTGCGCTCCGGGCCCGGCTGGACCAGCCAAGGCAGCGCTTTGGTCTCGACAACGCCCTAGATGCATTGGTGTCGGGTGTGGATTGGGATCACTTGGACTTTCGCTTGTGCTTGGGTTTGGCGCCCACCGCAATACCTTTGGCCATGAGCTTGTGTTTGCGCTGCAGCACCTCGGCCTTCTTGACGCGTTTGCGTTCCTGATTCTTGCTTTCCCCCCTCACCTTCCCATCGTCACTTTCGTTGGGGATGGGATCGAGTGTCTTATCGGTAACCACACCCGAATCGCCAAGCAGGCCCGTTTCAAAGAACCCCTTCACCCGCTGCCGGATAGTGTCATGATCGGTAGTGTTGAGATCCAGCTCGGTATTCGCATCGAGCTTTCCGGTCCTCCAATGCTGCAGCATGAACTGGGCTGCTGCATCGAGGTCGCGTACATTACCCTTGCGAAGCGAACCCGGGGCTTTGCCGGCGACATGCCACAGCAGCTCGGAGATCGAGTTCGTCCTGCCCTGAGCATCGTCGCACGTCGCAACGTAGTCGCCCATCGAAAGCGGCAAATTCTGCACGTACGATGGCAAGCTATCCGGTTGCGAGGGACGCAAGTTGAGACGGTACAGCAGATAGTCGGCGAGGAGCTGCACGTCGAATAGCGAATCCTTGATGCCTGCAGTGATGGCGAGCTTGATGCCGCGCTCGGCACCGGCGGAACCGTGACCCAGGAAGGGCACCATCACACCCGGCGTGTCGTACACGTAGATCGGTACACCGCGCTTCTTTTCCCCTTCCGCCGGGGTGGATTCTTGCGTGGAGAGCATGAATGCACTTTCACCCGCCGTGTCCGCTGTATCTTCGTCTTGGTCGGAACGGGCTCGATTGGCGCCGCGTCGAGACGGCGCAGGAGGTTCGGGAGGCTGTTTGGTGGGGCCGGCCTTGCTGATCCTTACGGTACCCGTGAGCTTGCGAGTATGTCCTGGATGCGGAGCGGTACTGGCTGCCTTTCCCTTGCCTGTACCCACTCTGCGCAGCGCATTCAACAAGCTGCTCTTGCCCACATTGGGCATGCCGAGAATCAACAGTCTTACGCCCTCTTCCGGCGTAGGTGTGTGGCGAAACGCCCCACTGAGCCCCTTTTTTGCGCGTCGTGCTGCTTTTTCCGACACCTGCGGTGGCGCACTCGCCTCTTGGTCTCGATCGATCTTTCGTGCCTGACGCTCCACCCAATGCAAGACCTTCTTCACATCGGCATCCACTCGAGAGTCAACAAAGATGACGTGCTGGAGCGGATCCTGTTCGCGCAATGCCTCTGTGATGCTCGCTTCGACCGAGGGATGGATGAGATCGCGCTTGAGATAGACGATGAGCCGGCGGGTGCGCCATGTCGACACGCCCGTGTCGGTATCGAGTCCTTCGTTGGCTGTGGGTGCGCGTCGCAGCAGCTGCTCGAAGACCGGGTTGATCGATGTGAGCGGCAGACGTGCATCGCGCGCTTCGATCACGAGCGGAGGGGGGTAGCGCGCCAGGAGGTACGGCATCGAGCGGATCGCCCGCGCCATGTGGCCAGCGTACCATGACGGCGTAGTCGATGGCAAGGCGAATGTGCTGCGTGGAACAAAGCCATCCTTCACTACCGTTGCGGTTGGCGTGGGTGCTGAAGATGTACTCGCCTCCTCGGCGAAAGCGGCGCTGGACGATACCAAGCGCCGTCCCAGCGGTCGACTTGCCGCATGCGGCTCGAATGGACGCACCGCCAGCCTCGACAATGACCCTGGCGGCCGCGCTGGACGCAGTATTGACCGCAGCATGCTTCGTATGGTGGCCGTGGTTACATGCGGTGCCGAGTGAACCCTTGCGGAAGTTTTTGCCGCCGCCTCCACACGCCCATCTTGCCGACTCCGACTTGCGCATGTTGACCTTCCAAACGCCTATCGTAAAAAGCCGCCAAAAAAAGTCGACCACAAAATTCTCTCACTTTTTTTGCACTCTCCAGCACGCCCTCGCACCACGTCAAAAGTCTATGTATCGTATTCACAATGCCAAACTGGATCTACACGCTCGGCGAGCGCTCAGGCCTTGCTCTTGGGCGCGTCGTTCTGCTGCAGACGCAGGTGCAGGTCGCGCAGCTCCACGGCGGCCTCGTTGATGTAGTGCTTCAGATCGGCCGCTCCGAGCTTGAGCGAGGTGAGCGTGAAGGTGAGCGAGTTCTCCTTGATGGCGTAGGCGCATCCGAAGCCTTCCGGAGTCACCTCGCCAAAGCCCCAGCACGAAAACACCTCGGACGAGATCTGCGAGGTCGAAAGCTTCCACGTGGACGACGCGGCGTACGCAGCATCCTCGTAGATCGCCGGCACCTTCTCGCCCTCCTTGAGCAGCTTCTTGAGGCCGAACAGGTGGCGGTCCACACCCTGGCCATCGGCCGCAGCCGTAGCGTAGCCGAGGTGCTGCTTGACCGCCGCCTGGAACTTTTCGTAACGCTCGGCATCGCTAGCCGAGTGGCTTTCCATGGCCTCGCAGAAGGCCTTGGACTCGACGCTCGCCGAGCGGATGGTCTCGGTCCTGCCCCACTTGAACTTGCGCGTCTGCGCCGACTCGTACGTAGGGCACGGCTTGCCGTACATCTTGAAGTAAGCCAGCTGGATCACCATCTGCACCCACGCGTCGGGCGAGCACTTGAACTTCTTGATCGCACCCTTGCCGTAGCCCTGGAAGTCGAGCACGGCGAGGTCGTGCCTGCCCATGAGCGACTCAAAGTCGCCGATGCTCTCGGCGATCTTGGCCTCGACGTTCTTGTCCGTGTTGAAGCTGATCTGCTTGGGCGCGGGCAGATCGGTGCGCTTGGTCGAGCCGAGGTCGATCTTGCCCGCCTCGAGCGCCTGCAGCGCAAAGTCGTTGAGACGCAGCGTCGGGGTGCCGTCCATCATGGAGTGCTCGCCCATGAAGCCGGACTTGCCGTTGGCAAATGCGATGATCTGCTGCTTGTCGTAGAAGCGGTTCTTGCCGTCGCCGCACCAAAGCCCCCAGGCGGTGCTCTCGATGCTGTGCGGCGCCGTCTCGTCGAGGCACACCACAATGACCGAGCTGTCGATGCGCTCCAGCGCCTGCTGGTTGCCCGGCAGCGCCGCGAGCGCCTTGCGCGACTCGGTCCACTTGTCGCGGTTGTTGGACGAGAGCGCGCCCACCGGCTGGGCTACAGGCTTGCTCGACGCCGAGTCCGAAAGGATGGCTTGCAGCTGCGACTCGATCTCGGCCTCGCTGAGCTCCTGGCCGTTGTGGACGAGGTCAAACTCGTAAAAGTGGCCGTTGCGCAGCACGACGAGGTGGTTGTTGGCCTTCCAGTCGTACTTGACCGCCGTGTCCGAGGGCATCTCGGGGATGCGGTTGGCGTTGAACATCCACTTGTACGACCTCATGCACAGCGGGCCCGCCTTGCCCTTTTCGGGCGCGAGCTGTTCGGTCTCGAGCAGCCTGCGGAAGGCGAGGAAGGCCTTGAGCAGACCGGCGGCGCGCTTGGGGCCGGTGCGGCGCGTCTTGTCGTCCTTGTGCGAGTAAAAGTAGCTGACGTAGGGCACGACGGGGTCGCGGTAGGCCATGTAGGCGGCGTCGTTCCACCATTCGCTCAGCCAGCTCTCGCGGCCCTCCTTGGTGGCGCGGTCCTCGAGGCGCTGCTGGAGCGTCTGGACGAGCTTGGCGTCGGCGCCCGAGAGCGCCGACTGGACGGCCTGCTCGGTCTTGGCGAGCGACTCCTTGGACTGGTGCGGCACGGTGGAGCGGAGGTACTTTTTCAACGTCTGCTCGAGCGCGGGCACGGGCAGGTGGGGCATGGCGGACTGGCCCTCGTACATGGGGCCGTTGCCGATGCCGCCCGAGTTGGTGGAGGAGGAGGAGGAGTAGCGCGACATGGCGGGTGCGGATGCGTGCTTGAAGTTGGCGGCGAGCGAGAGGGGCCTTTGCGAAGCGAGTCGGGCGGCGGAGGAGCGAGCTTGCGATCGACCCAGACCGAGGAGTGTCATGAGGAGCGTCCTCTTTGAGATGCGAGCGGGCTTGTCGAGGGAGCCAAGGGGATGTTGCGAGCGGTGGATTGAAGGTGCGGAGAATGCAGTATGCAGTGAGCGGGGGAAGAAGTAGAAGAAGGAGGAGAGATGGCGACGAGCGATGAGGACCGGCTGCGTGTATCTATATCCACGATCGACCGGCTAGCAAAGGGCGGGCGGGGCCAACTGTGTGGAAGCGGAGCTCCGGTCGAAAACTCGACGACCGGCCGGTGGGTGCGGGTGTGGCAGCGTCGCATTGATTCTTCTTGCGGGTCTCTGGCGCCGCCGCGCATTTCACGGCGAGCAGCAGCAGAGTGACGCACCGGCCCCTGGCAAAAGCGATGGAACCACAGCGGGGAAGCCGAGCCGAAACGACCGGTCTTTCCGCGCGGCGAGAAAGCGGTTGGCCGGTGCAGCGATTTCAGCTGCGACGATTCAGCTGAAAGCCAGTCAAAATTCACTTCGGTGATTGGCTCGTCCCTGCCCAGCCCCGCTCTCCACCTCTTGGCCCTCCCCGCCGATTCAAGTCCCCACGCTGCATCTCTTTCGGGCTGGGTGGGCCTTGGCTGAGGTCGTGCCAACATGTCTTTTTCCACCGAAGATCACCCGGGTCCGTTGTTGCTCTGTGTATGCCGTGCCGAAAGGAAATGCGCTTTTTCTCTGCGGACAATTTTTCAGACCGACGACTGCCGACAAGTCCGGGAAGAGGAAGCTCGCGTGTTGCCGGCATTGGTTTGGCGGTGTTCCCGCCCCAACAATCAACGCACGCGAGGGAAGGCGAGGGATGGATATGACCGGTTGACAGCCGGTGCAATTGCGACGGGGCCGTCTGCCCTTGACTGGCCATTCTCCATGCGCCCTCGTAAGGTACCCCACAATGTGCCGCTTCGGTACGAGAGCATGGCGAGCTTGGTGTGGAGGCGGAGCTTTTCGCACGTAGCCATGGCCAAGAAGCATCGTCTTGACCGTGAGCACCCGTCGGCACCTAGTCGGCCGAGTAAAAGCAAAGAATTCGGAAGTGACGCAAGACGGATTCTGTCGCACAGTGTGTTAGAAAGCGAGAGACTGACAGCTTGAAAGCGGAAAAAAGAAGTCGGAGGTCGAGTTCGGCTACGAGGCGCGGTGCAGCCGTTCCGATCGTCGTCGCGCAACGAGAGCGAGAGGAGCGCCAATCAGGGTGAGACCGTGGAGCGCGCATGGACAGCCAATCCAGCTGTCACGGCGACCATGTGGATTTTTTTGTTCTCTCTTCTTGACACACGCACACGCACAAGCGCAGTGCGACGCGCCTCGATTGAGTTGTAGGCGTGCAGCCACCGATCTCATGCAGCTCCCGGCGTCCTCGGCGAGCATTTGGCTGGTTGCGAGCCACATCAAAGCTTCGCCTCGATGCGTGGATCGCATGTGTGGCATGGCTGGCATTGCTCGCATTGCTTTTGCAAGCAAGCAAGCATGCAGACGCCGTCCAAGCCCAAGCGTGACAGGCAAGGGCGAGCTTAGCTTGGAACACGCTCGTGGGTCGAGGAGCCAGAGTGGGAGCCGCATGGACGCCGCACGGCACGCTCATTGGCACTCCGCCCCACGCACCACGCCGCCACCTCGCAGCCCAAGCTGCAAGCTGCACAGCGCCCCGAGGTGCCGAGCTGGCAGCGTGCTGTTTTGCTGCCGCCCCTTTCAAGCAACAGAGGCTGTCACATTTTCGCCACGCAACCCGAGCGCAAGAGTGCCGATCCGATGTATTATACAAAGCCGGCGTGCATAGAGAGCGTACATCAACACGACACTCACACTGGCATGTGGGTGTGTGCGTGTGTGATTGTTGCAAAGCGAGGCAGCCAGCATGCGAGCGAGGGACAGGCGCCGGCACACGAGGTCCGAGCGAGGCACTTTGACAGTCAAGCTTCGACACCGGAGCCTGCGCCGATTGAAATTCCAAAATAAAATCCAATCTCGACGCGATTTCCAAACTCGCCCTGCCGTGGCCATCGAGAGCAGCTGTGCATTGCGATTTTTCTTGATTTTGATTTTCTCTGGCTCGGTTAGCGCCGAGTCTCGCACCTTGCTCCAGCTGCTGCTGCTGCAAAAAGAGAGGGCGTGTGCGTGTGCGTGTGCGGTGCGGTGCGGCCAGCGTGCATGTCCACTCTGCGCAGTGCAAGCAGCCAGCACAGAGAGTCGGATCAGGAATTTCGAGAAATACGCACAGCAGAGCCTCACTCTCGGCGAGAGAGAGAGAGACACACACACACACGCACCCACCCACCTCCTCGGAGCGTGAGCGAGAGCGAGAGCGCGAGGAAGAGCGCAAGTGAGAGCGAAAGAGTCATCCGCGCCCCTTTTTTAGGCGCCAGCAGCCACACGCAGCCAGAACTCGGCAGCCTCGCAACCTGGCAACCTGCCAACATCGCATCACTGCCGGCGCCTCAACTCCTGCAGTCCTCAATCCTCAATCCTCAATCCTCCATCCTCAATCCTACATCTCCATCGTTTATCCTCATCCCTCCTCCCTCTCATCCTCCGTTCCGCCTTCATTGCGTTCGCAGTCGTCGACATCAGCTGCTCATCGCCAGCCCTCCTCTACGCCGCGACGGACGCACGCTAGGCTCATCGTTCCCACCGGCCTCCTCGTGCCCTTGCGCTCCTCGTTCCATTCACACCGCGCACCACCAGCGCACGCTCGCATACATGCCATCTCTCGTTCGCGCTTGATCGTTTCCACCCTCACCCCTTACACCCACCTACCGTCCAACCTGCACAACGCTTGCCATCACCATCAT